GAAATTGCTCGAGTAGAACATGCATGCATACGTGGAGAGCTGTCTTTGCAGAGTAATCCTTCCCAGACGGATTGTACAGTAGGAGTGCTTGCTCGAGTACCTGATACAAGCCGTCACTGCAGCGTATTCCGTCCTGGACGGATTGTGCAGTGAGCAGCTAGTGCGCACATCTAACGTGATGTGTGTGCTGTGCAATCCGTCTGAGACGGAAAGTCAGCACTACCATTTACTCTCTGTAATTATTGTGTGACGTGTTTTGCATTATGGTATGTGTGCAGCGTGGGCTGTTGTACAGTGTGTACTCTATAGGGCCCAACCCTAATCTCTAGTTAGGTCTTTACCTAGGGTTTACTATGTAAAAGTTTTCCTAGGATCGGTGAAAGGTGCTCATAACCTAAGTGTCGTGATTGACAATAGGCCAAACCCTAATACAGGGTTAGGTTTCGAGCCCAGGTAACCCTACCCTAGCTACCTACGTCCTGTTTTTTGTCTCATAACCTAACCTAACCTATGCACGTATTGGGCGGCATATACATGGGACAAGTATGCCTCGTCATTCTCGATCTTTTGAGATATCACCTTTCCTAACGCGGTACAACACTCTTGTCTCAGGACGTTGTCGTTGTCCCTCGCCAAAAAGCCTACTTTGAGGTTGAAGGAGAAGCCTCCACTTTCGTGTACGTCCTCGGTCTCTTCCTCCATCATCACCTAACGAACCAATGGTTCTTGATCCCGTAACATTCTTAGCGGTCGATGATGGAACAATGTGGAAACCTTTCTATTGGGAGGTACAGTACGCGGAGTTTACGACAAAGCCGTACTCTGGCGCCCAACAGTCTTTCGAGATGAGATGTTTCTGATAGTATGTAGCTTCCCATCACTCTGGTAATCTACAATGCGCTGACGTTCACCAAGTTCGTGCTCACTTTACGAGGTAACCATGTGCCTGAACTTCGTTCATCAATATTCTCCGTAACTGAAGACCCCGTATCTAGTTCCTCGACGAAGTACCTGAGCACGTCTACTTCATCAAGGAGTCGCACCTTCTTCAAGCTCGCGATTTCGTCCTCAGCATGCGAGATCGCATGATAGGGTGGCAGGCCCAGGTACCCGTTGAAATCCTCCTCGACGCGGACAATCTTCCACCGGCGCACGTGATACAGTTCAAGTAAGCTTTCACAACATGTTCCTGGCTTTCTTCGCCGTAGACAGTAGTGTTGACCATGGGGGACCTGATTTAGTCTTTTGGTTCACACGATTTTGGATCCTCCTTTACTGACCCTTCGCCCAAACCGGTTCCCTCGCCGTCCCATACGCCGCCACAGCATGTCGAAAGTCTGCCCAAGATATCGCCGCCTGCCTCCGCCAGGGAGAGATGTCCTACAGAGTTCATGTCATTAGACCCACCCCTACGGGAAATCATCCAATAAATAGATAAGACAATTGGAGTAAGTATCATCTTCCTCGAGCCACAGACTCGGAAAACGGATTTCTCATTCACATCCCAACACACACTATTCTTCATCTGCAGACTACCATTGACCTCACTCATCAACCGTGACAATATACACACTATGCCTGCAGCGCATTCCACACCCTCCGGGGCATAATCCTACACGGCTGCAACACGTTTCTATAGCACTGCGTCGATGATTTATGTCCTTCGAGTAGCGATGTGAGCACAAAACATGTCGATGAATCGAAGAAAGTTAGAATATCAATAAAACAGATATAGGTGCGGAGAAAAATCATACCTCATGGATCCACTACGCCGTTAGCTTTAAGAGCAGCTATGATAGCAGACTCAATGACAGGCACGTCGTTGAAAATACTATCTGCCACGTCCTGCCACCTGACGGGAAACGTTGTACCGTACTCGTGGGCCAGCCAATTGCGGCGAGAGATCTGGTCTTTGAGCTTGTAATGGATGTTCGGGTGCGCCTGGGCAATAGGATGCTGCTCTTTGACTGCACGGATGTTTTGGACGAGCGACTGGAGTTGGAAACCGATACCCGCACGTACACCCTCGATAGTGGCGTCCGGAATCTCACCCGACGTTGAAAAAAGCTAAATAATATGTAGTCAATTAGCCTGGGTTATTGATGTGAAGTTGAGTTATGTAAGGGTATGGAGTGTACCTTATGGTCGAGAGTACCTCCAACATTGGCCAGTTGTTCCCTCATCCAGCGGCAGTTACGGAGTGCATTACGAAGCGCTGCTATTTCATTGGCAGCGGCGGAGGTGGCCATCTTAGAAGGAGATGGAATGGAATGGGTAGAGCGGCTGAGCTGCGATTTAGGAATACTGCTTGACTTGACGAATGATACCCAGCCGTCTTATAAGTTGCAAATAATGACCGACAGCCTTAGTAGAATGTGTCTGGTGACTGGATACTGGGTTTCACGGCACTGTAGGCGAGTCTGGTGGGAAGGTTTCTGGTTTCATGCGGATCCTGGAACTTCTGATTTGCTTGGCTGTGAGAGCGAAATCACGATATACTCACATCGAGCTGCGTTCCCAGACCACGGGGAAACCAATCAATCAGCCTTGTTGCCCATGGAAGATGTTGCTACGTGTATCAGATAGTCCTTATTGTACTGTTAACGGCCAAACTCACCGAGCTACCCATGCACGACCGCGGAACCACTCTTTAGGGCACTCTAAAGGTAACTCTAAAGCGGTTTCTAAATATTATACATGGACAACGGAAATAATATTGATTGTAGAGCCAGCTGTACTCCTACTTCGCCAGAATAATTACTACCGAGAGTCCACCTGGAGAAAACAGTAGAAAACCTAAACCGCGACCGAACCCATGGCTGGCACCCGCTCACGAAAGAAACAGTCACGGGACTACATGGCTACAGTCAGCTCAAGATCCATAAATACTGTACGACTCGCAGAAAGCGCGAAATGGTCAACACAAAGACGACTACTTGATACTCAACATCGAGAGCGGAATGGCAAATGCCGAAGATACTGAGTCAAGTCCTCGGGGTCCCGGGATTATTTCGACCTCCGCACAATTGTCAGTCCGCATACAGTATATATGCCGAACGCAAGGCTACTAGCTCGTTCCTCATGATAGCCACGGTGCGCAGATCATTCATCCTTCCAGCATTGAGCTTGTGCACCAAGTCTTCGCGATACAGTACTCTCTATTCCGTGTCTCCCACTATGTCGATCCCAACATTTGAAGAAATGCGCTCTCGTCTACAGCCCGTTTGGGAGAAGGAAGCAAATCGAAGTATGATTCTGTGGGCTGGAATCTTTGGCTCCGTCGGACGCGGACGCGCACAACAGCACTCTGATGTCGATATTGTCCTGGTAATGAAGAAAGGAGAACATGGTGAACCAGTGGAGCTTGAGGAAGGTGAGAAAAAACCATCATCATTATGCTGATTCCTCGCATCCAATTATCGTATTCTTGTTCTCAGACTTGAAAGGGGCATGCGCACGCGATGTGTCTTACATTCCTATATGGCGTCACCCAGACGGCGAAACATGGATGTGGGGTCACGTCCGTGTTGAGGCGCTTCTCTCTGGCCGTACTGTTTACGGAGATCGCGAAGATGTCAAGGATATGAGGCAAGAAGGGATCGACGTGCTCGAGAAAGCCAAGGAAAAGTATGACTCCATTGCTGAGGCAGTAGGATCAATCAAATCGTGCGTTTCCCGAGCGCAGACGGTTGAGGTGAGTCTATGTGGTACTATCTATGTCATATCCATCGATGCATATGCATGTGCTGACTTGCGCCATTGCGCAGTCATTCGTCGGTCCTGGCCATCAAAAGACACGCCAGGAGTGTCTTTGTGCGCTCCGTACCATTTTACGTCTACTCGACATCCCCTATCTTGCCCATCCTAGCCGAACACTAGTCGACCGGGGTGCATTCGATGAAGCAGACAAAATACGAGAACTAATCAAGACTCTGCCATCGACTTCCATCGACCTCGAAGCTGCGATGTGGAGAGATATTTGGCCACGGTTACAGAAAGGTCATAACGCTATGTGGTGTTGGGACATTGGTTGTGCAGGAGCTCGCCTTTATATTGATCATATGTTGGCTTCTGCGAGGCTGGCGGACCACTTCGAAAGGGGAGAAGTCATCGACGATAGTCTATACGTGGATATTGTTAGGTAGCTTGTTTGTGGCCCACGCTTACCTTGCGCAATTCTGTACTTTCAAATGTTCCTTGTAAGCATATGTCCGACTAATCAGCCAGTAGCGAATTCACTAAGGTTTCACTTCATGGCGCTACATTCCGCAGAACAATGATGCCACAGAACCCAGGGCGCTACTTCAACATTGACAGTAAGCACTTCTTGTTCAGTCTCGTATTATCGGAACCGCGAGGGATACTGTTGGTCTTCGTAAATTGAGCGAGACATTTGTGAAGGTGTTGGGCGATATAATTAGGAGGTTGGTTTGGTGCCACGAGTGCCACGCCACATTTGATAACATTAGATGGCATTACAGCGAACATCGTTCTTCAGTTGTTCTTCAGCCTGCGTTCCTCTCAACGACCTCACTGATCTCGATATCCTGCCCGTCACCACTTATGCCCATCAATATCCTCAAACTAGTCTACTGAGCACGATCCCAGAGCGAAAGAGTGAATGTTGAGAACGCGTCGATCCAACTGACGAGGCGCTCCATCTCACTCTCACCGAACAACCCACAACAATCGAGCAGCCATCTCGCTCAAAGAATAAGAGTCCAAGGAGCCACTAAAGACCTCGGTCGTAGTATCCACGACAACTGCACCTGATAGACTTTCGTTGCCGCGGAAGGTCCGTCTCGCAACACTTGTCTCTACACTCCATAACTGAGGCAGCAAAACGGTGGACAGTTTACGGTGGAGGAGGCGAGCTCTGAAGCCTCAACAGCCCTCCGTCGACTCCCGTAAAATTAGGACCTGCACCCCGAGCTTCAAGGCCAGGCTTCCCCTCCTCAACGACCTAGTGTCAAGAGGAGAACCAATGTTGGCCTTGAAGATTGTACTGTCGTGGGGAGGCCATTGAAGTCCCCAAGCATGCTTATAGACGTAGTCCAGAGCTTCAGAGTAATACATTACGAGTGGCGGTATCGAGGCCACGGACGTCGAGCCAGAGAGATCGATATACAGTTTTCCACTGAGCCAGCCTTCGTGGAAAAGTACGCGCACTACGATTGAGAGAGGTTAACAGTGTTGGCAGTCACTCCGTGGAGGAACCTTCGGACGAAGGTAAAGCTAGATGTTCTCTATTGCAAGGTGGTGGCGGTAGCGTGCAGAGGACCGTGTATTTTTTTACGCCACTTGAAAGTCGTACGAGTGACGGCATGCTTACGTGAGCCAATACGCTTTGGCAGAGGCGCCAAAGTACCGCCCGAACGTTTCTCATCGCCATCCACGTCAAGACCCTCGCCCTCTCTTTTCTCTCTCCTAACCCCCACGGCGAACATTATTCAGAAGTAGTGGCCGTCGACGACACCGAAGACGGCGATGCCGGAGTACGTGTACGCTCTTCACGACTTCCTTCCGGAGCACGATGACGAGGTCGAGTTTCGTGCGGGAGAGCGGATAGAGGTCGTTGAGAAGGACGATTTGTATGGCGATGGATGGTGGCAGGTCAGAATCTATCCTCCTTGCACTATATTCTTCTTTGCTCTCGAAACGATCCAAGTCCTGGCGTTGGAGCGGCTTTCCGTTATCTCAAACCGGCGTATTCTTCCAGTTCCACTTTCAGTTTCCTGATAGTACTTCTCAACATTTTGGCGGTCCTCGTTCGGTACACCTCCCTCTTCGCTGTTTACATCATGACTTGCAGCATGCTATGGAGCCATATCATGTCCAGCGGTGTTGGTCTTGTATTCTGCACCCCCCGCCGCAATCACGTCGGGCTCGTATCCTTAGCGCCATTTATGATGCGCAAGAGGCTGTCGTACGAAGGACGAGCACTCTGGCGGACCGCCATAGACAAAAACCTGCATCTTTCGGATAGGGGCTGCACGTGTAGACTTGTCGTAGGGTTTTAGGGCGAATGCGACAAGCGATACGCCTCGCAGACTCATCGAGGACGAGCCACAGCGCCCACTATTCATGGTTTCGTACATAACATGTTGCGAGGCCTGCCGTTGCGCTCCTTTTGCTTCCTTTCTTCGTCTCGAGCTCCTTCACCACTTGCTCTCGATTTGAAGGACGCTTCGTCACCCCGACCTCTCCTGCCATGTCCTCACGTTTCGGTATACGCAGAAGGCTGACCTCCTTATTTCTCCCTTTCCGTCGCGCTTCTCCTCCCTCCACACAGGGCCGAAACTTGTCGGGCAAAGTCGGCCTGTTTCCCCGGTCATACACCCAACCCGCCCCTCCACAACAGCCACAATCCTCGCCGCCCCCCACTGCACCCACAGCCACATCTACCGCCAGCGCTTCACATCTAGCCCCGATCGCCACCTCCGCCAACGGCGCGCGCACTCCATCTCCCGAACCCGCCCATCCTCCTACGAGTCCCGGCGGTCTGCATTCCTTAGCAGAAGAATCGGAGAACGAGTCGGTCGCGCCACCGAAAGTTTCGGTATCTTCGGATGGGACCGATGAAGGGGCGGTGATGCGGGAGACGATGACGGATGTGCAGCAGGCGATTGAACAATTGGGTCAGAGGCGGAATAATGGCGCTGGTGGACATACGGATGATGAAGGTCGTTCGTTCACCTTCTCGTCCATGCGCGAGTCGGAGTCGACGGATCGTGAGTCAGATATCGATATGGAGTTGGAGACGGAGGGTGATGAAGGTACGGATGGGGAGGGATGGAATAACCAGAAGAACGTGCGGAAGAGGTTGGCAAAGAAGGTTAGCCGGGCAAACGAGGAGGAGAGGAGGGAGAGAGAAAGGGAGGCCCAAATGGAGGTGGTGCGGGCGAGGGAGAGGGGGAGTATCATGGCGAGTCATATGGCTCCACCGATTGAAGTGGAACTGAGCGACGAGAGCGAGGACGAGGGCGACGATGATCACCACCATCGTGTCCACGATCAAGAAGACAAGACGGAGCACGGGAGGGTTGCGAGTCAGAGGTCAAGCTCGCAGATGATTCCGGAGGAGGACGAGGACGATCATCTGCTCGCCGTTCCTACCGCAACCCGTGGATCGTTCGGCACTCCTCGAGGCTCAGAGCCAATCGTCCCTAGCGAAGATTATATCGTACCCTCGCCAGGCTCTCACAAGACGGGTTACGATGAGGTCCCTACCGCCACTCAAGCTTCCTTCCCCGTCGCTGCTCCCGCATCCGAACGGACTTCCTCGCCGTATCGATCGGGTACGCTTCCTAGCCCAATTTCACCAGGGTTTACGACCGGAACGACCACGGGAACCGGGACTGTTACGGACGATAGCAGGCCGACGTCTACGCAGCCCTCCACAGCTTTCTCGAAAACGTTCTCCGTCGGCGATATCGAACCGATCGCTACGCCCATCCCCATCAGTAGTACCGCCAACGCCCCTGGAGAGACCCCGGCCAGTACCCTCGCCGCCGCTGCCAACCTTCTTCCTTCGCCTGCCGCGTCTTCGGCGATGGGACGTACGACCTCGCCCGTACATAAATCTGGCCTCGCGTTGTCACCTTCGAGTCCAGGGAGCGGAGGGCCCAGGACGGGTGGATCTAGTGGTATAGGCAGTGGACACCCGAGCGACTGGACGGTGGATGAGGTCGTGGAATGGTTGAGAGCGAAAGGGTTCGACGAAGGGGTTTGCGAGAAGTTCATCGGTATGTGCTCCTGTCTTTCTTTGCTATCCTTGTGGGAATTCTTTTTTGTGGCTGACGCTCCAAATAGAGCAAGAAATCACCGGCGACGTCCTCCTTGAACTCGACGTCAACCTCCTGAAATCCGAAATCGGCATTCCAGCCTTTGGCAAACGCATGCGTATCGCCAACGCCATCATGGAGCTCCGTCGTCCACCATCCGCTCTCTCCTCCAACCACGACACCAACTCCCAAATCAACGGTGCTCCCGGTACCGGCAGCAGTCAATTCAACGGCGCTGGCAACAACGGTTTCCGTGGTCACTCCCAGAGCCAGAGCCTCGCGATGTCGCACTCCAGCGCGCCACAGAGCCTGAACAGTCCGTTCATGTTGGCCAGTCCGATCAGTGCGGGTTCAGGACCGGCGAGTGTAGGCGGAGGTGTGGTCGTGACTTCAACGGGGAGTCCTATGGCAGCTGCGGGGACGATTCCGGCGGAGAGCTTCAGTGCACCGAATACGGGATTGATGGGTATGGGCGCTGGCGAGTCGCCGATGGGGATGGGACTGGTGAGGAGGGATTCAGATCCGGGTGTCAGAGCGCCGGGACAAGGGCAGGACGAGGATCAGGTCGGGTTGGGATTGGGTATACCGAGTGCGTTGTTGGCGGGGAAGAATGGGGTGAGTTTCGATGTCTCAATCTGGTCCTTCTATATGTTGAATGTTATTGGAAACATGTGCTGACGGGTTGGTTTGGGACTGTGTTAGAAGGGTCGGCCATCTCAGTTGACGTTGAGCCCAAGCGATAGCGCGCTGGGTGAAAGCGTGAAGGCGGTTGCGGGCGGTGCGTATACGGCGGAAGAGATGGAAGATGACAGGGCTGTGGCCAGTGAGGTGCGCATTCTTCTGCCTGTCTACTCTGCAATATTCTCGATCTCAATCACACATTCCTTTCATGATTGTAGAACGATGGGGACAAGAAGCTTAAGACTCGGAAAAGCATGTTCGGTCGTTCAGGATCCAAATCGTCCAAAGACGGCGACTCGGCCAAAGATCCCGTTACCCCCAACTCGATCGCTACTCCCCAAGAGGACGGTTCCCCTGTTCAGCGGCGAACGAACGGCAGGAGACAAGGTAGCCTGGATGCGAACAAGGGCAATGATCGATTGAGTATCTTCGGTGGTGCATTCTCTGGGTCGTTGAGCAAGTCGAGGAAACCACCTCCTAGGTACTCTGCGTACGTTCACTTTTTCAAGAAGTTAATAGTTGGTTGATCCTTATTTCGTTATCTCAGGATGGTCGACAACGCGGATCTTCAGCACGAGAAGAGCAACCCCTTCGCTCTTCTTGGCCGCAGCGGCAAGAAGTCGTCCTCCGGTAGGCCTTCCACGTCCGACGGGCACTCCACTCACAAGAAGAGCTTCGACCCTGCGGCCACTCCATCGAAGAAAAGTCACAAGGAGAAGGACGAGAAGGCCTCTCGCGACTCGAAAGACTCGAAAGAACGTCCATCCAAAGAGCAAGCCGTCCTTCGTCGTCGTACATCGTCTCAGGTCTCGAGTCCCACGCGTGGTGGGATTCCCAACGCGGCTGCGTCTGGTGCAGGCGCGGGTGCAGGTGTGGGTACGGGTACGGGTGCAGGTGCGGGTGCAGCTTCGGGCGGAGAGGGGCAGAAGGCGACGTTAAAGGCAGGCCAGAGTATCTTGCAGCAGATCGGGCAGCCTGATCATAATGGGTGGATGAGGAAGAAGGGCGATAGGTATAACACGTGGAAATCGAGGTATTTCGTGCTGAAGGGGCCACATCTTTATTGGTTGAGGAGTAATTCCGCCTCCGTACGTACCGCTGGTTCTTTGCTCTATCGTTGTTCGTGGTGAAGTGCATGCTAATATATAGGATACTGTTCGTGTAGGAGACGAAGATCAAGGGGTACCTCAACATCGCTGGGTATAAGATCATCACCGACGAGAAGGTTGACCCGGGCAAGTACGGCTTCAAGCTCGTCCAAGAGAACGTCACAACGCACTACTTCTCATCGGAGGAGCAACTCGTCATTCGAGAGTGGATGAAGGCGCTCATGAAAGCTACCATCGATCGGGATTACACAAGTACGGTTTCTTTTTCGCCACTGTGGCACCACCATTTGTTGCTGACATCTGCGCGTAACTTCAGAACCTGTCGTTTCCTCCGTTAATATCCCCACGATACCTCTTACCGTCGCTCAGGCTATGAACCCAGCCCCAAGACCACCATCACCTACCGCTCGCGCCGCCACTCAAAAGGCTCTTCGCCGCGAGAACACGAATCAGCTCTCGACTCGTGACGCTCAGATTCTCATGATGGGTGTTTCTGGTGACGCTACAGATAACGGCAGCAAGATGCGTCTCGATTCTTTTTTCAACCAAAGCAGCGACACCGCCGGAACTCCAATGCAACGATCGACTCCTGCGCCACTCGGTGCGAGAGCGATGACGCCTAAGGGACCAGCGAAATCGCCGCCGCCTATGAGTGTGCCCGCTCCGGCTCCTGCAAGGCCTTCAAGGGAGATGAGAAGGTTGACCAGCGACGGCAGCAATTTGAAGATGGATAATGTAGGCCTTCCGCAAGCTGCTATGTTTTCAAGGATCTGAATCATCGTTTCTCTTTCTTCTTTCTTCTCACCTAACATCGTCTTCTCTCTCGCCTGGGGAAATCTCGCCCCTGTATTTCACACTCTATGCCGTTGTGATACCCCAAAATCCTATCTTTGAACCTTCCTCTCCACTCTACACCCCAAATAGGTCCCGACTAGCTCGAACTCGGTCGAAACGAATCTCATCGAATGGGCAAACTCTCACCTCCCGCACTCCCTCAGGATCTCCGAGACTACACCCGGCCCCTTATACGGTGGTCTTGCCATTCTCCGTCTCTCCGAGTCGATCAAAGGACGTCCAGCATCACCTCCCGTGCCCGACTCTGCCTTCCCCTCAGGCCCGAACGATGACAAACTCGACGGTTTATTCCGGTTGTTCGATTTCCTCCTCGATAACGACGTGAAGATGGGGAGCGTTAGTATCAACGACGTGAGAATGGGAAAGAGAGACAAGATCCTGCAGTTGTTGAAGGCGTTGAAGGCGTGGGAGGATAAGCGAAGGCAAATTGCGGAGAGCATTGGTTCGGGGGCGAGTGGGCAGGCAGGACCGTTTATGGCTCCCGTCTCACCGTGGGGACCGATGTAAGTAGGCGCAGAGATTTTCTGCGGCCATGGACTACTTTGGCTCGGTTGGACTAGTTTCTTGGGTCAGGCTAAGGGGTGAGAGGGTCTGAAACATTCTTCTTGGCTTTCTCCAGCATATACTCGTGTCGTAGTCACACTCAATCGCACGCTCGTTCTATCTCTGTCTTGATTTCTCTTCATCTTACTCCGTTTTTCCCTTCCTCTCGTTCGTCTCTGGTCTCTCCTCCTTTCGTTCGTCTTACGCGATACGTCTCCTCCCATCTTCTTCCCTCATACGTTTCCCTCCGCTCTCCTTTTTCTTATTTGAACGACCACTATCCTCCCTTCGTCCTATTCATCGCACTCTGCTTTACATTCCTCCCCTTCCTCCCCTTCCTCTCCGTCTCCTTTCTCGTCTATCTCCTCACCTCTGTTTGCGTGGCTATAATCACGCATTACTATAGCACTAGGAGCTCAATAACGGGCATCTGTACGGACTTTTCATTTGTGTATCACTTATCCCCTTCGGCACTCTTTTCTTGTAAGTTTCGTTTGCTGTCGCCTTATCACCTCACAACAACATCGGCCGTCGTGATAGCCTGGATACCTTGAATATAGTCGTACATATCTGCACTCATCGTAAATAGAACTGTGTGTTTTTTGACCCCCAGGACCTCTCAATCCACACGAATGATCTCGCCACACAAAGTGGCGTATCATAGAAGGGAATGTATGCATGGCATGTGAATCCGGGTTTGGATGACGCGCTCGCATGTGAACGAAGGATCGTCGGATTCGGAAGACACCCGACCATGACGGAGCAAGGCATGGAGACGCGCTTTCGTCCGGCACTCATCGACATCTCTCTTGACCGCCATCTCCTGCTCAGCTACTTGTCGTGCTCGCCTACCTTGCAGTCGCCATACCACTGAACTTGACCAAGCGAAATGTCTGACTCGGTGATCCATTCTATCGCTGGTTCCGCTGGAGGGATTGTGGCCATGACGGCGACATAGCAAGTCCAATACTCCCATCTTGAGGTGGTTACCCATGAAGGCTGACAAGTCGGCATCGCTACTGTTGGACAGTCCCCTCATATTCTTGTCGACTCGCGCTGCGATGGAGACGAAACGCGAGAATAAGGTGCGTTCTAGTGTTTTTGCCACGTCTTCTGGTTCCGTATTGCCACCCGTTCGATTCGTTAGAGAGGTTTTGAGAGGTCAGATGTTCATTGTACTCTGTGCAACATTCTAGACGATATACCAGGCCGTTCTCGATGTCATCAAGAAGGAGGGAGCACTGGGGATGTACACCGGTTTGAGCTCAAGTCTCGTCGGGATTGCTGTCACGAATGGGTGAGTTCCATGCATAAAGCCGCTGTAATCTATACGACCAACTTCAAGAGATCGATTGCTAACGTTGTGACTGCCGACAGCGTTTACTACTTCTTCTATGAGTATAGTAAGGGCGCTATCCTCCGAGCGCGTAAGGGTACGAAAGCGCTATCGACGCTAGAGTCCATCCTCGCGGGTTTGATTGCAGGTACGTCAAAATTACCCCTCAATCCTGTTCACCCTATCAATGCTTGCGAATCAGGCTCGGCAACAACTATAATCAGCAATCCAATCTGGGTTGTACAAACATCCCAAGCCGTCAGCGGCATGAACCACTCGCCAACTCCCTCCGATCCTTCCTCTTCGTCCTCAGCGCCAGTCAAACAACAGCGAAAACTTGGAACGATCGAAACCTTCCTCCATATTCTCAATACCGACGGACCAGCCGCGTTTTTCCGAGGCCTAGGTCCAGCACTTGCGCTAGTGGCCAACCCTGTTATTCAGTATACCGTATTCGAGCAATTGAAGAATGCCGTTGTAAGACGGAGGAAGGCGAGTGGAGCAGGAGGGAAAGGAAATGTGTTGACGGACTGGGATTTCTTTTTCTTGGGGGCGCTATCGAAACTTGGTAAGTCGCAATTTCTGACGTGCTCATCGCATGGCCACTGATACTCCATGCGCACGTTCTGCAGTCGCAACTGGGACGACCTATCCATACATGTAAGCCCTAGATTTATCATCATTTCCTCTATGTTATTTTCATCTAAGACATCGTCGCCTAATCTCTCCCGCTCTCGCAGTGTCATCAAATCTCGACTGCAGGCTAACCACGAACACGCAAAGCAATACCGCTCTGCATGGCACGGTATCCGCACCGTTCTCCGTGAAGAAGGCGTCGAGGGTTTATACAAGGGAGCGCCGAGTAAGCTGCTTCAGAGTGTGTTGACGGCGGCAATCTTGTTTGCGGGTCAGAGAAGGATATACGAGATCACCAAGAAGGTGCGTCTTTCTTTTGTTAACTCTTAACTGCTAGTTAGGCATAAAGTTCCCTACCGAGCTCCATCAACGAGAGGATGAAATATTGATTAAACACTTCAACTATATGTCTAGGCGATCTCGACGGTGGGAACGAAGTGACGGCTCTTCTTGAAACGCGTCGTCGACACCACGTATATTTATTCCTGTTATCAATTCTTATATTTGCGCTTCCTCCGTTCATTATAGCGATATGGTGCCAGTGATGCGCTTAGCACCATCAGGGCAAGTATTCGACTGGTTATAATCCATGACCTCGGGTACAGTGGTCAGGATACGTGAACATTGTCCAAGGTTGACAATTACTCCTCATACTGGGGGTTCACGAGGAGTACAAACGGCCGCGTTCGTTTGTCACGTCGTATACTAAGCTGTGCCGCCGATGGCATCCGCAACGAGTAGCTTTGTCCGTGCACATATCTAATGGAACACGTTCCTAGACCAGCTTTTTGCTCCTCTACGTCCATATATCGTCGCTCCTTAACTGTAACGCTTGAAGTCTCGGGCTAGACGGTTCGGACGAAGTGAATGATATTGAAGTAGTAGGTCGCAAATTGAACTGACTGTATCGACATGTAGACTGCCTACCACTTAATGATCGCAGATCCCTGTTCATTCGTATGAGTACACGTAGATGAGGACATCGACGGCGACGAGCAGTGCTGTGGAAGATAGTCACAGTAGATTTGTCGCCGTGAGCCTGTGCTGCGAAGCAGCGCGAGTCGAAAGCTAGACGTAGGTTATATGTAAGAATGGGGTATAAGTATAGTGGTATTACTATGTTGGATTCAGTATCTCAGAGAGCTTGTAAAACGCGAAGACGCATCGAGAGAGAAAGAGAACAGGAAATCCTTCACGTTGCAGGTTCGTCCGCGATGAGACCCTTGGAGCCGACTTGTGGGGTTCCCGAACGGCGCCACGCGTCGTACCGTTTCCTCGGCTCGACGACCGGCTCCCCACAGGCCAACCACAGGCCACCCGTCGCTCTTCCTCGAACTCCCAACTTTTCGCTCCACACATTCGCATCTGTAATCTATCCCAGGTACATCTTTATGCCTTGCGGATTTTCCGTGATACTAATGAGAATACAGTGCCTCAAGAAGCGCATCTCACAGCTCACGGCCACATCCATACCAGTCTGCAAAAGATCACTCCATCGACTATCTCGTTTCTCATCAAGTCTACCGCCTGTATCCATATCATTTCTCCTGGATCGTTGCCTTCTATACCATCTTCCCAAGTTGAATTAAATATATCCAAGACCATCATCGTCTGTGATTCGTCTTTCGCAAACTCGTCATGGTACGTCTCATTCACAGAATGGTTCTAGACTTATTCTCTCTTGAGTCTTGCGTGTCCTGCTTGGCTTATTGGACTTATGCTTATATTAATATGCTGAAATAGGCCAGTGGAACGGATCAGCTCGAACGCCTCGTCCTCTCCGGCGAGCTCTTCAACGGAGCTTCACGCTCCTCATCCCCGTCACGATCACCCTCTCCCGACGCCCAATCAGTCAAATGGCCATCAGAAGACTTTGACGACGCAGAATACGAACGAACCACATCCTATATATCCAATCCACGTCGCACCGAGCCCGAAGTACACGCAGACGCACCATCTGCTGCATCGTCGGGACCAGGTCGGACAGGTGTGAAGGGCGTCATTCGAGATCGTGACGAGGCAGTTGCATTGGCGCGGAATCAACGTAATAGAGATGTGGACGAGATGAATAGAGCTATGGAGAGGGCGAACCTCGGCGGGAAGACATGGGCGGAGGAGGAGAGGGAAAAACGATGGCAGGATATACTGGAAGGGAACGCTGGGTTAAGTCCAGAGGCCCTGTTCGCTATGGGAATGAGTGGCAGTGGGATGGACAAGATGATGGGTGAAGGCCCGAAGAAGGGGAGGTTCGGCCATTTGAGAGAGGTAGGGATGAGAGGGTATGTCTCGGCTGTTGAGGATGAGGATAGGGACGTTTGGGTAGTGGTGCATATCTATGACCCGGTGAGTCTTCGCCTTCATTGTTTGCGCATTTGGACCTCCACTTTGGAAGATGCATTCGTGGTTCATTTGGCACGATACACTGGTGGGAGCCTGGTCACGTCATCCGATCTGTTATTTCCGCCGTTGATATGCCTGCAAGTACCTCACCTAAGTGTGCTTCTTTGCCTCTGTATGCCCAGAGTGAATCCCCATCGATGCGACCTGCAAAGACAGGGACTTCGAATATGTGGCCAATTGCTAGACTTTCCTAATGCCTCCGTGCGCTCCCGGCTTCCCCGCATCCTGTATCTATTTCTCTAACCCAAAAGCTTACCGCCTGTCGTATGGTTTTCCACGTAGTCACTCGATCGATGCGATCGCCTGGACGACACACTTGTTCACCTCGCCCGTAGCCATCCTTCCACCAAATTCGTCCGCTGCCGAGCCACCGCCATTGGCTTCGCCTCCACAACTCCCTCGACATCTAGGACCACTACATCCCGCACACATCGCCCAACAAGATCACTGCACTCTTCGTTCCTCGCAAATGACGACGGGTTTGGAGACGGGGAGGAAGACGACGAAGAAGCGGAAGGTGATGGGGACGAGGACAATGTGGATACGGATATGTTGCCGACGATGCTTGTATATCGGGCTGGTGAATTGGTGCATAATTGGGTGAGGGTAGATTGGGAGGCGGGAAAGGCGGGCGTTGAGGAGTTGTTGCAGAGGTGTGTACTTCCACTTCTCCCTCTCTTTGCGGTTAGTTCCGGCGTTTCTCCACGCTCAATCGAAAGCATTCATATCTCGTTCGAAACTCTCTTGCTATCGCATGTTACCCTGCGCTCGATGTCACTAACTGCATATTCATGTTCGTTGTTCAATTTCGTGTCATATAGGCATCATGTCATCCAACCTCTACGCGTTGGATCTGACAATCTCGGTCTTCCAACAGACGAAGAAGAGGAAGAGCTCGGTTTGATCGGATCCGAGGACTGAGCAGCATATGGGGCCGCCCTTTGCGAAATGTATCCCGATATGTTCGCTTGCAGAATAGGCGATGCGCGCCATAGGCGTATTCAGGATAGATGAAACGAACTTTGTTTCGAAATAGAAGTCCGGCAGGATGTACATTTCCGTGAATAAACGATTGACTTCCTAGGTTCGGAATTCTCGTGGACATGAGTCGCATTTTCGAAGCGCTGATCTCAAGTGGTATCAATCGTCTATACGACTTCTGCTACTCTACTAACAAACACGCCAGCGGTATACACAAGGAACACCCGACCATAAGCAGGCGAGTCATCTTCGTCTCTCTAACCGAGTCACTCCAGCGTTCATGGATATCGACTTACGCACGTCGTGCTCCATAGCTTTCCCAGGGAATAGGTCGTCAAGGCTTCTTACATCTCCCCTTCTCCCGCGAGAAACGAAAATTATGAGCCATATCCGAGATCTTTTCGCAACCGACCTTCTCTATCTTTGCGCTCAGTTAAGCTACCAGAGTGGAACACGTCTCCTCTAGGGCCTTCTTGTCATTGCCATACCTTGTTGTTGCCCTCTCTCTGCTCGCGCGTCTATCTCGGGCACTTCTTCTCCTTTGACATCTCATACTGCCGCGCTACTCAGCGAGCTTCCCGAGCCTCCTCCTTGTTTGCCTGACTCGATAGTAGGCGCACTATCGACCGCTCGAACCATGACATTGCTGTCCGATCGTTGACCCATACACACACTGGACATCTCGCGGTTTCCGCCTTCGTTGGTGTTTCCTATGTCTCGTTGTTCCCTTCATTCGAACTGTTCAAGCTCGCGTATAGATCTCTGTCAATTCACCGTCGGATACTTCGTGGCGTTTTGACTCCTGATTAGTTTCACTGGCGGAGCCGAAGCTGGCACGTCCGCCCTCCCGTCGCTCTATGCACATGAGTGGGAATTCCCTCAGTTTATTGACGACGACTGGCCTTACCTAGGTAGGTGGCGTGGGGCGAGAAACCTTGCAGTGCTAATGAGCTTGCCCGGAACTTCGACGAAATGCATTGTGGACACAGAACCCGTCATTCAGTTCAACGCCACTTACTATCAGTGAAAATGTGTGGTCTCACAGGCTTCTTTCGTCACAGTATCATGCAATCCAATTGACGGCTGTATTTTTTGCAGTGTAGGCAATTGCGTCTTTTCCGTCGTGCGGCGAATGTCTCAAACGGCGCCACTCATATTCAAACTCAATGCGGGCGATGACGCAATATCTTTGTCAAAAGTGTCGAAAATCAGACTAGAGTTATAACCTTGGTTATGACCATCGCCCCCGAGCTCCTCAGCCTGCCTCCAACCGTTTTCCACTTCTGATCTTTACACTGGTCTCCCTGTTACATCGGATGTCTTTGAACGAGGAGTACATCACGCTCATTCTGGACGAACTCGCAGGCCTGAGCGGGGCCCACCTTGTCATACCGCTCCGTGATATACGCGCAAACTGCTACTACCCAATCAAATATCTGAAGTTCCTCGCCTGGACTATTTATTGGCTCGAAGGAACAATTACCTTAGATGGCGAGGTTCTTCAGGTTGAGGACCAGCTAACTTCAAGCTCAGTCTACACCTTCCACTTGGACCCACCCAGAGACCGTAAGTTCTAGCCGTCTTTAGGTTCGACCGTTTCACCCATTGATATGGCTGGAGCAGTATCAGAAGCTGCACCCGTTAATCCAGACGCCGCTCTCAAGACCGATTCATCAACCTCTGGTACACGCAACGCTATCTTCATGAGTGGCCTTCTCAAGCGTGACGAAAGCTGTACTTTCACCGGAATGGTAGACTCTCACTGTGATTCCGTACATTTGATCCCATTCTCCAAGGGTCCAGACGTACGTTCAACTCTTTGAGCAAACTTATTCACTTGCTCCTGTACTGAGATGATCCGGAGGCAGTTCTTTCAAGCCGTCGTCGATAGCCGTTCTCGCTCAACCTCACACGTCTGTGAAGAAAACATTCCTTCGCTCGGCGACGAACTCTCCAATGGTATCTTACTCTGTCAAGAAAATCGCATGTTGATAGATGAGAAGTGGTCAGTAGCAATCATGAAGGTATGGAATAAATAATCCGTACATCAACCTTCTTCGAACGCCGTGCAGAACTGTGCCACTGGTACTGACCTACAGCCCTGTTGCAGACTCCTAATCCCATATTGTCCGCAGCCGATATTCCATCTCCTCCGACTTTTCGCATGTTCCTCTCGAAAGGCATCTGTCCTATCCGCCAGAAGAACGCTACACCCTTCAGCAAATATCTTTGGTCGGCAAGTACCTCACTCACCAAAAAGACTCGGTATGGACACCCAATAACGTCGATGCCGCTTGTGTCACGGCGACCGGACTGCCACAACCATCTGTGCTCCTTCTTCACTATCGTTATGCCGCCAACGTCCTGATACTCTGGGGACGAAACACGGAAAAACTCTCAGAGCTGGAAGGCTCCACCACACGGCGTCCTAAGCCTTGTGTGGGTTCTTCTACGAAACAAACTTCCGAAACATCGGACGATCGTCTCTCCGCAAATCCACCACACTTCCCAGAGCCTTCGCAAAGAGTCACTCAGGCTGGTGGTGCCTCTACTGAAGCCAAGGATTCCATGGATCTTCTGCTCGAAATCCCTCACCTCCGTCAAAACATCCTTGACGCACGAGCCGCACGACAGGAAGAGCTCCGAATAGACGTACTCGATTGGCAGAGCAAGACCACAGATTCACAGAAATGACGAGACTCAGCTCGGGCGCAGTGGGTACGAACTGCTTTGTTCTTGATTATGCTACAGTATTCAAGATATACATACGATATAAGTCTCGACCGAAAGGCCACTAACATAAATAACGGGCAATAATACTGCCGACCCAAAACCATATCAAATATGCCTCTTGAACGCATCCTCTCCTTGTATCTCTTCGCGCCTTAGGTTATCCATGGAGTGGTGATCTGTCATGTCCCTAAAACCAGTACCTTGTTGTTCCCCAATATCCTGCATTTCATTTCGGTCGACAATTGCTCCCACACTCAACTCACAGTCTGTGTCTGTGTGGTCACGATAAAACTTGGGCTGGGCACTGGAAATACTCTGCGGAATCCCCAAACCCTCGGCGCGGTCGGTCATATCTCGGTATTTGGGATCTATATTCCCTGGCGAGGCCATTCCGTGGACAATGGGTCGTTGTATCGTTTCAAGCTCCACAGTGACAACAATGGGCTTTCGGTGGTCTGTGCTTGAGAGCGTCCCATGTTGTGCAGTCGAATCGATCTTCTCGCAAACACTGCTCCTGGCCGTGGTATAAACCTGAGAGACGAGTGATTTGACGCCGCGGACGAGAGCCTACGGCGAGGCATAATATATGAACCTCCCAACATGTGGTACAAGGGAGACGAGTAGCCTACCGGATCTGAAGCAGCGAGGAGAGCGTAGACCACAGGACGTGCACCATAAAGGAAATCGCCTATATACGCGGAGGTATTTCAAGACTGTCACTGCCAATCATAGAGGTCGATCATGCTCACTTAAGAGAAGGATATTGTAGTCCTAGGTAAGATGTGCGTCTCAACACAGACCATTCATGAGGAAGAACGTTTTAAGGCTCACCGTTTGAGACACAATACCACTTGTTACAGTGGAGTGTACGGCTGTAAAGATACTCAAGAGATTGATCACACATGACACGAGCGGGTAATATGCTGGGCATATACAAATTACAAACGGAGAAGAATAGGATGGTTGAGACAGCTCACCTACGCGCACGATAATGCTTTTGTAGTTGGTGGCATATATACGTTGTGGCAACACGGAGCGGTCATGCGCCACATTATTGTGAGATTGTCCTTGTAAGCTTCCAGCACTAGCGGTGTGGAAGCCGCGAGCGAAGCGATGTTTTTGCTGTAACTGAATGAACCATGAAGACGCCGCTGGATTAGGAACATAGCGGGATCTCTTACGAGTTGAGCGGGGTACCAGCTACGTACCTGATGTTTCCACATGAATATCATGACTGTTGTAGACGCACATGTCTCAACGAGAACCGTTACCACCATCCAAACTAACTGCGTTCCGATCTTGTTATGGCGTATAAGGAGACGCAAAGCTCGATGATTATCCAATAAATTCATACCTGCCACCCCAATCGCTGTACCCTGTTATCGTTCGTATACCAGCAGTCCTTCTCCGACCGGTCCCACCTATGCATCGACGATAAATATATACTAAAACAAACAAACAAAACCGCCCACCCATATTGCCCAGCTGCGTATGCAGGAATTGTTATAAGTGCGCTCATGACGACGGATCCTATCAGGTAGAACTTCTCATTCTTTCGACCGTTGTAGCCATGGACGACGACAAGCCTTATTGGGATCAGATAATGCCAATACGATGACGCAGAATATAAGCTTACTGGAGATTGAGAGCGACACAGAAAAGCATGAAGTTCGAAAATTCGAGGGTGATCTTTCGACGAGCGTACGTATCTAAGCTGCGACAACATAAGTAGATAAATTATGGCAGTACATACCTCGAGGACGAATATCGACAGTCCGCAGCCCCAACTTGGACCTGTTAACTCTCCTCCAATGACGCTTGCGGTCCCAAACAATGTGCTGCATGGAAGGTAAATGTGCGTCAACGAACAAAAACCTGAAACCACATCGAAATGACATAACATACTTTGCAACCAGTGCGTACATTGCCATGCGAAAACTCACTCGGTCAAGATATTTTCGGGACTGTGGGTGTAGCGAAACAATCCCGGCCGTAATAAGTACCAGAAAACACAGCCCTGCGCCAACAGCGGAAAATACAGCCCAGAGCTGATTACTGTTCGAACGATTTTTATTAGTTCGTAAGCATTAGTTGAAGTGTGGCGAGAATATATACTCACGATGTTATCTCCATGTCGGATGTAAATTGGAACGCCATGATGATAGAATGGATCTATCGTGTGTCGGTAAAAGGGGGATGGAGGAGGGGGGGGGCACGGTTGACGCTACAGAGAGCGATAGGCATGAATGGAACTTATAGAGTTCAGCGCCCCATGAGAATCAGACCGAGAATAGGAATACGAGAAGTGTTACAGACTCCCAGCGCGCTTTACTGCGAAAAATAGTTGCCACACTTCCATACATAGCGGCTCGATGCCATCCATGATGCATTCCAGACGTGTTTAGCCCAGACGGTTCCAATAGTACATCAAATCAGCTGCAGAGCGTGATGCATTTTGCAAGATTTTACGAGGTCTTCAGAAGAGCAGCCTGAGCCTCAAGAATCAGAAGATCCCTGTAATATAAGCGTCATAGACACAAGTTATGAGAAACAAGCAGAAAGGTAGGAGCCTACGGATGCGACCCATGGTGGCCAAACCGCCGAAGCTGTAAAAAACATAACTTGAAGGTTCTGCCTTCGATGCACTTCAAGCGCAAAAATATTCTTGATTGAGTACAGCCTGTGGTTCTATACCATCTTTACTTTCCATGGGGGTACGGGACTCGATAAGTACCGACCACGAGATAGCATCAAATGACCCACGCTGTTCTGTGATTCAGGCGGCACCGAGTCAGTGCCTAGGCTGCACAGTGGTAGGAGCGTATCACTCTTGTCAGTACTGATATTTATCAAAGATGATTGTCCCCTAATACTGACGAGTTAGCAACGCCATATCCACTTCCACAAGACACGACTGCAAGGGTATGGGAGCGTATAAATTTACAGTCAATTCAATATGTGCGATCCCAAAGCGTCGCTAATAGGCAGCGCAGGCGATCATGATTGGGTTAGGAAGGCACCGAGACAATAGGCAAGAATTGTACTTGCTACCGCGTACACGTGCGATGGTCTGCTCTCCCATTGGCGAGATTCAGATTGAACTCAGATGATGTTCGCCCGGTCCATGATCATCAGCATAATACGGCCGTGCTTGATGAAAAAAGAGGATGCACTGGGTGATGGGGTATCGCCGTATCTGGTTGCAGTAGAACCTTTACAGTTTCGGCGAGCACAGAACTTCATCCCGTAGTATGGCATGGCATCAGCTGATGCATATTTGTTCCACCGGTCGGAATAAACACATATCATGTCGAATGGAGCGCGTACCTTTAGTCCGAATAGCTTTTGTCATGCAAGCTTTAGGAGGTCCGTATGAACATTTTCCGGACAAGGCTTATTATAAGTACTGTGTGTCGAGCCTCTGGGAGCTTGATTTTATGTGGTTTAATCGCGTATGGACACTCTGCAACCAGCTTCGGTCGAGAAGTGCTGATATCCCTAGTCAAGAAACTGTCGATAACTGTCAGACCTTTCAGCAGTTGATTCAACCAAGAAATGCTACGCTCTATCAAAATGCACTCCGATTCTGCTCTTGATCGTACCTCTCTGGTATAACAAGGATTCCAAGCCCGTTGGTACCTGCACCTTCGCTCACTGACAGGTGCACGTCCCCCGCCTCTCCCTTCCATTCCCATCTGACACCATCTTCTGTGAGTTTCCCTCCTCCTTTCCGCCGATAACCACATCAAAACCCTCAACACAGGTAGTGGAGAACCTTCCTTCTGTCTCCAGAGAACGCTTCCCTTCGAGGAACACGTCTGCTTCATCCACCTCCTGCCTACCCTGGGGTTCGAATACCTCTCGATTCAACCTCTCCGTGTCCACATAAACGCTCCCGTCTAACCTTACCCATCCTTCTGCGATCCAATTATCCTCCTTCGCCCATTCGCTCTCTATCTCCAACTCATTCCAGTCTTCCTCGAGATATACGACAACATTGAAGATCGCACCACCTTTAAACCATGATCCCGGCCAATTAGCCCCTGGAGATCCACGACCAAGACCGCCCACGCCCGAATTTTCTCTTCCGACATCGTTGTCGTCCGGGTCTGGTCCCGTAGAGAAAGGTTGCATCGTCGCCTCCCTTCTATCCCGCAGACACAGGATTACCCCTTCGCGGAGCTTCTCGTCGTTGAGAGAAGAGAGAATAGAAGGAGAGAGCGTCACGGAGGAGGCAGAGAGTTGGGCGTTAGGCGCGCGGGTGAGGATGTGTGTGATGTGAAGGTTCTCAGGCATTAATTGTGTCGGAGGCAACGTGCATGTCGTATGGGATGAATTCGATGTGAAGGACGAAGGTAAAGATGGGGTAGTGGTGGAGGATCCGTAGAGATAGAACGGGGTATGAGTAGCCGGGTAATGAACGGCCTGATGACGGGCAGCGAGTGAGTGCGACCTGACGACGCGGACGTTGGTGAACTGGACGTTCGTCATCAAAAGGTTCCTGGGGTGTAAATAGGTTACGAATCTCTATCAGCATCCCATCATCGTTCAGCACGCGAAGCATGAATGTACCTCCCATATATCGTACCCACGGACTGAGCTTCACGCCCACTCGTCAAATCCTCCAGCTTACACATCTCCATATCAAGCACGTATACGTCGTCGGGCCACCTCTCACGCGCAGCCACGTACCTCTCCCAATCCTCCTCCACCCGCATTTCGACGCGAAGGATGATTTGTTGTTTACAATTGACTTCATGGAAGAAGGGACGATAGTCGAGATAGAGGTTTTTGCGGTCTGCCGAACCTTGGAGAACGAATGAGTGAGTCATTGGGCGGGGAATGTTGCGATACACGACGTGCTACAATCGGCCGCTCAGTCAGCATATAAGGACCCATACAGTACGTTGAGGGAAGTATGAAAAACGAACTTTCATCTCCTCCCTCAACACCCTCTCAAACACCGTGGCCACCTCCTTCACAAAGTTCCCCGCAGCCGTCAACGGACTCATCACCACATTCCTCAATACCACATGCCCCTTTCTCCGAGATACCTCATCTTCGACCTCCAGTCCTAACCTCCTCTTATATTCGACGCCACACTCGCCGTACTCCTCGTCCTCGAACACCGTCATACTCAAGAACAACTCCACGTCACCGGGGCTCTTGTCTCTCATCGTGACTGAACACCTCTCATATATCCTTCGATTTAAAAAGTTCGCCTCGTCGATGTCGGTGTTCAACACCCATCTGATCTTTCCGTCGTCAGTCGTATGGGGAACACGAAAGTTGCAGGCAAAGACATTAATGTTAAGATCGGAGCCCAGGGAGGAGAGGTGTTGTATGAGCGTTTGGCCGGAGTAGAGGTTTGTGTCGTTGACGAGGGAGGTGTTGGATTTGGGGAGGATGTAGGTGCGAATGAAGGATTTGTACGCTTGGGTCGAGGGTGAGTCGTGGTCGAACGTTCCCTCCGACGATGCAGAGTCGCATGGGAGTGCGTTGAACGGGACTATGACGAAGGGAGTGAATGCGTCTGAGAGAGAGGCCCAATGGGCGGATATCTATATGAAATTCATGGCCAAGCGTCAGTTGAGGTACGTCCGGAAGAATAATGAAAAACAACGGGACGTCTAAAGACCAAATCCGACCAGACGAACGGCAGTATCACCGAAGACGGGCACGAGAACACCGACAGATACATAAAAGCAATGCAGAATAATACTCACCCGTCTACAGGTAAACGAAACCTCTCCCAACAAATTCCCATGCCCATCCTTATGCGGCTCAATGACTCGATGTTGGAGATACGTCGCCACCGCCGGTCCACCAGGTTTACTACAATATATTGATACGCAAAATGAGCATCCAGCGTCAGCGGAGAGCACATCGTAAATCGTGAAATAGCATATAATCGCGCGCAATGGGAGCCAATGGTGACGAAGAAAGAAGATAACGTACCTTCCCTCTACTCCATACATCCCCAAACTCTCGCCTTTCTTGCCCTTCGCGAGATAGGGCGCTGTCCACGTAACGAGGTACTTCATTCTTTCGTCTCTGTACAGCAGGCTGCCCGCGGGGAAGGGAACGTAGCCGGATTTATGGGGATCTATAGGTCGAAGGGTAATAGTATCAGGACTGGGGGGAAAGCCAGAGAAAGGAAGGAGATGGACGGATGAATAAGGTCAGGAAACGTACCCAAAGTAATACTATCGCACCCCTTCAACGCATGCAACTGTCTCACCGTCCACTCCCGCATCGTAATCGTCGGCACAAAATCTCGGTCCTTCCCCTCCCTTTTCATCTTGCCGCCATCCTCCCTGTCCACAATTTCCATCCCATTCCTGCTATTCCTCTCGTAAGCCGATCCGTCGTCCCCGACTGAAGGAGGAGTACCATTTCGCAATGTCAGCGAGGAAGAGGACGAGTTGTTGGTGCTGATCGCCGAAGTAGTGCGGGATGCTGATTCGTCGTCATCTTCCTCTTCGTCGGGGAAGATAGGTGGTGAATGCATCTCCTCCTTCGTGCGGATCATAGTCGCAAAATACCCACCCCATGCCGCGTCCGCATGAACAAGGAAGCTACAACACACCAGTGAAAACGGAACGAATTAACACCCTCCTTCGCTACGATATCATCTACGGAATGAAACGTGAACGCACCTCATACCCCTCGCTGCAAACTCCCTCCTCACCTCCAACACCTCCAACACGGGATCTACAGCCCCTTCCTCCGTACTTCCCACCACAACAACAACTGCATATACGGCTTGCTGTCTTTGCAGACGTTCTTCTAGCGCGGCGCGGAGGTGGGGGATGGAGAGACGTGCAGTGAGTGGTTCGATTGGGACATTAATCATGCGAGAGGACCCGATGCCAGCGAGAGCTGATGAGGTTTAATGAAGCGTTAGCAAATAGACGACATAACTATATGAGAGAGAGGATATAAAATAATGGAATGGGGTGGAATGTGGAGATGGCGACGGGAGAAAAAGACGTACAGGCTCCCTTCGGCCAACTATAATGCCTTGTCGACGCGATCAAATAATCTGGCTCCACATACCCCCCATCGTCCCCTCTCTCGCAATATCTTCTCACCAACCCCTCCTTCCCACGCGTCTGTATCAAATAAGGCCCTAAGTTCTCTTCCAACCACTTCGGAGAAATGCCGTATTGGCGGACGAGCCGGCTAGGGATGGAGAGGGTGGTGTACGATGGGAGATTCAGTAGCTGCCAGGGGGTGAGGGAGATGAATAGTTGGCTTGTGTGATTCGCGGAAATCGGAGGAGAGGTGGGAAGGGTGACACGGAATCTCGGGGCGATGAAGGCGAGGGGTCCGGTGGGCGACATCGCCTCATGTAGCGCGAGAGGGTAGAATTTCAGATTACGAGCTGGAAGAAAGCAACGCGTTGTGAGCATGTTAAGGTGGAATGGAAACATTACAAGCAAATAGTACAACGTAGATGTATGACTCACCAACCCTGCACAACGTCAAAGAAGCAGAACAATAATATCAGCATCCATCTCATCCTTCACGTCGCAAAGGAGGGAAAACATACCAGATCGACTCCAAATTCGCGATTGTTCCGCCACAAACCATATGTCCCCACCCAACTACGGCGTCCTCTCCTTCCTCGTCGCCGTTGAGCCTTTCTTTATCCACGTTATATCCAACCATACGACAAAATTGCCTCCCGACTTCCATCTCGACGAGAGTGGTGAAAGGAGAAGATTCAAAAGTGACGTTATTAGGGTTGAAAATGGTGGCAGATAGCGACCCAAGGATCGAAGGGATCTGAACGAATATCAAACGAGAAGTGAGCGTGTGGCCGTGGAAGCGAGAAACGTAGGGAAAATGAGCGAGTAAAACATACCGAGGGCTCCCTGCGACAGAAACCGAAGAATGTCGTGAGCGTCAGTGCAAGAAGATGAAAGATCGTGAAAGGAAGCGCAAACGCACCATTGGATGTGGCCGTTGTACCTCGGGGAGTAGAACGGGACACAGTACTTGTTGAGAAGTCTGGAAACGTATGCAAACTCTTTCTCGAGTTTCTCCTGGCTCCTTTTGAAATGTTTCGTCTCTTGCAGACTCGGAGATATGAATTCCTACAAGTCCGCATCAAAGAATGTCGTCAGTCACACCGAGCGTACAGATGCAAAGCAAACCGCGAGAAAGGCGTAAAGCACACTCACACCGTCCTCGGGATGATACTTCTTCCTCGTCGCCACCTGATCGTGCACAAGCTTGCTGAGCAGCCTGACGAGTTGGTCGGCGTTCTCGCCCTGCGGACCGAGGAAATAAGGAGAGAGTGCTTCGTGCGTGGAATTTGACGCGTCCGACAAGTCGGCAGGGGAGGAGGCGGAGGTGTATTCGGGCCGAGCATAAAACGAGTGGAAGACATCGAAGGGAGACATGGTTGAGAGTGTTTTAGTCGCGAGGGTGTTTAGGGAAAGAGGGACAGGTAAATTGAACGCGTATCTCGTCGATATTATAACGAAGATCGGTCAAAAATGACGAGGTTAAAACGCTTCATGCGTCACGCAGCATTCCTATTTTGTTCGCGTCCTAACCGATCTCGAGCACCTTCGACTGTTCGGGAACGGGCTTAACATCCAACATCGGACACTACAGAGACGCCTCTCCGGAGACTCTGAAAGTGCTTTGCACGGCAGACAGACAGCGAGCTCGTCGAAGGCGATCGCTGCTCAATGGAGCAAATAGGAGACATCTCATTGGCTGCCGTTATGAGTGGCATGAATTGCGGGGACCGCATCGCAACAAGGAAAAGCCTAAACAGACTTTCTGGCAAAGATTCGCAACATTTTGCGACGCTGAACGTCTGAGACCAGAAATGCAGAGGAATGGAAGTAATTGCGATGTCTAAAGTTTCATCTCTGCTCAGACCCTGCAAACTTGTTTGCTACCGCGGTTGGGACAAAATCAGTTTGAAAGCAGTATAGCAGAAATGACGTGCCATAAAGGAGCGTTTGGGATGAGAAGCCCCTTGAAAATGACAGACTTCATGCAATTGACATGCGATGCCCGTCCATCAACCGACCTCGAGGTAGCACTGCATCATATGCGCTTCTTCGCTGTCTCGGATGAGAGCTATTAGTATGAAGAGTGTCCAGATGTTGAGGCTTGGTTGATCTTCCGATCGGAGAGGTTAATAGAAGAAAGAAATTGATGCCAGTGAGCAGTAAGATCGAGGCGGTTGTGGTTTGGATGATTCGCTTCAGTGCTCGGTACAACCGTGACGGACGCGAACGAGTGGGGTTTCGGGTTTGTTTGGCCTTGTTTGCTCATGGTTAGAGTGGCGGTGGCGTCCAGGTTGAAACCTTCAGCTCAAAGGCATGTACAAGTCACAGCAGGTCACAGCATATATTGTGTGAGTTCTAGGAGCTGTTGCAGTGCATCTAATATCATCATTACGGGTATATACGTCTTGTCGGTAGAACACCATCCAAACCTGCATTTTACGCTCGGATATCCTTCATACTGCTTGTCAACAGGCTCTTCGCAACCACCCCGTCAGCAATGACTGACACATTGCATATTCTGTCGAGCTCCTCGGTTCCATGAAGGTATCTATGCGCCCAGACAGTACCCCGTGGCCTCTCTTTCCCCAAGGGTACACTGCAATTCGGAAACGATCATATGTTCTATATTGCCCTCGAACACTGAAGCCATTCGATAACCCGACGACCAAAGGCAAACAGCAGTAATTATTTCACCTTACGGCCAGTGAGGTTGAGCATGAAAGCATATACATAGAAGAGAGCATGTTGGTACGACCAGTAGTTTCAAAAGAGTCCGATGACGAGATAAAAGTAACCAGTCCGCTGTCGCAGAGAAACGTTAAATACGCAGCACGTCACTTCAAGTCCGGTGGTAAAGAGGTACTCAGGAAGAGGAGGAGGAATGGGATAGAAGTAAGGGGAAGATAAGTAGACCGAGGACAGCCCAAGTGAAATGATGAACCAGACACCACTCATCGACTGCCAAACAATGACACAGATCAGATCCTACACAGAAAAGTATTGATCACGACGAACGGTGACTGCTCACCGAATGGCTATAAAGTATTCACTCCTGCCTCGAAAGATGCCGGAGAGTAGGCTTGTACGACCGTGCTTTGATGACCGCATCCAACTTGGAGGGCTTCTTAGTCGGGGCGCATGTGCTCGGCGCGACGGAGGGACATCCGATTTCAACGGTCAAGGAAAGCAAAGCGCCGCTGACCTGTGCATTCGGAGACATAATCGAGAGCAGATCACAGAATGTCGAGGTTTCAAACATGAGATTCGATATCGAGCACTGTATGATTAATATACGGCACCCACCTCGGCGTAAATACACGGAACTTCCAAGAATTCATAGCTATCCACGTCAAGATAGAATGAAGAATGAGTTGATGGGCATGAAGTAGACGGTGTACGGAGGGAAATCTCACTGGCATCCAAGTCCCTCGGGATGTAACATGCTCATTAGGAGCGAATGGCCATGACTATTGACTTCCGGACATGTACACCTGCATGAGACCGGACTTCCCGACGCACGAGGAGCGAGAGCCTCGGCAGCGACACCGTGGTAGGCAGATGTAGCGGCAAGACCAAGAGAAAGGAGTGTGGTGTATGAGAACTTCATTGTCGTCGGGGAGAAAAGAAAGAGAGTGTGGAGTGGTTGCGTATGTACGAAAGAGTGGAGAGTGGTTAGTCCTCGCGTTGAACAGTGCCAAGGGGGGAGAGAAACTGAGACGTCTGTGCGCCTGCGCGAGTTACTTATAACCGTTCCTGTTGCACGCACAATGATATGTATTAGGGAGTAATCCTCCTATTACTGGCAGACAGCGGGAATGAAGTCTAAAATAGCGCTGGGACGTAGGAAAGATGGCGGTGGTAAGCAGTCTTGTCGTCGACAGATGGTTTTCTGATTGCTGTCCCTCTCAGCCATCCCACCTTGAGCCTAAGGGCGGATTTGTGGATCAGGGCGATGGGAAGTATTCAACAGGATATACAGTACTTCACCGTGGATCCATGGATTTTTACGGAGTACCGGGACCATCGAAACCTTGGTCGAGGGTCCTCCAGTCCTCAGGCTGACAAGGGCTGATGGTAGCCAGGTCATTCTGCAGCCAACTCATTAGGTATATGTTGAGATGTGAAGTATGGGCCCATAGAAGAGCGTCATTGAGTTCGGGGAGCGGCAGCAATATTCTAGCACACCGCGTCGAACGGATTGTTAGCCCTTATAACTTCACGGGAAGCCTGTTTAAAATCTGTCAATCTACCTTCGAGGTGCATGACAGACGAAATTGTGCATTGCCGCCTTTAGGAAACCCTAGGCCTGGCGCGAGACACCATAAATCCGCCCATGACACTGACAGAATAATTCATCGGTTGAGGGTCCGACGTGAACATTGTCTGATACCTGCGTGTCATACAGAGCGACCCAGTCGTCCCTTTATGTCGGGAGAGTAAAGTAGAGAAGAGGGCCTGTCACGACTTATATCCTTGAGCTCCTCTACCAAGATCATATGCCCTACCGAGGAGAAGTCCAGATAAATTCCGAGTGAGGCATCGAGGGAGTGACCGGTCCTGAAGAAATCAAAGGGGCGCCTGTGTACGCCGTCTGTAGAGAAAACGATAGTACTTTTGGGCGGAGTCATTTTTACTGGATAATCCAGTAATTTATTTGCGGATCACTACCGTATTACCCTGTGCGGTGTACGGGATTGACTTCACGCAGGTAGGGGAGTTAATATATCGCGGGATTTTGTGGTGTTGTTTCTGATGAAGGTCAAGAAGTCGAAACACCGTCGAGTCGCTTGATGGCCATGATCGAGAAAGGAACCGAATACGATATAGTAGTCCTCGAAAACTGTGGTACCGCCTATCTCGAATGGGTTAACTGCACCTATACTGCATCTAGGGGCATAAGTGTCCAATAGCAGTAGTATAAGTAAACAATCACGATGTTTGAAAAGAAACCAAAGTAGTAGACGAACAGAGGTTGACGTACTAAGGAAAAATGTGGGAAGGAAAAAGACAAAAAGAGGGATTAGATTAGACATACCATATCACGTCAAACCTGCATTCTTAGATACATACTGCAGTATAATATCGGCCCAAGCTCACCCGTTGACACCCCCTTCCCTCCGCAAAATATCTGTGTGCTACATCCAGGGCACTCGAACGCACTAGCACACGAATGAGAATGTACAGAGGCCATACTCCGATCATGAATGAAATGAAGAGTACTTAAGTGCTTCGGGGTTCGATGAGTGAGACGTCGACAAATTAAAGGGGTAGAGGAGGAGGAGGAGGAGGAGGACAAAGGCTACGTTCACGATCTGTATTTCAATGCTACTACAATTGCTACGAGTGACCATTATACGTACACGTAATTAAGGTGGGTGAGAAAGTGAACGGTGAAACAAAATGCACCGCAAGCACGCAGATTGCCAATCCGCTCCTCCAGGGCTAAGGTTGAAATGGAAACCTTCCATCCTTGACGCTCGTACTCGCAAAAAGTTGGAACAAGATCTGATGCGCCTGGTCCAAGTTGCACAATACCTTTTCATTGACGAGTAGGATGATCAGCGGTCAGCTTGATCGATTATGGGGAGACAGAACACTTATATCCTTGAACATGTGGTTGGTTGAGACTGGGAATGTAATTCGGTGGGCGAAGTCAGAGGGTCGGAAGAAAAATGACAAGGAGATGTATCCCACAGGATTGCCCGGGGTGATCACGTTATTCCTTTCCAGGATCAGGGTCATGCGTTCTACTTGGGAACAAATAATGCATGTGTCGGGACTTGGGAGAGCAGGATTGGTCAAAGAAACAAAAGTGCGTGAGCGGACAAGCATCGAACAAGCGATTCCGAGGAATGGAGAAGGAGAGCTATGTCAAGAAGAAAGCTACCTATCTCTCAACGCCTGGGCATCCAAAAGCGGAGAGTAATAGGAACAGTAGCGGTTCCCCCCTTGATGAAGACTTAAGTTTCTGCGCGGGTCAAATTGCGGGTACCAGAAACCAACCCGCACCCGTACCCGCATCCGAAAAGATACGTACCCGTACGGGCCCCAGGCATCTTGAAGTCTGAGAGAAGGGAGGGCATACGAGAAAAAGAAATCATGACCTAAATACGTCACTGAAAATCGCTTCGCCAGCGCCAGCCAAGTGCCAGAGCCCGTCGTAACAACCGCGGATTCGTCAGTATTTTACAGTTCAAGGTTCAACAAACCTAGAACCCCCACCCTCATCCGCACGAAACTAAGCCATATAAAAGCAGGTTGGCCCACACCCGTTCAAAACACTGGATGAAGTTGATCAGTCGCTAACGGAGAACGGTGTAATGTAAGCATCTACAGTACTTTTCAATACTTGGGTTCAGTTTTGGTTCAGTTCCATGTCCCAGCCCAAAATTCCGTCGGTTCTGAGTCCGATGAGCTTCGATTAGGAGTCGAGGTTAACCGGCCAACCCCAACCCTGAAAGAATTTTCCGAAAATAAACCCTTGTATTGAAAATCTCAGCACTTACATTGGACGCTGTATGATTATACACTTGTGAATCCAAGTATAATGATTTACGAGGGCAAGCCAAAGAAATGCCTGAGAAGACGAGAAAGCCCGGGACAGAGATGGAGAGCCGGACCGTGACGAAGGCGAATTTTGGGTATCTAATGCACAGCGAGCAAACAGCGAGGAACGAGTTGTCTTCGGGCGTGAGCGAAAGGTTTTCTCACGCGTTTGTTGCTCGAACCACGACAACGTCGCCACATTTCGTCGCCGCTCTGCTCTTCAGGTTACCTCGAGGGCCTTGATTCACCCGCCCGCCGCTCCCAGTTCATCCTTCTTCGCCACCCCCCTGCTCAGAAGTTTCTTGGCACCATACTCCAAAACATCAAAGCCAATTTGGTGCCTGTGAGGGCCCACCCGCCCTCGCAGCTCGCCTCTTGCCCCCCTCTTGCTCCCAAATTAGACTTCCGTTCAACAAACATCTTGACCTTCTCCCGCACTGAGCTTGTGAGTCATAGAAACGGTTAAGTTCCGCTTACCATGAGGCTGAATACTTGGCAGCTAGTGTCTCTCGGGAACGCTAGCACACTGTTACTGATGCTCATTTTGAATATCCCGCTATGTCTGGACAGCTGTTGTAACGGTGCCTAATCCCAAAAGATAGAAAAGCTCTTGGCACTGTTGAGTCAATACGCGCATTGTTGTGTCGTCGCTACGCATCCTTTCGCAGCCTTTTATCAATTGACATGACCCGACGCACGGTTGTCAATGGGGCCAGCTGCATCGATAGCGGTTGGGACTGGGTATGTCCAAATCCTGCTTTTCTACATATTATGCCACCTATATCAACCATCTCTAACCTATTGTATTACGGACCAAGGCCTTCAATTCCCTCAACCAAAGTCCTTGTCAAGTCGCTGCACTTATTCTCGACGTAAATGTAGGGCCCTTAGGACCAGGATGGGTATATACGGGCCCGAAATCGCCAGGGGATATCTCGAAGCAATGCAACACTGTGGTTTACTCCCTGTTGAGCGCATGCGCGGGATGTCAAGATTGTGGATGGCAAGAGTGCGTTTTTTATTACCATTTCTCCCCTTCTCTCTACAGATATTCTGAAGTAAGTAATGGATGGTATAGCTGGGCAACTTGGCGAACGAATTGTGAGAACACTCCACCTGCTGGAAAGTAAGTCTGTCACAAGTCTATCTTATTCCAGAAGAATTATCATGACACTCACTCAGCCTGGGCTATGATATTCCCCCTGGAGTGGCGATACCGCAATGGGCCTTCAACGACTTCACTGTAAGTTCGACGCCGCCTCTTATCAGTCTGAAGATGCGACGTGAGATCTGATTTGACCGCTCGATACAAGGCAAAGGGTACTTGGGATAATGCCTCAGCCATTCAGACCGGTGGTTAGTGTGTATTAGAAATTGCTGGTTCGGACACCCAAGCTGAAACATATTTGTCAGACAACCCAGAGAGCTCTGCAATCAGCACTAGTACAACACAAACAAGTACTACGTCCGACTCTACCATCAGTTCGTCTTCCTCTGCAACGCTATCGAACACATCGTCCAGCTCTGCACCAACCAACACGAGCTCTCCTTCACCTTTCAACCGCTCGTCACGCACTGGGGCCATCGCAGGAGGAGTCGTCGGAGGGCTAGTCGCCGTACTTATTGTTGCCGTACTAATCGCCTGCGTTTTGAAGAAGCGCCGAAAAGTCTGGCGCGGACCTGCGGCGGCATCAGGCGATATGGAAGGGAAACATCCTATGGTGTCTGTTGATCGTCCAAAGCATTATGTACGTCCCGTTTTATTAACTATATCGTTGCGCAGAGGTAATGCGTATTTTGCTAAAGTTTACTTCATCCCTTGTATCCCTCGTGCGGTCAGGATCCCTCCGACCCAACAACTTTCCCAGATACGAGCACTGCAAATTTGGCTGCCGTGAATTCACAAGATCTAAACTTCAGGGCCTCTCAGACATATCATGGGCTTCCGGAAGTGTGAGCAGGCCTGTACGAAGAGGGTTTCTTCCGAAAAAAGTTGATGTGGGGAGTCATGTCTTCTTCTTGCGTCTTCTGTCTTCCAACGAATCTTTAATGCTCGACGCCTGCTCAAACTCATAGTTCGAACACCTTGCGCTTTTCTTCTATATTCATAAATAGCGAGTATGCAGCCTGTAAACGATGGGCTGCATCACCATCAGCTCCAGTATATTGAGGATAGAGCGTGTACAGTGACACGAGGCTTGTGTATAAATTGGGTAGCGAGAAATATACGCAAGTCGGCGTGACTTTCGACTCTCTCAGGTAACGAGGTTTTTTTTTTCTTTTTTCTTGACTGCGTACTCCGCCACAGTCGCCGACGGGGGCATTGTTTTAGCCTACGTCTCGTAGGTGCAGTGACAGTAACGATACAATAACCAAAACCGTAACAATTACACGAACCGAACCTAGTAAACTGTAATGTAAACATTCCTAGGCTCCAATACAATAACGGAGCCAATGTCTATCCAACTACACCAAAAGCTACACGCCAAGCTTCTAGTCCAATATTACAAGCATCGGCGCACGCCACACGACGCCACGCCACCTCAACCCCTCGGAATATTCATTGCAGGCGCCAAAGTTCCCACCGCCACAGCCCCCAAACCCCATTGTCCGGCCCACCTCAACTCCTCGGAATCCGCACCGCAAGCCCCAAAGTGCCCACCGCCACAACCGCCATAACCCCAAAAACCATCGACCCCCCAAGCTCGCTCCTCAAACCTCGCTCCTCATGCTCCATGAACTTCTTCTCCAGATGCAGTGAGAACGAGAAGAGCGAGGTGACGATGACGGGCGCGATGGCGCGGGCGGTGGAATGCGCCATTTGTGCGAGGGCGTTGGTCGTGGCGAGGTGTTCGGGTGGGGAATAGGTCGTTAGGAGGAGTTGCATTGCGCCTGTATGGCGTTGAGAATCGGGATATCGTCAGTTTCCGATATCCAGAGGACGAATGAACGGGAAAAACAGACGCACCATAGCAGGTCAACCCCGCAGCATTGCACACATACTGCAACACAATCGCCGCCCACGCCCACCCACTAATCATACCCTCTTCCTCTCCTCCCATCTCCGTTCCGAGCGCGAAGCTTCCGCGTCCTACATCCCCCGCGCTCGAACGCACGAGCACGCGAATGACAATGTATAGAGGCCATACGCCGATCATGAGCGCCATGAAGAGAACGTAGGTGCTTCGGGGTCCGATGCGTGAGACGACGAAGGGGTAGAGGAGGAGGACGAATGCTACGTTCATGATCTATCTCCGCCAGCACCACCGGCACGAGTAAGCATTACATTTACACCCAACAGCGGAGCGTGCACTATAGATGTATGTAGGAAAGTAAAAACAAGGAAACGAGACGCACCTCAAACACGCCAATGACCACCCCTATCTTCCGCGGTTGAAATCCCAACCCTCCATTCTTGACGCTCGTACTCGCAAAAAGCGGAAACAAGATCTGATGCGCCTGGTCCAAGAAGCCCAATGATGTGGTATTCATCAGGAGGATGAGCAGCGGTCGGTTCGACAGGACGGTCTTAATCGACGGAGAGGGTGATGATTTTGCTTGTGCTTTTGAATGAGGCTGAGGGTGTGCTTTTGTGGGCGAAGCGGGAAGGGAATGAGAAGGGGAAGGCGAGGAAGGAGATTTGATGAATGACGACGCTCTCGATAGAGATTTAGCCCTAGAATAGGTCGGAGTGTTGGGCATGTCGTGGTGGGGAGCGAGGGTGGAGCTGTAGGTCGAGGGAGACGAAGTGTGGTCGATGAGGACTGTGCGTTCATCGGCTGAGGGAAGGGAATAGTAGGTCGTCTCTGCGCTGCTAGAGTCGCTGCAGTCTTCTTCTTCTGACAGAGGTTCGGTGTGGATGGACGAAGATGCCAGCGCGGATGTCTATAGTTGATTCGGATAAAACTATTATGCATAGCCATAGGAGTTATATGGAAAGATAGACTAACCTCCCTCAATCCGAACAAACTGCCCATGAATATGACGAACGTGATGGCGCCCATAATCACACAAGGCAGGAAATACGGATGCTTGATCCAAAAGTCGTTACCGAAGACAGAGGGCCAGTGTTTAGCAGGACGAGAGAAGTATCCTCCGATCAACGGTCTGTGCCGAATGTGTCACGAATCAGAATTGCAGATATAACAAGAGTGGACGGGGTTAATGAGACGCACCCGATCGCAGCGCCAACCGTCCAGGTCATTGGGATAGCGCCAAACGCCCTCGCCTTTCTCTTCTCCGTCTGTTTCCTATGCACTTCATCCTCCTCGTCCTCCCCATGCGTATGTGAACCGGTGCCCATGACGACCTCGCCCAACATCGTCTTCGCACTCCCACTCATATTCCCATTAAACACGCCCTGTAGAAACCTACTACCGACCATCCACACAAAAACGCCCGTTGAAGCCTTCAGGAACGGGATTACCGGAGGCGAGAGTCCAAAAGAGAGAATAGAAAGCGAAAGGCCGAGGAGACCGAGAAGGAGAGTGGGACGACGGCCGTAGGCGTCTGAGAGGCGAGCCCAGACGATGACGGAGGAGACTTCGCCGATGAAGAACATTGATTCCTGCAGAGATTTATCTGGTCAATGTAGGATTTGGAGAAGGGAAGAAGGATGAGCGTACGATTATGCCGGCGAAGTATCCCGTCTTGGCGTTATCCTCGCCGGTGATGCCGCTCTCGCGGACGAAGGCGTTGATGAAAGGGTAGATGACTGTGGCACAGAGGGGTTCGACCCACATTATGAGGACAATTAGCCAGAATTCACGCGGGAGGGAACTCGAGTTGCGGCTTTTGCTGATTATAGACATGGCGTATGATGATAACGACGAGTGAAGTTAGGGGCTACTGATAGCCCAAGTGATAAACTATGAAAAGAAAAAAACGAAAGGAATGGTGGTGAAGGCGAGCGGACAGCAGAGATTAGCCAGCGTCGTTGTGGTCGGCGGCGAAGATGATGACAGTCAAGAGGAAGATTTGGAAAAAGAAAATGACAAGAGCCGGTTTGCATGACGCTCGATCGAGCGTCGGAGGCAGAGTAGATGACGGAGACATACGAGGGGTATCGCTCTGGCATGATTACACCGGGTAGGGTGACGTTCTTCCCTTCCAAGATCATAGGTATGGATTCTACTCGGGAACAGAACATGCATGTGTCCGGACTTTGGAGAGCAGGAATGGTCAAAACTCAGGGAAGGTGAAGCGCTGGTGGTGATCAGAGAATCAGAGCCAGCGGACAAGCGATTCCGAGGAAGGAGCAAGGCGAGCTGTGCCAGGAAGCGACGAAGAAGTGACAACATGTCCTAGACGCATGTACGTCGAAAAGCGGAGAGCACTGGCAAGAGGAACTAGCAATGATGCAACTCGGGCTGACCACACTCAGGCTGGTCGCCAACGCCGAACGTTCTAATTTCAGCGTCCACATCAGATATCGTGTAATTCTCTGCTTGCAAAGCGCCGCATATAGTCTCTACGAGGACCAGTCGAACAAGGAAGTAAGAAATTGACGAAGCTGGAGCCGGACATGGACAGCTCGAGGAATGCGAATCCAGGACTCGGAGAGCCTGAACGAAGGTTATGCACCACGTGCGTATGCGAAAACCTCTCCTGCGGCAAACGCCGTAAGCTGTTCAGCTCCGACAACCAACATTCATCAGCACAAACTCACAGTGCAATCTCCGTCTTCTACAGCTTGAAAATGACCACTGAACCTTTGAAATATCACCTTATGGATATCCATCCTCGTACCCGCACGATGTCGCCGCAACGGGCCCGGTAACATTCCCCGCCTGGCAACGACAGATCCTCGGCACCTCTCCGCGTTGATGCTCTATTCGCCTCCAAAAAAGCTCTGACAATGCCCATTTTCGTGACCGACGACTTTCGTCGAGATCTTCGCTACCCATGTCTGTAACCAACAAAAGCCTTGGGTTTCTTCCCAAATCCCCTTCGTTCGCCAAATGCCATCCTGGTCTCGTCTACCCACTTCCCTCGGGTCCCTCATCCCTCCGGAGCCACACTCAACATGCGTCTCCCTCCCTGCCTGGTCAGACGTACACGGCATCGCGCTCGAAGACCCGAAGGTTCTCGGACAGCTAAAGATGACATACCCGAGGATGTGGATTCATGAGAGCATCGTCAAGGTTCGTCCCTTTTACTCTCTGTCTGCCCGGTGTTCCTTCCATAGATATGTGAAACAGGGATATTAGAGACGTATACTCATGCGTAATTCTTTTAACTCTACAGCTCGCATCCATCTTTGAACAAAAATACGCCACCTCTCCCTCCGAACGCGCCCTCCTCCTCCCGTCCTCCCACCTCGCCTCCCTCTCCCAAAAATGGCTCATCGCAAACGCCTTTTCCTCTAATAATACGTCAAAATCTACCACCGCCACCGCCACCGCGTCTCCAGCTGCTCGCCTCCTCTCATCCGAACAAAACCAGCTCCTTCCAGCCTCCAGCTACCCCGAGGTTCAAGTCTACGTGGTGATGGTACAGGAGCAATATTGGACACTCGCCATGAGTCTCTGGACGCATTGTGGGTTTGGGGTGAGCAGTCGGTTGGTGGAGCGGTATTTGACGTTGTTGGAGGCAGAGGAAGAGGAACAGAAGCATGAGCAGGAGGGATTCCGGTTGTTGGAGAAGGGAAATGTGAAAGCGAAGAGGAACGGAAATGCGCGCGCTACGAACGGGAATGGACATCTATCGAACGGTCATGCCTTCACCAACGGCGATGCAGCTAACATCAACCAATCCATTGACCCAACGCACCCCTTCTTCAACACCTCCGCCACCTCCGGCGCCCTCATCTCAGCCGGCACGGAAGCTAAAACCGTCATTCGTAGCCGTATCGCCTCGTTCGCGTCCTCCGAGTCGAATCCTATCGATCCCGAAGACGTCTTTCTGTTTCCGAATGGGATGATGGCGGTGTGGAGTGCGCATAGGTTGGTTATGGAGAGTATGGGTGAGGGCAGGAGCGTATGTTTTGGGTGGGTGCTTTTCCACCGCTCCGTATCCGCGTCTGTTTGCTTACTGACTATACGACTCTGATTGTAGGTTCACGTACTGCGATACTATCAAATTCCTTCAGGAATGGGGACCGGGCTGTATCTTCTACCCGGACGGTTCAGAGTCCGACATCGACGCACTCGAAGCACTGCTCGAGCAGCAGCACCTCAACGCCGATACTCCGGCCGCTCCTCCCATAAAAGCCCTCTTCACCGAAAGGCCCTCCAACCCCCTCCTCCGCACCGCCAACCTCCCCCGCCTGCGCGAACTCGCGGATCGGTACGGCTTCGTGGTCGTGGTGGATGATACGGTCGGAAGCTGGGTGAATGTGGATGTGATGACGCCGGGGTATGCGGATGTGGGGGTTTGTAGTTTGACGAAGTGGTTTAGTGGGCGGGCGAATGTCATGGGCGGGAGGTACGTGTGTTTCCGTTCCCACAACTGTAGCTGCTATTATCCGCCTTTTTATCCAATTATCGAGCCGCGCGTTCGAAGAGTTGTACTAACTATCGAATTTACGTTTAGTTTGATCCTCAATCCATCCTCGCCACACCACGCCCTCTTACGTTCGACCATGCTCAATACGACCAAAAATCCCTCCGATATCCCCTCTTCGGACATCTTCTTCCCCACCGAAGCCCTCGTCATGGAATACAACTCGCGCGACTACCTCCCCCGTATGCGTATCCTCAATCATCGTGCTGCGGTCTTGGTTGAGTTCTTGAGGCGCAAGATGGAGATGGAGGGGGGAAATGGGGTTAAATGCGCAGGCGTGATCAAGCGCGTTATGTATCCCGATTCACAAACGACGGAGAACTACGAGCTTTGTCGGCGTCGATATCCTCTCGTATCTCACCCCTCCAATTGCCCCCTTCCCTCCGACGCCCCATCCTCCCTTTCACACCCGAACAAAGGACAATACAAAATCGAACCAGGCTACGGTCCCCTCCTCTCACTCCTGTTCCACACACCCGCACAGGCACGCACGTTCTACGACGCTCTCAAGAGTCCGAAGGGAACGTCGTTCGGGACGCCGTTTAGTATGACTTTACCGTATGTTTTGATCGTTTATGGGGGTCAGTCTAGTGGAGATGTGGACTCGGTTCAGGGAGAAGGGGACGGCGGAGGGAAGGAAGAGAAGCAGGATTTGAGGTGGGCGGCGGAGAGGGGGATGGAGGAGGGGTTGGTTAGGGTTTGTGTGGGGTGGGAGGATGAGTGTGAGGGGGGAGTGGAGGAGGATGGGATGGAGCTGGTTCGGGAGTTCGAGAGGGCGTTGAGGGTCGTTGAGGAGATGGAGGTGGGTGGGAATGCGTGGAAGGTGAATGGCGAGGCGAAGGTGAAGGTGAGTGGGAATGGGCATGCGAGTACGAATGTTGCTTGAGGGGACGAACTGTTCTTGTCGTGAAGGCCTTAATAATACTTATATTATCTGGCATGTCCTTTTTCCGCGCGTGTTTTGGAGCCGTTACCACATGCGATTCGACGTTCTAATCGTAATATGATCTATTCATTCCATCGAGTCGTTACTGTAAGCACACGGATTAACCTCGCTGGACTCGGAGAATGCCGCTGTGCGACAGAGGAAGGGTGTTGCATTTTTCTGCCCAAAGGACCGGTCGGCGGTTGTCATTGATCACTGTATAGCGTGGGAATGTCTAATAAATCTCAATTAAGTGGTATGGCTTTGCGGCGCTCTCCAGTCTCAGGCTCCTACATCGTGCATTCATACCATGACTTTGACCGCGCAAATTCTTTTTCCCTTGCAACAGTCCTCTGTAGAACTTGAGTATTGTCGTGATCGACCACTTAAATACATTGCGACTAGATATACGGCCACCTCTGGACCATGCCACAAGCAAGGCCAGAGCACTTGTACGCTCTTGTTTGCCGGAGGCTTGTCTCTCAGTCAGTAGCACTCGATTCACCACTTCTTCTATTCGAGACTGATGATAGCAGGCCAGGAGACATGGATTCCTGTGATTAGACATCTGTACCGCCTCACGTCTGAGGCCGGCAGTCGTGTCACGATAAACTCAGCATGGGTTCTGGAGCGCCCTAACCATGGTGCAGCTGCGCTCCTAAACGAGGAGATCCTGAAGGAGCATTATTCCGTGATATGTGCGTTCCTGGCTCAACGCTTATTATCTCCAATTCCGTCGGTCCACTTGGAAAGCTCATATGGACTGTTTCTGACCGTTGCAGTTCCGAGCCGACAGTACGCCACAATGATACAAAACTTCCTACATTCCGACGTGCTTTCAGCCAGAGAGCGTTCGAATCTCATTGGCATCGGCCACTCAGGTGGTGGAGGTTCTCTGTATGTATTCATCAGTGTGTCATTACTTGCTATTGTAAATCAATGACTCACCTACTTCCTCTCGTACAGGATCCTGGCCTTCGAAGGAGAGACTGTGAATCTTCCTATTCAGCGCTTGATCCTGGTCGAAGCTCCTCTCATCGGTCCAGAGTGTTGGGGAGAACTACAGCAGCTCTACAAGGGAGTCGTACGTTCAAACGCTCGCCGACAGAAGAACTGGCCTTCGGAAGAAGAAGCTATGAAGTGGATCAGAACTCACGCCCCTTGGAAGACTTTTCATCCGGACGTTCTCCGCATCATTGCTGTACGTGCGCAGAGCATTAATATATCATTTATTCTTGGTTTCTCTCCCTTCTTCATATATGTGGCTGATTGAACTGCTCTGAGTTTGCAGGAAACGTACTTCAGGCCCGATCCAGAACACCCTGGTCGTATCACAACTAAGACTACCATCGAGCAGGAGACCGCATCCTTCGTCGATGATGGAACACATCTCAAAGCAACGCCGTACTTGCAATCTATTTTGCATATTCTTCCCACTCACTTGATAAACGGATCCAAAAAGGATCTATGGTGCGTGATGCTATACTTTTGAATAAACACCGGATACCTTTTCCATATTCGTCAACACGGCATACCACCTCTGTGCTAGTGTCTTGATCTAGGCCTGTGTGTACTGGGTGCACTCATTTTCCCCCGAACATATCTATGTACCATAGGACTCCACGAATGTATGAACAGATCGAAGATAATCTCGCGCGCGGTCGCCATGCGCTTGCTTCAATAACCACTATTGAGGGCGCAGGTCATTATGCGAGTGATTCCATCTTGCTTCGCTGCCACGTTTTACTGACGAAAACCTTGTCTGTGCCTCAGATTCCTACCCAGATGCCGGAAGAGCTAGCTAAAGAGATTGCTCATATACTTCAGGTCCACGCTGACGAGGGCCATGTAGCTAAATTATGAGGTACTGATGCACTGGTTGGGCACAGTAGTGAGAATCACTTGCTCTAGGTTCGGATGAGGAAGAGCTTCTGAACAATATATGAACTTTTCGAGTCCTTAGTCCAAAACAGCTTATCGTCGTCGCACATTTCTGAGCTACACTTGAGCCTCGTCGCCAAACTGGATGCTTCTTCAGCAAGCTCAACTATGTTGACGTGAGATACCACCTGGACCTCCGTAATTGCGAGGCTCACAACGTCCCCTGAGAGGTGTCTATGCCGGAACGTTGTCAGAACGAGTAAGTAGATAGGATGCATGTGTATTATGGACCGGCTGACCTCGCGGAGCGGCCACCTCCTCCATAGTTAAGGGGCCTATGCTGAGAAACGATGGGAACTAATATGCCTGGCACTGTGATAAACCGGACCACAGGTCGCAAACAGGTCAAGTCCACTTCCAACGTCTACATCAGATATCGTGTAATTCTCGACTCACAAAGCGCCGCACAAGTTTCTACAAGGACCACAAACAAGGAAGTAATAAATCGATGAAGCTAGAGTCTAACATAGACAGCTCGAGGAAGTAAAACTGGGAGAGCTTGAACGAACGATACGCGCCACGTGCGTATACGAAAACCTCTCCTGCGGCCAACGCCGGAAGCTGTTCAGCTCCGACGACCACCATTCATCAGCACAAGTCTTCTACAGCTTCTCGCCCACTTGAACCACTGGACCTCTGAAATATCACCTTATGGATATCCCTCCTCGTATTCGCGAGATTTAGAGTACTGATGTCGAGACATGCCGCCAATGGGCCCGGTAACCTCCGCGTTGATGCTCTACTCGCCTTCGAAAATGCTTTGACGATTCCCATTTCTGCGACTGACGACTTTCGTCCAGACATTCGCTGCGCATGTCCATAACCAATGAAAGCCTTGTGTTTCTTCCCTAATATCTTCCTTCGCCCTCCACACTTCTCTCAAATGTCAACCTAGTCTCGTCTACCCACCTCCTCATAGCTCCTCATCCCTCCCGAACCACACTCAACATGCGTCTCCCTTCCTACCTGGCCATACGTACACGGCATCGCGCTTGAGGACCCGAAAGTGCTTGGGCAGCTGAAGATGACGTACCCGAGGATGTGGATTCATGAGAGTATCGTCGAGGTTCGTATTTTCTATGTTCTGTCCTTCCAGTATCCCGTAAACGTTGAAAATGGGGATGTGTGATCCATATACTGATATGATACTCTTCAACGCCACAGCTCGCCTCCATCTTTGAACAAAAATATGCCACCTTTTCCTCCGAACGCGCCCTCCTCCTCCCGTCCTCCCACCTCGCCTCCCTCTCCAACAAATGGCTTATCACGAGCGCCTCATCTACTACCAAATCTACTACCGCGACCGTCACCGCGTTGCCAGCTGCTTGCCTCCTCTCATCCGAACAAAACCAACTACATCCAGCGTCTACCTGCCCCGAGGTCCAAGTCTACGTGGTGATGGTTCAGGAGCAATATTGGACGCTCACCGTGGGTCTCAGGACGCATTGTGGGTTTGGGGTGAGCAGTCGGTTGGCGGAGCGGTATTCGGCGTTGTTAGATGGACATGGCGAGAAGCACGGGCAGGAGGGACTCAGATCGTTGGAGAAGGAAGGTGTTGTGAAGGCGAAGATGAACGGGAACGGAAATATCCCCAACGGCCATGTCCTGACCAACGGCGACGCCCCCGCCGTTACTAACATCAACCAATCCATCGACCCGACGCACGCCTCCTTCAACTCTTCCGCCACCTCCGCCGCTCTCATCTTAGCCGGACCGAAGCCAACAGTATCATTCGCGGTCGTATCGCCTCGTTCGCGTTTTCCGAGTCGAATCCTATCAATGTAGAAGACGTCTTTCTGTTTCCGAAAGGGATGATGGCGGTGTGGAGTGCGCATAGGTTCGTTATGGAGAGTATGGGAGAGGGAAGGAGCGTCTGCTTTGGGTGGGTGATTCTCCTTCGCCCGGCTAAGAGTGAAAGGCGGAGTCTTCGTTTCTGCTGGCTTACTGGCTCGAGCCCTCTGTTTGCAGGTTCACGTACTGCGATATTATCAAGTGCCTTAACGAATGGGGACCGGGCTGTATCTTCTACCTGGACGGTTCAGAATCCGACATCGACGCACTGGAAGCACTGCTCGAGCAGCAGCACCTCAACGCCAATACTCCGGCTGCCCCTCCCGTAACAGACCTCTTCACCGAAACGCCCTCCAACCCGCTCCTCCGCACCGCCAACCTCCGTCGCCTGCGCCAACTCGCGGATAGGTTTGGGTTCGTGGTCGTGGTGGACGATACGGTCTGGAGCTGGTGAATGTGGATGTGATGGGGCCGGGGTATGCGGATGTGGGGGTTTGTAGTTCGACGAAGTGGTTTAGCGGGCGGGCGAACGTTATGGGCGGGAGGTGCGTGCCCTTTCCGTTCCACAACTGCAACTGCTATCCTCTGCGTTTCTAATCCAATTATTGAGCCGCGCGTTTGACGAGTTGTACTCATTATCGAATTTACATATAGTTTGATCCTCAATCCATCCTCGTCGAACTACTCCCTCTTGCGTTCGGCCATTCTCAACACGACGAACAGTCCCTCCGATATCCCTTCCTCGGACATCTTCTTCCCCACCGAAGCCCTCGTCATGGAATACAACTCACGCGACTATCTCCCCCGTATGCGTATCCTCAATCGTCGTGCTACGGTCTTGGTTGAGTTCTTGAGGCGCAAGATGCAGATGGAGGAGGGAAATGGAGGGAAAGGTACGGGAGGTGTGGTCAAGGAAGTCATGTATCCCGATTCACAAACGACGGAGAACTACGAGCTCTGCCGTCGTCGGTCTCCTTTACTCCCTCCGCCCGTCATCACGCCCCTTCCCTCCGACGCCCCATCCTCCCTTTCGCACTTAATCAATGATGCAGATACAGTCCAACCAGGCTACGTTCCCCTCCTCTCACTCCTGTTCCATACACCAGCTCAAGCACGCACGTTCTACGACGCCCTCAAAAGTCCAAAGGGGACCTCGTTCGGGACGCCGTTTAGTATGACTTTGCCGTATGTTTTGATCGTTTATGGGGGTCATTTGGGCGGCTATACACATTCGACGGACGGGCGTGCGGACTCGGATCAGGGCGAAGGAAACGGAGGGAAGGAGGACAAGCAGGATTTGAGGTATGGTGCAAACGGCTTAGACGCCGCCACTTCTGTACACAACGTTGAGGACGGTGCCGCGGGCCGAGATTTGAGAATTTTCACTATCCCTCTTCCAGAAACACTCCTTTTGATGTAAGGAAGAGTTCCTCTAGAGGGATTATCCAAATTCTCAAAACTGGCAAAGATGAACTTTTGGATTTGGCCACCCCGCCAAATAATAATATTTAATTCATTTGTTTATTATTTTCCGAAAACCAAGGGGGGTGCCAGGAATTTTCTTTCAATAAATGGGGATTTCGACTTTCGCCGACGAAATTGGCCGCTGTACAAAAGTGGTGATGACTAAGCCGTTTGCACCATAGGCGGCGGAGAGGGGATGGAGGAGGGGTTGGTTAGGGTTTGTGTGGGGTGGGAGGATGAGGGTGAGGGTGAGGGTGGAGCGGAGGAGGATGGGATGGAGCTGGTTAGGGAGTTTGAGAAGGCGTTGAGGGTCGTTGAGGAGATGGAGATGGAGGTGGTGCTGGGCGGGCAGAAGGTGAATGGCGACGCGAAGGTGAATGGCGAGGTGAAGGTGAATGGACACGCTAAGGTGAACGGTAAGGTGCATTCGAATGGACATGCGACTCCGTATGTTGTTTGATATGATCAATGATCTTCCTTGTTCGTCGTGAATGTTGTATTTCTTGGCGAGCTGTTGTTTCGCGTACGTTTTGGAAGGGTAAACGGCTCGGAGCATTGAGGAGGTGCGCTCCCTACCCTCGGTCTCATTCAGGATACATGCCGTCACTAGCACATACGATTCACCGGTCAAGTAATTATACCATAGTTTGCTCACTCCATGGAACCGTTGAGCTCACTGGATCCGACAATTTTGTCTCCGTCCGACGCGGCGCAAGTGGCTTTCAGGTATCGGTGGCGCGAAAACAGCTTATGTCAGGAGCTTTCGATCCTAACACACACAAACAACAGCGACGCGTGCCCATTACTCAATAACCTTGCCTCCCACCTCCGCACACCGTCCATGGGCCCACAACCTTCGAAGAGCGTCTTCATCGATTTACGTATCTCTTCATGGAGCACGTTGGAACAATCAGAATCTCTCGACTGTGCACAGGTCGACTTGAACCTCCGAGTCGAACGCTCGGAACTCGAACTGTCCGACCACTGTTTGGCGCACTGTTTCTTGTGCTGGTGCTGTCTCATAAACTCACAAGACTGTGCTGGAGTAGTTTCTCGAGATAAGCTGTGGCTCAAACCTGACGTACTGGTACTCGTCGACACGGTCGTGTTGGAGAGTCACATAGTGTATTGCTTCAATCCTTGCCTCTGCAGTTTGGACGCCCGAACGTCGTGTTCTCCCATCTACCGTCATCCGACTGGTAACCCCTGTGACGCTACTCGGAACGCTTCTCGGTTGACCACATACTCCAGGCCTACACCGCTATACTGTCTGGATGTCAGACGCAAGGCCGTCATATATGGGCCTCATGACCCAGAATGCTTTGCCTCAGCGTTCTACGGTAAGTCGTCATTGCATGATCGACTCTCTATTTTCATTCCCACTTATCACTCATGGGGTCTTTTAGACTCTCTCACTTTCCATTTGTAACGTCTGTTTGACCCTGTCGTTGTCGCCAGTAGGAGCCACAAGGACAGTCGGACCACAGTCAAGTAAGACGGTGTTAGGCTTTTGCTTACTTTCGACGCCTATATCGGATTTCTCTCTCTTCCATTCTCTTCCAGAACCTTCTCCATCGACAAGGCCGGTGCGATCATTGAATGCAGGGGTGTACGTGTACATGAAATTAATGCTCGTGGATAGGGCCAGGCGGCGACTTCGTCGCCACAGAAACTAGCAGAGCTCTCGAGCCAGACCCGCGTCACACGTCGCTATTCTTGGAGTTTATGTGGCTCGTACATCTCTCGCCATATACATACTGTGGGGGACTTTCCCCACGTCCACACCAAATTCTCTCTACCACAACCTTTCTCCCGAGATCCCACAATATGCTTTGCACCATAGCCTCTATTATTCTATTCTTTCTCATCGTGGTCAAAGGCCTCACATTGATTCCGTCGTAGGTCTTCTCAGCCTCATTTTTACTTACGGTTTCCCTGACTGCAATGTTTTTCGACCTAGTTGGAACCACGGCCGCCACAACTCGAAGTTACCGTCCCAGAACATACTGCAAGATGCCATCCACACCCTCGCATCCAGCACCCTCCATGATCGTATCTCCGTGCCCGCCAACAAATCTATCGAAGCTCTCTTTCAAGTGCGAAACCCATTCGTATCATGCTCGTCCGCATTTAAGCAACACTGGCGTCAAACCCTCCTCCTCCATTTTCTGCACACAAATGCGGGCGACTGGACCGACATCGCTGCAGCTGCTTTATCCGCATTTCGTCCCCTCATTGACACTCTCCAGCGCGAAGGTAGCCAGGCGACCTATACAAGAATCGCGGTGCAGGATGTCAGTAGGGACGTCACTTTAGCGGCGGTACTACGGGCACTCTTCGGTCTCGATAACGTTCCTTCAGCGACACTCACCTACGTCGGGAAAGAAGTACAGGACCTATTCCTCGCGAAGAAGGCTTTCGATGCGTCATGTCGACCCGTCGAGGATATTCCTCTTTTACTACGAAAGCGTACGGATGCTCTCATCGCCACACTCCGGACACTCCTCACGTCTTCCAGCATGGATTCAGGATCTCCCTCCCCGCCTCATTCATCCTTAGTTGAGGCTCTTCTATGCACCTCGTTCGACGACGTTCACGAGGGACAGGCATTTAATCCTTTGAGTCTCATCATTCCCGCCTTCGAATCATCATGGCGTGTTGCATTCTACACGCTCCTCGCCACACTCCAACCCTCTACAACAACATCGTCGCCAACCTCAGATCATCAACAATACGTTCTCGCGCTACGAAATCACCGTCCACATGATAAACCTTCCTCACTCGTCCAGGCCATCATTTCCGAGACACTCAGACTATACCCTCCGGTTCGCCGTCTCCGCCGCCGCCGCACTTCGAGCTCTGATCCCGACTCTTACGCGGTCATCGACATCGAGCGTATACATCGGGATGAGCAATACTGGGGATCAGACGCTCTCGACTTTCGGCCTTCGAGATTCCTAGCGGATGATGGGACGTTCAAGGTCCCTGTACTGGTCGGGGGCGGAAGCCGAAGCGGAGGGAATGATCAGAGTGAGGCGGGAGAAGCTTGGATGCCTTTTGCAGCGGGGAGCGTGAGGTGTCCTTCTGCGAAGGGGTATGCCGTCAGGATGGTGGCGACGGTGGTGGGCGAGGTGATGAGGGGTATATTTGCTGGTGATGACAGTGGTGAGCAGAAGATGGTGTGGCGATGGTGGTGGGAAGGACTGGAAGACGAACGTCCTATCGTGGACGAAACCTACGGTGATCATAAGGCGGAGGATGTGAGTTCGAATACGCGAGTATTGAAGGCTGGAAGGGATGAGTATGGAGGAGTTGCTCTTTGTGTGACTCGTATATGATCTAGCGATTCTGGTGGACGGGCATGAGGTAGGTCGACGATCTATCATCACTACTCGCAAAGTTCAATGCAGTGCTTACCGACATTTCTAGCGATAGGTTCATCATGAAAGTGTCCTTTTTCTCGAAGTCTTTCAGTCTTCTAGGTCGCAGTCAACTATATTGGACTGGATACTGCACCTGTGGACTCACTTTATTTTGGACCACACATTTACGATCTGGTTAAGAATGACTACGATTATACCGCCCCTTCGATTTTGGCCCAAGGGCTTCAGAATACTGTTATAATGTGTTCGAGGTGATGAAAATTGAATCAACACGAAGAGACGACCTGAAGCGCCACGCTGCGGAGCGCTCGAGCGTCTGATGTCTCATGCAGCACAGGAAAAATGGTAACCGGGCAGTTTTTCCAGACAACGACCTTGACGTGGAGGATAGTTCTCATTACAGGCATTCGGATGTTATGGTTGTCGGTGATGTTATTAATAGGTCGTGATGAGATACCTGTATAGGAAAAAGCACCAGCAGGCCATATTCAACGCACACTTCGACGGTAGGCCTGGAGGCTGTGGCTTGGAGTGACTTGAAGCAGGGTTCACGAACGACGCAAGTCAGATGTTGACGAAGACAATACCCACCCTCATTCATTCGATGCTGAAGTGTCCAAGCTGGGTGAACGACGCATACGGTACGTCCCCGTTTCATACAGATTCAACAGCGTCTGTATGGCAACGTGACTGACAATTTATGCCCACCATGAGCTTCGGTTCGTTTCAACCATCACTTCTGAAAGAATCGAAGGCGCATAATTAAAGACCTGGAGGCTATTGTCCAACGTCATGTCTCCACTTCTGTATTCACAGAGCGTCTAACGCCTCCCGAGTCGAACGCATAAATACTGACGTCTGCTAGCATTTGCAGAACATCAAACAAGTTTTCAATTAATCCCTCTTCTACAACATCCACTATATCCACAGTTTCACAATGAAGTTCTCTTCTTTGCTCGCCACTATCGCCGGTGCTACCACCATGCTTCTCCTCACCCCCGGGGCCACTGCTCAGAAAGTGGCCTCGAACCCGAGTGAGTCTTCATCAACATCATCGACACATTCCAGAATTAGTTCTAGAATATTTATACTAAGAGTACTAGTGCTTATTTCCGTCTCCATAATTTTAGGCGACGCTTGCAACAGCAAGTGGCACTGCAGCGTCGGAAACTATTGTGCTTGGTACACCGACGGTAACAGCGCTGGCGGCGTTACTGAAGGCAGTAAGTAGAATATTTGTGCTATATCTCGGGTGTCCCATAAAGCCTTCAAATCCAACGTTTTGCTGACGACCTGGGCGTAGCTTGCCAATTCGCTCCCAGCGGTGGAAACTTGATTTGCGTCGCCGGTGGCACCCCCAACGGCAAGTGCTCTGGCTGAAACATACGACAAGCCACTCGGCTGGAATCGGAACCGCTTACCGACTGAACTGTGCGTACTTTTACTGGGCATCACATATAGTTCTTATGGCATTGCTAACGTCCGTCATTGCTTTTGGTCTGTAGGATTCGGGAGTTTGGCGCCCGGTTGACGGTGGTCCTCATTGCCTGTTTGATTCCTAACTATACTTCCATGCGTATGGGTTCCGATGTCTGGAATACATATTGCACCCTGTTGTTTGACCTGTTTTATTAGCTGCGAGCACCGTGTGATCATGAAGGTAATACCCCTCATCTTCTGACTCTTCGGAGTGACCGGTGAAATATCGCCAGGAAATGTGGGAGATGCTGATACTGGGATGATCTCGCAGATAACCCTGCGCCAAAACCGAGAACATTTCATTGGGGTGACATCTGTATTTTACTCCCTACCGCCCTCGTCTCTCCTGTAACAACATGAACCCAGTGCGTGCTAATGTAACGCATTGATGATATGCCTGAGGCAGTCCCATCGGAGTCCGTATTCCGGTCAAGATCTATGACGCCTGCCACTTAATTTGATTCATCCGGATCTTTTATATCTTTTCTGTGTAATTTGGACAACAATGGCCTAGTAAAGGGTGCGTTTCGAGCATGTCGTACAGAACGCACCGAAAGAATGGATGGTCAGAGAGAGTTCACTCGAGATATCAAAGAAAAATATTCTGCGTCCAGGATATAACCACAACAAGACCTAAACTATTATACTGTTTCTTCCTGAACGTACAATGCCATATAGGGAAGCTTATTTGTAGAACGAACTACTCAAGTATATCCGTCGTGGCGGTGGCGTGGTAAAGAGGTACGTCGGAGTTTGTCGACCCAGCAACCTGTTTTCCCGCGCTACTCAAGCGCTACTATTTAGTCACTCCTGTTTCCAAACTTTTTCACCTTCTGCCCGCCTTCAGTCGAAGAGGCGACGTCGCTCATTTGTTTTTAAATCCTCGGTGTGCATGATCCCCAATCGTGTGTAATGTGCGTCGTCGACTGAGAATCCGTTAACGGAGGGCCAGGCTGTACCTTGGTCGGTCACGGCACGAGCTATCCCGTTTACAGAGTTTGGGCGGTATGTAATACAAATGTAGTAGCCGCATGGTCACACAAAGCTAGTGAAATCACATCTACGAAGATTCTTGATGTAAAAGCTCACACAGGAGACTACCTCTAGCCAACCTCTAGCAATCAAACTTCGCAAGCCTACCTCTGTCTTTCGTCTTCTGAAGCAGGTAAACGTTTCTTTCACGCTGCTCCTCAATAAACCTGGTTGGAACTATTCACATTGTTTGCAAAACTGCCCCGAACGCTAGCAACGACGATAGTGGTCAATTTCCGACGTTAGAATCCCCCAGCGCCATCTTTCATTAGCCTCGCTACATTCGCTCCTTTTCCATGAGCAACAGCTCTTACACTGAGGATATCACTCACAACTTGTGTATGGTCATTCCACCTGCTGCTACAAGCTCGGACTGCAACCTCGACTACTTCACCTATCAACTTGACGCAATACTGAATACCTAGGTTGGCTAGATTTTTGTAGCCCCTATGTTCGTGGCCGGCACCAGTCGCCATATCGTACCATTCTGATGATGAGAGGAAGGAGCCGCCCGACGGGAAGAATGTAGTCCAAAATGAATTCCACTTTGAGAGATACGATCTTGAAGCCAACCTTAGTAACATGACCGAGGTCCGTCCAGGGGATTTGGAATTTTCCTCCATTGATGCGCCTTCTGCACCTGGTCAGCTCAATCCAGGTCGGCTAGGCTGACGTAGGACTGTACACTAGGCTCAATAATCACCATCTACTGCACCATCCCAGCTCAGCGTCGACAATTGCGACCTATATCTTTGACTCTGCCCCCAGCACTCCACAGAGAATATATTCGCCGACGTCTCTACCGTCGCCAGGTTCCTCAGACTCAGACAGTCCCTACAAGGGCGTTAAAATAGTCATACTTGCCGAACCTGACCCTTACCATACAACCCGCACCGCAACGACTGACCTCGTTTGACCGCATCAGTTGCGCCCTTACCATCCCCGAGGCCTTTTAGCGCTGGTGGCTCTGTCCCGAATATCGCGGGCTCCGCGGATTTGTCGGTACACAAAATGCTGGAGCTATGGCGGGTGGCGTACTAGGTCAGATTTTTGGACCCGCCTTACATAGTATGTCTTCTGTTCCTGCAATGCAGTAGAAAACAAATAGGCACGCAGTAACCAACTTGGACATAGTTGATTAGTCTAATTTTCTTTAGACCCAAACGAAAGTGATACTGATAGAATGTACCTTTCTAGAGTGTTGTATTTTTTCCGATGTGTCGCACATAGCCACAATTCCGTTTGCCCGGGCAGGAGGAGACGAGAGGACACCGACGATGCCCCTTCATTGCGGCACCGTAACTTTGTGATGGGACCTGTTTCGTGGGGAGGCAGTAGACGTGATGATATTTCTTTCGTGAAGACCTTCGTATGCTGACAGTGTCATAAATATATACACGACATAGCCCGGAACAGACGAGAGTGCCATATCACCACTCTCACCTCACGCCACGAGGTGACGATAAGATTAGATAAAAGTAAAGAAGAATCATGATCCGTGTCTCCCCGAACCGCTCTCCCCTTAACGTCGACCACGGAGAACCGACACACGCACTGGCAGACACTCTTGCTCTCGCTTGGACTTATGGCTTGATCTCCACCTGAAGCCCGTGCGGATAGCGCTCAAGCATGTCATAACTTGGAGACAGGGTCGACCGTGACTGACGCTTGCAGGCCCCATCGAGGTCACCACTGCTACACGTGTTATCAGTACTTCTTCTCAGATACAAGTGGTGGCTTCCTCCTCTCCGAGCACTTGTCTCCATGCCCTTCCAATGTGATACACCGAGACATCCTAAATACACTAGAATGTATTAGGATTTATGAGGGAATGTCTTGCCTAACTGCGTCATACTTCATAGCTTTAGCCCCTATCGGGCTTTGCACAACTGCGAATAGGACCTAAATGCCCTGTACTGAACGAGCTATTTCCCGATAATCACGGTGTTTATTTGGGCCCGACCTCCTAGAGACGTGCCACAGGGTTTGTTTTCTGTTTGGGTGACATCTGCAAGCGATAACTAACTGAGCGCTTCTTAGCCCGGCATCTCTCATACAGACCGTCTTCCCAGCACATAACTGTCCGAAAACACAAGCAACCTCCATAATACGAACAGGGGCCTCATTAGGTGGCAGCTTCTTGGAATCACTCGCGCATTAGATCGTTCAACTAGCTTACCTATCTCGCGACCGCTCTTACCAGCCCTTCCCAACTCGCGCATTAGCAGAACTTTGTAGACTGGTATTGATCTCCAAAATATCGTGGCGTGATCCAACGGAACTTTCTCCTTGTCATCAGTGCCACATCTCCTCAACACTTCCTTTCGAGGAGCCATTTCAATCTTCAGGCCGCTAACCAGAGAGCCACTATGATGTGGGCGCTGTTTGACTTGCTCCTTGTTTGTCTCCGAGTCTCCGTGTCTCTGTGCCTTGTCCTCCCTGTCGATGTCGGATACAGCGGCTCGTTACAGTTTATGTCAGAGCACAGCTCTGGATTAGACCCTAGCGCCACCAACGATAGGGCATGGCGAGACTCCAGCGCATTGGTCCTTGTTGACTATTACTCGACATGGTAGCTATTGGATCGACGGGTGGTAAAAGCGCTGGCTTTTACCCATGCTGTCCCGGTCTTGTGGCTAACACCCAGATTGACTCCAAAATTCCAGATGACACCCTCCCTCTCTCCTATAAAAGACTTCAAAAACAATGAATATCAGACATCCCTTCCTTCTCACATCCATACCAGCTGCGCATTCACCCAAGGCGACCACGACTACACAATGGCTATTGGTCCTGTCTCCATTGTCGGTCATCATCCTTACTGCACCATAGACCTACGCTGACCGTGTATTTGCTCCGTTTTTATAGCCCCAGGAAACTCAGATCCTCGTTATCGGCGGCGGACCTTCTGGATCGTACGCCGCCACTCTCCTTGCTAGAGGTAGTGATTTTATCGCTCAGATCCGTTTGATTGCTCATCTCCATCTTCTTTTCAATGAAGAGGGTTTCAAAGTCACACTCTTGGAACGTGATGTGTTTCCGAGGTCAGTACCACAGATCTATCTTCTTTCCATGCGCAAGGGCATGACCAACGTCGTCCACGCAGGTACCACATCGGGGAGAGTATGTTACCGTCAGTTTCCCAATTTTTGAAGCTCATCGAGGCGGATGGGATCGTCTCCGCTCATGGGTTCACTCCGAAGGTTTGTTTTAGTTGAGCCAAACCTCAGCCCCGATATTAAATACTTCTGTTTTCAGCCTGGAGCCGCCGTCAAGTTGAATCAGGCCAGCCGCGAAGGATGTAAGCATGACCATCACATTGTTCTTGCCGCGGTGCACCACCACTGACGATGTACTGTATACTAGACACCGACTTTAACGCCTTGGACTCGACTACAAAGGCGTGGAACGTTGTACGTCTATGTTGGATCCCTGCCCTTCTTCCTTCCGTAAATAACCGCAAACCTTCTCAGATTCGATCAGAGTTCGATGACATCCTCTTCAAGAACGCCGCCACCAACGGAGCCTCCGTCCACGACGGCACGAAAGTCACCGCCATACACTTCATCCCGTCTGATTCCACCACCTACGCTACGGAGCCGGGTCGTCCCATTGCCGCTGACTATGTCTCCAAATCCGGAGTCTCTGGGACGGTCAAGTTCGACTATCTAGTTGACGCTTCGGGTCGAGCCGGGGTTATGTCGACGAAGTACTTGAAGGAGAACCGAAGGATCAATCAAAGCTTGAAGAATGTGGCCGTTTGGGGCTATTGGAAAGGCGGGGCGAAGTATGCGCCGGGGACGAAGAGGGAGAATGCACCGTGGTTCGAGTCACTGACTGGTCTGTCTTACTCTTTCACCTTGCATCCCGGTTCCCTCAAGAGCTCTCGGATGACTTTCTCAACGTCTATTATTTGCCTTCTTCTGTAGATCAATCCGGCTGGAGTTGGTACATCCCCCTTCACAACGGAACTGTTTCTGTCGGTTTCGTCATGTCTGAGGAATCCAGCATCGCCAAGAAAAAGGCCCTCCGTGCTTCGAACCCCGAGTCTAATAAACTATTGAGAGATCACTTCGTCGAGCAACTTCATCACGCACCGGGTCTCCAAAAGTTATTGAAGGATGCGAAATTGGTCGATGTCGAAGCCGACGATGGAGGCGTGAAGTCTGCCAGTGACTATAGTTACTCGGCCAAGGTGTACGGCGGAGATCATTTCAGGCTCGTTGGGGATGCTGGAGGTGTGCAGTGTTTCCCAACGTCCATATTTCTGCCTTCGTCATCTGACCGTACACTGATCATCACCCATTCGACGTTCCAGCTTTTATCGACCCCTTCTTCTCCTCTGGCGTTCACCTCGCGTTCACCTCGGCGCTCTCCGCTGCCTGCACCATCGCTGCCTCCATACGTTCTCAGGCGCCCGAGCATCTCTCCCTCCAGTTCCACAACGAGAAGTTCGGAACTGCGTACACGAGGTTCCTATTCGTCGTCCTAAGCGCCTACAAGCAGGTCAGGGCGCAGCAGGAGGCAGTGTTGCAGGATGTCGACGAGGGAGACTTCGACAGGGCGTTTGACTTGATCCGGCCTGGTGCGTACTTTCCCCTTTGGATACGTTTTGAGGGGTTGATGGCCGAGAGAAGATGCTGACCTTGCCGTTCCAAACAACAGTGATCCAAGGGGCTGGAGCCGTACCGATGGAGGCCGACTCGCTCACCGAGACCGAGGTCCAGAAGACCATCGACTTCTGCGCCAAAGTCTTCGGAGGCGGCATGCATCAGCCCAATGGCGTCGCTCCGCCTCCCGCACCCATCTCCGACGAGCCTGAGCTTCTCGCCACGGACGAATCTCAACTTCAGACGGACGCGAACGACGAGGAGAAAATGCTCGCGTTGAAGGACGTCACCGCGAGGAAGAAACTGCACGCGGGGATGTACGATATTGCGGGGCAGTTTGGGATCAGTGACGCGGATGGGGCTAAGGGCAGTGGAAGTGGAGCCGGGGAGGTATTCGTTGGGTTGAGGACTTGCTGCGAGAGGGGGAAGTTGGGACTCTTGAGGGCTACGTAAGCGGTTCGATATGTGCCGAGAAACTATCTCTTCGTTCATTTCCTATGACTTACACTGTATGACTATTGTACAATATATGGCCAAATCTATCTGTCTTGACATTTCAACACTTCTGGCCGTGAGCCGGACAACAGGCCAATGACGAGGATGATGACACAAAGGTGGCGAGGAATAACTCGATGTATGATCACACAGTACCAGGTCGATACCCAGGACTAGGAAAATGTTCATTGATAAGAATGCAATACTGCAGAAGAGGTCGCACAGGGAAGATCAAGGTCAAGTACGATTAAAATTCCTACCAGCCGAAGATCGTAGTCAGTAAGTATGTAAGTATATCAGACTGATAACTAAGACTTGGATGAAGAGAGAGTAGAGTAGGCTCTGACATACCTTCAAAGGAGAAACTCGACCGGAAAATTGTTCCAATACCCATGCCTCACATTCGTCAACTCCACATTATCAAAGCTTTGTGCCAACGTCGCCTGAATAATCGGACCCTCCGTATGTCCCGGCCCAGTGAGCACCAAGCTCAACTCCCCATTCCCGACATTCCCTTCGATGATATATTCCGTCTCCGTGAGCTGAGACGTACTGTTGTACGTGAGCTGGATGCTCGTGCTGGTGAACCCGGGGGTGGTGGGGGTGAGCGTGGAGGCGTAGTAGTAGATCTGGCGTTGGCCGGATTCGTCGACGAGCTCGAAGACGGCGGCGAAGGCATTTCCTTCGATGTTGGAGGAGATGGAGCCGACGGTGGTGGTGGTGCTCTGAGTGGCCTAACAAGCGGTTAAGAACGCCAGATCAGTCGATATAAGTGTGAGAAATGTAAGAGGGGCATGGCAGGGAAGGACTTACGACTCCGCTGAGGCCCTTGAGGAGAGTCAACGCAGAGAAGAGGATGCTGGTGCCGAAGCGAAGTTGCATTGTTGTGCTTTGGTGCTGGCGAGGGACCGTGAGGACTCCGAGGATGCTTTAGAGACTTCTTTTATAGCTTGTTATTGAACCCTCCAAGCAGCGGTAGTTGCTGAATTTGTCGGTAAAATATCTACCTCCGGTATACTGACCCCACGTTCGTGACGAATGACCTGAATATCGACCGTCTAAATCCCAAGCTGTCTGATCGTTTAGATCAGCGTTAAAATAGAAATTGTCGGCGTTTGCTCACTCTACTCGAAGAAAGTTTTTCGTCTGCGTCCAGTTGACACATGAATGATGAATGTGGCCGGACGAGATCACGACCTATCACACAAAACAAGTCAAGACACGAGAATGGAAGACCCAAATAATACACAGATTCCGAATCAACTGACCTAGGGAGCCGTTCAGCCGTATGCAAAGTGAATGAGCTTGACTTGGAAGACCTATTTTCCTCGTTATGGAAGTAGCCAAAATAACACGAGGTGCATGTTGGTGTGGGTAGGCGGCGCAGGCAGGTGCCAGGTAAGCCACACATATTTCAATTAGAACCAGTGGGCAGAGTAGGAGTGAACATAGGCGGTGAAAGCGTTTCTGTGGACTGGAATTCACTGTGTCAGCGCCCCGAAGATAGGCTACATTTACTTAGGAGTACACACGCACATAGATGGCGTACCTTTCGATATCCATTCTCGACCGCTCCTCTCTCGCTCCCCACTGCCCGACATCGGTAGAAACGAGATGCAAATGATCCCGTCAAAGCGAGAAAACCGTGTCTACCATCATAGCCACTGAGCCTCGAAGTACTGAAATTCAGAGGCCAAGAAGCAATCAACACCCCCGAGACCAAGACACTTCGCCGTTCTTTCCCCGCTTCAAGAATGATAAGTCAGGATTCGAAGCACCGAACCTGATTTTAGACGTTAGAAGAATAGACACAAACTAGAGTCGTCCGTGACTGAACAATGCTCTGTTGCACGAGTCACGCGGCTGTAGGAGCACGGAGGCTGCATGTCGCCCTGAGACTGGGCGATGAAGGGAAGGGTGAGGACAGAAACAAACGTAGCGCGATCCGTCAACATGAGCAGGGAACATCGAGGAGCTCAAACCTCGTGCACGTTCGTAAATTCAAAATCATAGATACAGACCTTGGCGAAATAGTTAATGAAAGGTCACCACACGCTATACATAAAAACTTTGTTCAGTTCGTTCTGGAGCTGTCTAAGCTAGGACTAGAGCATAGACAGAGCTGGAGTCCTGGTCTGTATCCCGAAGAATACGAGAGCCCGAAGAACATGAGAGGCACAAAATGATGTATCACCATGACCACGAGGATTGAAAGCGAGACCATTCGATCGTAGGTGGCGAGCAGCAACGAGGACGACTGGCGATGATGAGTGACGGTCGTGAGTAAGACTCCCAGGGTGACCTCGAAGTCGCTGAATCGATGTTCCATGACCGACGACTCAATCCGTAGTCGAACAATCCTCGACGGTCTTACATCCATTTTCATGCCACCCTGCATTTCGTGCTTCCGATCTCCATCGCTTTCGGACGAGGGGAAAGGCAACGACGACGACGACGGCCCACCTTTCACTATCCACCCGCCAACACCGCGCTCCCTAAGGTGTTCATGTGCCAGGTGGGAAACAACAGGAGTGAGAGACAAAGATGTTGTCGGACTGCTCCTCGCTATTCTGTGTTCGAACGAGATCATATTGGATCTGCTCAAGACAAAGATGGAGCTCCGTTGTCGTACCGTGACAGAAGACCCTCAAGAATACGAGAAATAGTCCGAAGTGTTACGAGGCTCAGAATCCCTGTGTCTCGCTAATTACCGTAACGAGCGAAAACAGCGAGGGTGGATAGCTTGCAACGACGAGTATGAGCGTAGAGTCCGGCACGGAAGGGGGTTGCAAGGTCGATACGAATCTGCGGCATAGCGCAAATGAAGTTCCTCCGAAGACTCAGTCTCAGAAACACGAAATTCCCAGATCTGAAGTCCCAGCTCTTCGCCTGTCGAACAAAACCTTGATCGAGACAACCCGCTCATTCGCCTTCACCCTCCGGTCACCTTCCTGCTTGTCCTCCTCCAGCAACAACATACCAATCGTTCGATACTCCCTCCCGGTCCGCACCTCACTACAACACCACGCAGCACGACCCCCTATCATCGCCTCTCCTCCACTCCCCTCCCTTCCACCCACGTGGCGTTCCCATCGCCTCCACCAGCCCTGACTCACCACTATCGGAGTTCCAAAAACTGAAATCTCAGTCCGTAGTCGAACGATCCTTGAGCACCACGGCTCTCTCATCGCTGTTCCTCCTTTCAAGTTCACCAACGTCGACTTCCTCCTCCTCATCTCCTCCCCACGACAACGGCCTAGACGAGGACGGCCCATCCTTCGGTATCCATCCCGCCAACCACGCACTCCCCATCGCCACACCGCCCAACACGACCCACACCACCATCCCTCCCACCAATGCACCTCCATCTCCACTGTCGTCACCGCCACGTTGCTTAGATTGCGCCATGCTAAAGGCGAAGAGCGACGAAGCCACAACGGGAGCGATAGCCCGAGATATAGATTGTAGCATTTGAGCGAGGGCGTTTATGGTTGCGAGGAGTGCGGGGGAGGGGGAAGCGTGTGTGGATAGGAGGAGTTGCATCGCACCTGTCAGGGGGAGACATAATCATTTTTAACGGTGATCAGGAATCAAGAAGACGATAGGGAGACATTAGACGATGAAAAATCGAGTGGGTGCGAGATAGAGACACAAAGAGGGCAGGGGCGGAGAAGGACAAAGTTAAACATGACAAAGGGGGAAAGACGATGTAAGGAAAAGGTAAAGTATCGTAAAGGGATATGAGAATGGTAGGAATTGAAAGATACGGAAGAGAATGGGAGAAGCGACAAGAGGACGCACCATAACAAGTCAACCCCGCACTCCCACATAAATACTGCACCACCAAAACCGCCCAAACCCTCCACCCCAGCCCATCCCCACCATCCCTACTCCGACCACCACCACTTATCAAACCCAATCTCCCCCTCTCCCCCAACGCCGCATAACACCCCCAAACACCCACCATCACCCTCATACCCCAGACATACGCCGTTCTCGGGCCTATTCCCGATGAAGAACGATCCATGAGGTGAGGAAAGAGGAACCAGATGGAGAGGACGTTGAGGAGCTCGAAGGAGGCGAGGGTTAGGCCGATTGCTGAGGGTTGTAGGCCGAGGCCACCGCTGGAGGACGATGTGCTTGCGTTGAGGGCGGCGGCGGCGGCGGTGGTGAGAGCGACTGCGGAAGGCGTGGAAGCGAATAATGGGAAGAGGACCTGATGGGATTGGTCGAGAAACGCAAGGAGGGTGTATGAAGAGAGAACAACAACGAGTGTTCCGTTTTTGAAGATTCTGCGGAGGGGATGTTGTTGATCGTATCGTTCGTGAGTTTCGGGAAGGGGTAGTGTGGCGGTGGCGTGAGCACAGGAAGAATAATTCGAGGAAGAGGAAAGCGTGGATGTGGCATCGTAGTATACGGAAGAGTTGGGTCGGGATATAGCGAGGAGAGCGGTGCGTTCGCTTTGGTGCTCAACCTGAGGTGTTGTTACTTCGATATCGACGGGCTTTGCGAGGGCATCACCGTTGTATGATTTGAGAGGCGAGGTCTGGACGGATATAAACGAACATCATCATAGGACTCTTCGCATGAAACGACGATTCGGAACACGGGCGTACTTCTCGTAGCACTACAACGTTGACGATAAAAACGAGGAAGGTGATGAAGGCCGCAGTGGCACACGGCAGGAAATAGGGGTTCTGAACGAAAAAGTTCGATTTCGCGAATGAACGAGTGAAATGCTGTGCTGGTCTTGAAAGCGTGCCGCCTAGGAAGGGTCTACACCAACCCTTCATGAGCATATTTAGAATATAGAACAATAAACGCGTATACGCACCCTACGGCAGCACCAACTGTCCATGTGAGCGGAATCGCCCTGAACGCCCTCGCCCTATTTCCATCGTCCGTAATCTCATTCAACACCGTCTTCGCGATCCCCAAGGATCCGTTGAAACATCCCTGGAAGAATCGACTGATGACCAGGAGGTAGAAGGAGGGCGCAGAGCCGAAGGAGAGTATTGAGATTGAGAGGCCGAGGAGGCCGAGGAGGAGGATGGGACGACGGGCATAGCGGTCGGAGAGACGGGCGCAGAAGACGACAGAGAGGGATTCCCCGATGTAGAATACAGATTCCTGGATTTGGAACGTTGAGAGGAGAGAAAGAGTGGGAAGAGAGAAAGGGACGTACGATGATGCCGGCGTAGTAGCCCGTTTTTGTGTCGTCATCTCCAGTGATTCCTGACTCGCGGATGAAGGCGTTGACGAAGGGGTCGATGACCGTCGCGCAGAGCGGTTCTGTCCACATTATGAGCACAATCAGCCAGAACTCGCGAGGGAGTGAAGACCGCGTCGGTGCGTTCACCATTTTTTGTCTGGCGGAGAGGAGGAGGACGACGGCGAGGGGTGGCTGAACAACGTCGGTTCTTGAGAGAGCATGTCGAAGCCGTAGACAGCGCTGTTATCCTCCAATCGAGCGAGAGCATTCACGGATGCGAAGAGCTTTCAACGCCGTCTAAGTCGACACGACAAATTGCAAGATAAGCAAGAGTGACAAGATGCATGATGTGGAATCGACAAACGCCAGTCCTTCAGAGAACAGAGCGACTCGAAATCCTGTTGACCTTGGAAAGGTTTGTTTCGTCATGCAAATAAATATGTGGGGCAGAATGGTGAAGATATCCATGAGACAAATGAGAAGCTGGCAATGACTTGAGCATACTTTGCAGACGACACGGTGATGCAGGTTGAGCCCAAACTTCATTCTGGTCGTCATTCCCGATATGGATGGCTTCCCAGCGTGTCGCAGACGTTGGGTGGCGTCCATAGTGGGCGCCACTTCCACCCTCTCCTTTAACCACGACCACGACGTCAATTTTTGATCTTGCTTGCCTACATACATGCTATCAGAGAGACCACACTGTAACTCCTCTGCTCACTGTCCTCACCATCTCAACACGCACTGGCCAGCTTCGGTGTAGCTTCTTGTCAGCCTATTGCTTTGGCAGACTCCCGTCGCGACGACTCGCGAGGAAATTGTCAAGAAGCCCGAGCTGTCGACACGGGATGATACTTCATGGCTCCAGTCTTCTTATTGTTTGTCGCGACCAGATACTTATGCTCTATTTGATGAGTTGGCTTTCTCGTGGTCCATGTATGCATATCCTCATTCTAAACTAGTGAACGGAACGACTGCGCGCCCCAACCCACAGTTCTCTTGCTTGTACTCGGGGCACTTTGGATGTTCCACCTTTCTCGCGGGTGCTCGTAACCGTTCATTTTGTGCTCTTCAGACGTTGTTGTTTGAAGCGCTGAGTTGGATCCCGAAGTCGGGAAAGGGAGGAGATATGTTCCCGGCATCACATCATCGCCTTCAGACCGCCTCGGTGTGTGTTCTCTTCAAGTAGTGCTAATAATGCCACCACATTTGACCTGACCATATATAATGCATCGTTATATCAGTGCGTTTATTCTACTTTTTCTGACTAAACTTGCCTAACTCCAACGATGTCGAGTGCCGAATACCTAAGGCCAAGCAAATCACTCCACCACGCTATCTATATCCCCAGGCCTCCGTCACCATGAAGATGTCGAGACAGGAATAGGGCCGCTACAAATGGTGCAGTTCATTTTGGGGTCATTACCGTGGATTTTTGTTCACCTGAGTCACTGCCGCAATTTTCCTCCTTGATCGCCAGCAAACTCTGCGCGCAATAAAACAACTGGACACTCATTGTTGATTGCATATGCTCCTTCCAGTCCTTGCGTGTCGACTCAAATAAGACGATACCTATTTTAAGTAAGTCACTTCAGTTTCCACCATCGAAAACTTGACAGGCGTACTCACCATCACATCAGATCATGTTTCATTACACTCTACGGTGAAAGGCACTCGTCTCGACGCAATCTCACCATCATCGCTATTGTAGCTATGCATGCATGTTGAGGGCGTAGACTCTACCTCGCGTTTTGAATGACGTACGGACGAGCATTATTTTGATGGGTTGTCCTGATGAATCCTTAGCTGCATGAGGTCGCCGTAGACAATTTCACTGAGGATAGCCATGCCATCCAGGTGTAGTGTACCGTTCCGCACCCTTCAATCTTCACGATCAAAAGGAGGCGCCGACCGTACTGCATTATAGACGGAATATGCTCCGGTTCTGCGAATGATGCGGCGGATGGCCCAAATATCACCTGGACTGTGCGGCAGAACGCCTGTCTTGAGGTATGTTTTCCTTTCTATCCATAGTCCTTTGTGGTCTCACATCTTTTTGTACTGCAGCCGTCGAATCTGATAGAAGAAAACATACAGGGCTGTCCCTTCCCTAAGGTATGCTACTGATATAATGCCTATATGCGGATCGATCCTCTCGCAGCCTTCGTGGCGTGTGAAGGGGCGTACCATTAAGATATGGGCATCTGTTTCTGCTTGCGTTCGAGTACCCGCCTTGATGATTCGGGATTGGATATCATGGTGATATGAATGATTTATTGGTGTTTCAACCCAGCCATCTCGCTGTTTGTGTCATCAGTGAAGTCGTCGGGTGCTCTCCTCGCTCCATAAGAACTCTCGGTGGCGAGTTGAAATGTACGCATAGTCCTCTAACCCCTCCAGAACCATTGTATCAACACCATCGTCTACACGGAGAGTCATATGATGTCCAATAACCTAACCGTGACGACTGTTCAGCCCGACGTTCTTAGAACAGACGTCATCGAGGCAGCTTTAGGTATGGGTGTGTGGGGTACGTATATCTTGGCTCTCCATGCACCACAGCAAACTGCTGACCGTCCTCTCCCAGGAATATACAGCGTTCTCTTCGTCGCGGCGACGTACACCCTCATGTAAGTCCAGATCCCACGTCGTTGCCTGTACTGGAAGGGAAACTGATTTTGTACTCAATACCGGCTTGGAAAGAACACAAGGGTTGAAGAGCTCAAAAGCACGCCGGGTTCTCCTCCCTCTGACAATCGTGATGTTTTCTGGGGCATGCGTTGTCGAGATCACCTACATCTGGAGCTTCATAATCAACATACAAAAGATCTCGTACCCGGCTTCTCTGGCCCCAGTTCACCAGTACGATCAAATCTACAGGTGTCTCGTAGTTTTTAGTCGAGTGAATGTCAGTCCAACAAGTCTTCCTACAGCATATATCGCTTTGATTTAGGCTCACCTCTCCACTATTTCTTCATCAGTATATAATAAGCGATGGTGTAGTTTGCTGGCGAGCATGGGTCCTGTATCCATACAGCAAACGAGTCCGGTTTCTTCTTTCGCTCTGCATGCTGTGTAGCATGGGTGAGTGGGCAGCTTAGGCTTCTGATCCTGTGGGATTTGCATTCATTGAAATATACTATAGCGGCGTCATTTGTGGATGGTACACTCTCGATCCGATACGAAACGCGAAACCACGTCAACTTGACCGATAAAGAGTCTCTCTCGCTCTTCATCCCACTTCTCTTCACGAATGTAGTGGCTACATCGTTGGTCGGTTGGAAGTTTTGGTTAGTACAAGCCACTCAATCATACCCCACGTCACCGCAACCATTTCATCCTCTCAATGGCGTTCACGTACACTTCGCAGGCAATGTCGTCGCGACATAGCTGCAAGTATTTCGCACGACGACGGGGCGATGGTGAACAGGTCTGCTGTCGTACGAGTTTTGACACTCCTTGTCGAGTCAGGGTTCCTTTATATCTTATACTGGGTAACTTCAAACAGCAGCTAGATACTACTCAGAAACGTGATTAACGTCGCATCTTTCGGTGGTAGATTATCACAATGGCGAGCGCTCTCTCCATATTAGGTGGTCTAGCGGACGGTATATTCGAGTGCATTCTTCCGCAGGTAGCTGTACGTACTCTAATCTTTCCTCTCTTTACTCTTTCACTCACCGCACATTTCTTTGACTCACGACTTCGCACAGGGAATATATCTGAGTGTAGTCATCCTCGTCGTCTCTCTCCAGAACCCATCCAATCCATCTGCATCCATTCTTACAACCACCGGGGTCGAGGGTTATCCTTCCGGAGCTATGAGATTTGCATCTGCGCATAACTCTGCCGGTACACGGTTATTTGGCACTCGTGGTATGAATTCGACTGGGCGCGGACCGGGTGCACCTTGCATTGGTCCAAGTTTTGTGGAGAAGGTGGAAGGGCTGGGGAGAATGGGTTTGGAGGAGAGTGAACAAGGGTCGGGCGAGGGTCTGGGTGCAAAAACATCTATGTAAGTTTGATGGTCATTCGGTTATGGGGAGAAATGACAGTGTACTTCGAGGTGTATGAATGAACGAGGGAAACACATCTCGTTTCATGGGTAAAGCATTCTCAGAGTCTCATCGACATAACATATTCTCCGAAGAAACGAGAGTATAAAATCGCTTGCAAAGGTCCATGAATCTCAATCGTGCATAGTTAGGCCGCGTCGCTGGCAGTCGATTCGACTCGAAGAGGGAGAAAAATCGCCAGCCACACTTCCGCACTCACATTCAATCGGAGTTTACGGCTGAGCCGGCTCGGCCTATCCTAACCACCTGGCGATGACGCTTTCTCGTACGAGCTCGTTCTCTGTCTCTCGGTCACCGTCTGGCTCCCTCTGCTTCAATCCCGTGCAGCCGACTCGTACCAAGACAACCTCACAATTCAGCATTATAAGTAGTCTGAAACCTATGTCGTCAAAATCGACGTCATTTTCCTAATTGCAGTCTCTAAGCCATCCCAAAGAGTCGATCCGACGCGCTGTAACGCCGGACCAAGGGAGGCTTGGTTGTTCGCATGATCGCCCTCGTTTCCTCCGTCGTTCTCAGCACCGTAGCCAAGCCTTGCACGCACAAGACACATGCTAGCTCCGTGGATGCTGCTTATAATATCATGGCTCTGTGTCTATGCTTCTGCCTGGGTTGGAAGCTGAGCATCGCTATCACGGTCATGTTTCCACTAGTTTCCAATCACTTTCAACATATCTCACACTTGGACCTTTAGGAATGTGCACAAGGCTTCTTCACCGCACAGAAACCACCGGCGTTGGAGTCTACCAGCATTTTTCCGAGTACCATTGAGGGTTGTCGGACATCGGCCAAATCGCACAACTCTGGCGGACTATTTTGGGATTGCCTCCGGATCACCGGACCTCGCCGAACGCCACCCATTCCCGTCAGCCTCTGTCAGGACTCGCAGGACGTCGCACACAATTGCGAGCAGTGACCAGGCATTGCAGAGCTGGAATCACAGTCCTCCGACGGGCCCATCCATTCTTGCTGCATGGCAGGGGCGACACCGCCTGCCAGTGCCGTTGACCCCAGACGAAACGAGCGCCACACAGTCATCGTGCATACGCTTGATTACGTGCGCTGTTGATTTTCGTCGTCGTCGACCTTCAGGTTGGCCTTCCTTTCTTACGCGACTCTCGACGTTGAGACGTGCTGCTCTCTCGCGCCTATAGTGGATCCACACCCTGGCAACCCCTTCCGGGGCAGTCGTGAAATTGTGGATCCGTCGCGTGTACCGCTTCGTTCATTGTCCAAGACCGGCCGTCGTACTGTCGCGCAACCCTCACATGACCCAGCGCGATACTTCGAGAGGATAGAGGGCCAATTTATGTGATGGGAAGCTTCCTTAGGCAGTGGATTAAGGCATTACTAGTGTGTCTTTCCACTTTTTCCATCCACCGACTTTCGCTGACTGAGCTTGCCGTGCTCATTTATCTCCAGACTCGTCTCTTGCTACGTTTAGTCCATAACACTCAATGTACTATAACATGTGCCATAAAAAATAGTATGTTGTTTCGAGTATTGGTATCGTGTGCGAAGGAAACCAGCGATATGTAAGAACTAGTATGAGTCAAAACCGGCGGCTGCTAGGATGTCGCCGTCGTCCGGCTCTTCGCCTGACCCTCCTTCGTCATCGGAATCCTCGTCATCGTCAGAATCCTCTTCGTCTGAGTCGCTCTCGTTGTCCTCTTCCTCACCCTCTTCATTTTCTCCTGGAATGTCTTCCCCAACCGCTTCCGGTACGACTCCGACTTCCTCGGCTCCTTCATCATCCTGCCACAATGCACCGGCTGCCGGGACATCGAGTCGAAGGCTTTCGTTGCATGAACTAGTGCTCCTGTGCCCTACACCACCGCCGCGGAAACGCATAACCATATCTCGATCAACGAACCTAGCAATATGGTTTATTATCACGAGAACGGTTGAGACACCCATCCGAGGGTAATAAAAGATATAAGACTCACATATTCACGTACATGGAGTCCCAATCGTCCTCCTCGTCCTCGATGTTCTTGCCATGGGAGCGAGCGAGTGAAGGACTGGCGAGGAGTGTGGATGTACGGCCATAGTGGTACGCAGGAATGATGTGTGCGCCGCGGACAACATCAGCCGGGTTGACGAAGCCAAAGGCATCCGGTACATCTTCGTGGACGAAGCGGAGACGAGGAAGGCGTTTCCTCACCCAGCCGTAGTCGTTGACGGGATCGGTATACCAACGGACCCACAGGAACTCGAAACGCTGCCAGTCCCCCGCTTCGCCGTTAAGGCCACGGTGGCGTAGCATGCAATGAAACACGCAAATGACGCGTGCATACCAATATGGATGTGCGCCATCCCGCTCGTCGTTCGAAAGCACCATGATATCGCGACGCTTTCGAGGATTGATGGAGTCCTGAGCTCTACGAACGTCGTAGGTGGTGTAATTGATGCGAAGACGACGGTGGCGATAGAAGCGGTTTTTCTGGATTTCGATGTTATCGCGCTCTTCAGGTGAGAACTCACGCTCCTCGATGCCCATAAGCCGTGCATATGCATGATCTATGAAACGGATAGCGAAGTCCTGCAGGGATTCAAAAAAAAAGGAAAAAGCCCAATGAGAGAATGACACAAGTATGTTGCTAAGGGACAAACCTTGAGGGCGGGATCAGTACCACCATGTGCATCTAGCCAGGTATCGAGCTCGACGACATCCCTTTGAGATTGCGCAATGTGGTGATGATCCTCCGGGTTTGTGTACGGAAGAGGCTCGTCGGTTCTTGAATTGCGCTTGCGACGACGTTTGGTTGTCTTGACTTGTTGGGAGGCGGGGTCTTCGTCGCCGGTTTCGCGTTCTACACTGCGTTCTACATCAGCACCCGCGATCTCAGGGTGCTCCTTGATTATGTTCGCGTACAGGCGCCGCATGAATCGTTCACGGGCTTCATGCTGAGCTAGCTGCTTCTCAAAATTGTTCTTGCTGGTCCGTTGGAATCGTTGCTTTGAAATAGGATGTGCCACTTCTACCTATATATATCACCGATGATTAGCGACAATGTACAACATTGGATTTTCAGCGAACAAACCCATTGTGTGCTATAAATATCCGTAGTTCCGATATATCGTATAGCATCAGGGTAGTCAGCTAGTCTGTGTGTCTTGTAGGTACATAGATTGAACGGTTTGGGTTTGGATGTGGCGACGGTGGGTGGTGGCGCAGGCTGAGTCGTAGTGACAGTAGTTGTCGAGTAGTCGGAGGTGGTATTCGTGGCGGCGGCGGCGCGTTCTGCTATTCGAAGCTCGCGTCTCGCCCGGGCTCTAGCCTCTCGTGGCAGCTCGAATGTTGTGAAATAAGTGCAGGTTTTGTCTGTGAACTTTCGCAGCGAGTTCCCAGCCTCGATGCAGATGTTGTCGAACTCTGCTAAGGTAGACGTTAGATGAAGGCGCATTTTTCCGTATGCATGCCATGATGAAAGGTCGAAAAGGAGGTCAGAGATAGTTTTGTCGTGTTCGTCGGGGAAAAGGCCCTCAAAGACTGGGATGGCGCACTAAAGATCAGAAGTTGAGTGCATGAATTGGCGATACCGGTGCTCTTAACAACCATGACAGACCTGTAAAAGATCCTCAAAATCCCGCGCGGCAAGCTTCTTCATGAGGGACGCGTTTCGATGAAAACGCCGTATCGTATCACGACCAAAAGTAGGCACCTGTCGGTAACTGGACAACGTCAATTGTGGCACTTCTGGGGGTTCAGATAAGAGTGATATACCGTTCATTCAGGATATCCTCCTTTCCTTCCTTGAGAGCGAGGATGATACGAATTAAATGAGTGAATATTGCCTTCCAGACACCGAGTTCAAACTCGTGTAGAAGGTCGACTAGTAAGAGAACATAATAATTAAACTGTTCGAGGAGGTCGAGTTGGTCGAGCTTGGAAAATGCGTTCTAGATAGAGCCTAATAGTCAGTAATGCTGGAAGGAGATAAATGAATCGATACATACACGGATAGGAACGGTAGAATATTGCATTATCTCATCTATGCTGGCAGCGTTGACTGGCACTCCAGACTCGTAGATCGCACGGCGGGCATGCTCGACCTGGACCCGGCGAGGGTGGTTGTCGATGCGAGTCTTCTGCTGCCGGGTGTGCATATCCGACTTCATGCCGACCTTCCGAATGTCTTGCTTTTTGACGAGACAGCTTGGGCAGGGGCAAGTGCCGAGGTTCTTGATATTTGCGATGAGAACTCTGTGCGAGTAAGGTGGAGTGTCAGTACAATGCAAAAACGATTCGGGAATAGGAAAACTTACTTCTCTGGGTAGTCCGCAGAGTATGAGAAGAAGCGAGGGAAGAGGCGGCGAACAATACCGTCGCCACAACGGACGAGAATACCATTCTTGTATGCCTCAAGAAACTCAGGATCGAGGAGAAGGTCCCAGATAAGCTGGAAGAGATCACGCTTGCAGTGCGTGAGGACTTCGGGTTTGGCACTGTGTCCGTAGGCCTGTCGATATGTGTCCTGGAATGTCTCAGGAAGCTATATAGAACGAATGTAATGGTGAGATCAAAATGTATGATGAACTATAATAGAAACTCACCGAGGGAATGTAGGCGAGGTGATGACATGAATGAGAAGATGACTTGCCCAGCGTGTATTTTGACTGAGCGCCAGCCCTCAGGTAGAAGGGCCACAGCGAAGCATCGCCGAATTGGGCTAGATGTGTTGCGTCCGATCCCAGAAGCAAAGGTGCGACGATGTATTCACAAGAGTCAGAGTCGCCAGGAAGGCGCGGAAGAGAGGAGATCGCAGCGTGAGCTTCGAGCATAGCAGGGGAAGAGTACAGTTCGCCGTAAATCCGCTCGTCTAGACCACCGGGCTCCTCTGGTTGTATATATTGCTCGAATGGGGTAGTGTGCAGAGTGGGAGCGATAGCCTCGTCTCCGTAGACCTCACGAACTATGTCGAGGATCTTCCGATGACGAATATGCTCGACAATCAAAGGAGGCGCGGATTCTTCGGACTCCCACTTTACCTTTGCACATGGCAATCGCAGTGTCACGGACGAATCAATCCAGCCGCTGTCAGAGCGTAGAGGATTGGCACTATCCTCAAGGTACTTGTCGAGGCGCTTACTCTCACGGGCGAAGTTAAAGTCCTTCACGTCGCTCGCCGGAAAATGTTGAACCAGCTTACTGAGTCGCGTCGTCTCCGGTCCCGATTTGACTCGAGGACCCGAATAGTGCCAGTACATCATAAGTGCTGTGCCTAGGTTCTCGAACGGTGCAAAAGGGTTGTCAGAGTCGGAAGGAAGGTCGGATGAGAGACCGCCACCAGTAGAAGTCGTGGTTGCCGATGCAATCGATGGGTGTTGGAGTGTTGGAGTATCGCATATACTGTCGAGGGACGCCCCGAGCTCGGGTATGTGGGACGGCTTGTTTGGATAGACGCGATAGACGCCGAGTTCGTTCGGTGTTGTCGTGACAGGTATGGGAGCAGGTCGCTGTGGCGTGAGTGGTTCAGAGGCGGGAGGCAGAGGTGCAGGCGGTTGCGGAAGTTCGATTGGGTTCGGGGTCGGAATATGAGACATCTTCTTGGCTTCAAGACCCGGTACATAGTCGATTAGGCGTTTTGGTGCACGTATAGGGCGACCGGAACGTCGAGAACGGAGCACTTCGGCGGCGGGTAGAATACTGTCCTCTGTGATCATCTATTTGCCAAGAGAATAACGATATCAGGATGAGTCTACGTGAACATAGAGATGAATCGAGGTGCAACTCACGGCATTGACACTGTCCTCAATGGGTGATATACGCAAGTCGCCATCTATATCGATCGGTGCCTAAAGAAAAAATTGTTACTACAATCAAGTAGAGATATAGAAAAGACGACATTCACCGTGTTATGTGAACCGCTGCTGGACGCGACTGGTAGCGCTGTTAGATCGCTTCGTGGAGCGAGATGGATGCGTTTTGAGCTCCCAGAAACATCTGCTGCAGGAGCGCCGGGGCGTTTCACTGGTACAACCTTCCGTGCTCTGTCTTGATCACATTTTTCTCGATGTTTCAAGAGCTGGCGATTCGTTGTAAAAGTGTCTTTGCTGCAGCCGGGACATTTGAGCCTTGGAGGCATGTTGGAGATATTCGGAGAGGGTGTGGTGGTGATGGGAAAGACCAATGAAAGACGCGAGAACGAAAGCCCCAGAATACAGGAAGTAAGGTAAATTTGTTCGGGCCGATGGAGCGAGACCCGGAGCATAAATGAGCGATGCCTTATGGCTGCCATCAAGAAGCACAGTTTAAACTCGAAGGCCGGTGACTCCATGAAAGCTGCAGGTAGACAAGTGATCATTTCACAGTCCACCATCTGTCCATAAGTGTTAAGTTTGCCGGCTGGAGGTCAGTGCTTTTCAAAAGATAATAGCGTTGAAAATATCCCCGACTTCATGTAGAGTGATCCTTCCTCAACATACATTTATGACGAGGATCAAAACCCACCGGTCGCTGAGCGGATCAGTGTTGGCATCATGATATGCGAGCTTCCTCTTCGCAGAATGAAGTGTGTCGAGCCATAAAGCTAATGGACTACCTTTCCAGGTGGTCATGCAGAAAATACCCAACAGAGCTTTTGGAAAACCACTAGCATTCAAAGACCAAGGAGTCGTCCGTACGAGATCTGAGAGTCAAGAATCAAGCAGATGATAACGGGTTCCAAGCAGGTTCTGCGGATTAAGTATTGCAAAGTCGACTCGACACTCGAGTGAAGCCATCAAACAGCTAGGTATTTTCTGACGGCCATTGAAAGGGATCCACTCGCACTGTAGTTCGTCAGAAAGTTATTCTCGTTTCACCTACTTGTGAGCGTCGTACACGGTACAGCGCGTGCCCAGATGGTGGTCGTGCATAGCAAGATCGCAAGACGTCCGGATTGGGCGAGAACACCCCACGTGCTACGATCAAAATCAAACTCCGACCTCGTCCAAGTTCACTTATATCCTGGGCGTGGCACCTCCGCTCGCTCGTTCTTCTTCCTCCCCTCCACCAGTATGCCCTCTGCCCCAGTGTCCTCCTCTTCCAGCTCCTCTTGTCCCCCCTCATCCAGCTCTTCCTCTGACGAGAGCCGCAATACATCTGTTCGCGACACGTCTGACAGCGTAGAGAACGATGCCACACAAGATGAGTGCGTTTGTATTTACTTCTATCTTTGAATTTAAACTGATTTACTGCTATCAGGAACAACCCATTCGTCAAGGCATCTCGCTGGATTTCACGTGGCTACGATCTCTTTACTGGCCTTAGGACACTCTTTGAGGTCGGTATGGCTCTCGACGAGCTTGTCATGCTTGAAGAGACCGAGGAGAACAGCGAACCAGGCCTGACCCTCGTCACGAAAATTGGTATCGTACACGGTCTGTGAGTACTCGTCTCTTGACCATACTCCTCTCTACCGTGGTAGATGCAGAGCTGAGTGCGTTCAGGGATGACGATGAGGTTCTTAGGTGCCAGAGAGCATACAAAAACATCCTAGCTCATGTTCCCGGCCTCGCTAAGTGTATGGCCGAATTCGTCGACGCTGGCGATCTCACGGACTTTTGGAATAAACTTCAGAAGGTATGTTGCACGCTACGTAGCCGTTGGTTTGCTGGAGTTTCCCAATGATGTACTTCCGTGTACATGCGGTCATCTACGGATATTGATACGTGCATATATGCCTGCACGACAGCACGCATTCAGTCTACCTGCATATATGCGGGTTCTCTACTGTATCTATGCTCAATGCTGCATATATGCGTCATTTTTGTGACTCATATTAATTATACAGCTTACTAATGTATACCAACAGGTTAGATCGTCTGCGAACTCCGGTAAAAACGAGGACTCCTGCAAGTTCAAGAAGTCTCTCGCGGAATACGCTGGTGCCACCTCGACTGAAAAGAACAGGGGTTTCTGGAGCCCCTTCTATGGTCGCCTCCTGACTCCTTCGAGCTTACTCGTAGAGTATGATGCTGATCCTGTGGAGCAAGTTTCTCGCTTTTACTTGCTCACCACTGTCTAACGTTGTTTATCTTGGACAGATTCTGCCGCCAAGCGCGACTCCCAGGAGGCGACGTCAGGATCACCGACGCTGAACTCCCCAGTTTGGTATACCCGTGTGGTGTGTGTAACCCCGAGGATATCCTCGAAGGTTTCACACAGACCGAACTTCTCGTACGAGTATGTACTACACTCTTTTCATCATCGCATACAACGTGTTATTAGGCACGTACTAATTCATGACAAGTTTGGGCGGATGGTTCTTCAAGGGCCGACATACGCCATGGAAGAGCCGAAAGCCCCTATGCAAAGGGGAAATTCCAAGAAGCACGACATACGGAACGTCACCGAAGATTTTGTCGCGTACTGTGTCACACAAGTAGGTCATCTCTCGACTGTTTCTAATAAACGGCTTTCCAGACTTCTACAGGTTCGTATCGCCGTGTCCGGAAATGGGTTCGTCGAATTAGACGGGCTATTTCACAATGTCACGCTATATTCGACCGTCGTCAGTCTTATCCGACTGAATCCGGCTAAGAAGAAGTCAATTTTAGCATTCTGGAACTTGTGAGTTACTCTGTTATCGTTCGGAGTATCGCTGACACAAGCATGTATGAAGGAAATGTTTTGGCCATGAGGACGGTTATGTACAAAAGAAACGAAAAGCACAGGCCGGCGAACCTCTCTCTGTTCTTGAGAGAGCGAGATTGCAGAACACTGCTCAGGTTTCTCCCGAAGTGGCGCCAGCAGGACGTACGTCCCCCGTGTATCTTCTCTCGCTGTTGTCACACCTGTCGAGTCTGCTCTGACGAACTCTATCAAGCCACTGTGTCAGCTGCTACCGAGTTAGGCACTGGTACGTCCAATAACCTTCCCGATGTTCGCAATTTAACTTGATTCAATGATCAGGCCCGAACACCGTCCCTGCTGCGACGTCCACCGAGCACAACCCTTATCTCACGACCGTGTCTACATCAAGAAATACAGGCGACGCTGCTTCCGTTTCTGCTCGGTCTGCTGGCGACGCTGGAGATTCTCTTGGCTCTACGGCGGTTACTACTTCAGTGGATTCTGTGTCCGAGTCTCTCAGCGAGCCTGTGTCCAACAGTAATGTCCACGATCATTCCCCTCGTGCGCATCCTCCTCCAATTGGTTTTGTGTTACATCTCTGATCATCACATTTCCCACTGCATGCACAGCGACAAGCATTTCCAGCTCGCACACGACCTCATCACTCTCCATTGACTCTTCCGACATTCCTAATGGCTCTCATGCATCCTCTCAAGACGTAGTCTCTGTGTCTTATCCTGCATCTACGAACACGACGCCACCTTCAACATCATCTATCTTCGAGCCGCTCCCCTCTGGCACTGAGAGCCGACTGGCCTCTGCGCCGAAAGAGAAGATTATTCTACGATCACAAGCACCTCGGTCCACGAAGAAGACGAACGGTGCCGCTGCAGCGAAGAAGCGCAAAGCGAAGGACGCCGTTGATGGAGATGGTGCGGAGATGCCTGCCCCTCCGAAGGCTAGGAGGAAGTTGAATGGGAAGAAGACTGGATAGCAGCGGGCGATCCCGACGTGTCTTCTTGTACATTTGCTGTGACCGCGTCCTTATTATTTTCCTTCTTCGCTCGTGTACGCTGTAGGCATCAGATCCCGGTGTACTTAAAGTAATATCTTGCAATCACTCGTGATACATGCTTTCTCTTGTGTGCGATAGCGACGGTTGTTCGAGATCACCGCATCTAGTAAGTCTTGCCCGCTCTCGCGTTTTGAGCTATTCTCGCGAGAATTTACTTACGTAGGCAGAGATACAAGCCTCTCGCAGAGAAATGGCGTCCGAGGGCCTATTTTAGCTCTTGCTAGACCTTTTGGCCTCTCGCGTGCGCTCGTGCGAGCCTTGCAATTTGGCCGATGGAGCTGGCAAGGTAGGTTCAGATGTCTTTCATTTGGGGCAGGCGCGTGGTCGCCGGCCAGACGTTTATCCTTAATCACTGCCCTCACTGTGGCTCAGGGAAGCGCGTTCATGCTAATCTTGGGGCTTCAGGCGTTCATGCCCAAATTTACATCGTGCAGTGCTGACGCGGGGTGCTCCCTCGTGGCTCAGCACGATTGTCTTTTTCTGGAATTCGTGACGAGGAAAAATGCCCATGTTGCATACTATACGTCTTCTTGGTGGATTGAGTTCATTCTCGATGCTCAAGCCTATAAGGATCCTCGGAAAGATATTCAGTTTTGGGTGTTCAAAGTCATGATGCCCGCCTAGTTATTAGGCGACTGCGGAGCACGGTGACACTTCGTGTATTGAACTGGCTTCATGGCAGTGACGGCACGAAGAGAAAAATGATACACGTACCCTGAACATACGTTCTTGCACATGTTCTTGCACTTCATCACGCGTGCGAGTTGGGGGAGCATACGTACAATTGAGACGGGCCCCCCAAAATGTATCAAGAACTTCGACCAACGTTGCGTACCCCGCTGGAAATATATCCCTCTCTAAAGTGTCTTTCTAGGTAAGCCGCATGGCAGATGTTCCCATATCAGGTGTTTCAAAGGCAATTCACAGGAAATAGTCTCATGTTCGAACATCGTGGTGTACCTTCTATGGAATGGAACTCTAACCGAAGCACTGTAGCTCAAAAACCCTTCTGAAGGCTGAGTTACGTCGTGAAGTGGAATATGGTCGTTGTCACTCGTTCTGGACAGACCCAGAATGTCTCATTCCAGCGGTAGATATGCCCAACTCTGTCTATTTATTGACGTCGCAGAAAATGAGGGGTCATCTTTGCTTGCCTCTATTAGCTGTTGCAGCCGATGCACGATGGTGCACATTCTCCTCACACGTTGATGCGATCTCAGAAACCAAATCGACCGCGGTGCGGTAAATTGGGACCTCAGACAGCTTTATCTATTCCTGCGGGGAGCTTTGGCGTGTGTATTTGATTGACATGAGGCATTGTGCTAATACTCGTCCAATGTTTAGGAATTTTATCCCGCATTCAAAGTAGCTTCTGGTGCAGAGACAACAACACGTGGTTCTCCGCTCATCGCAGTCACATAGCCCTTGAGAAAAAAGCGGGAACAAGGTGGTCGATCCAACTGTCCAACCAGAACCGTCCTTCAGTCGCTTATTTCCCATCGACTCCCGCTGTCCCGCTCAGGTCCCGCCCAGTAATAATTCACATGTAATTTATCTGCGCCACCTCGGCAGTATAAAACCATGTCAGTCGTTTAGTGAAGTACCTCATCCATTCGGACCCACACAGCAGCACTCATCGTTTCGAGCCCTCACCCAAACAACGAATCATCCAACCATGCAGTTATCCATCAAGACCGCTTTCTTCGCCCTCGCCGTCTTCTTGCCTCTTGCTTTCGCTGCTGCTCTCGAGCAGCGCACCGAGGACATCGAGTGCAAGCCTATCCTCCAGTCTTGCGCTGTCGATGCTGAGTGCTGCGCCGATCTTTGCGTTGCTGGCGTGAGTATTCTTTCATTATCCCTCTGTTATCCCAGGATTCAGTCTCTTGAGCAATTTGGTTGATGATATTATGCTCAAAGCTCTGCCTCTGAGGCACTCTGCCCCTTTATATATCCAATGGGACAAGTTGAACGTTCGTCGAGGTCGGTACTCCCTTTCAACATCATTTTTCAGGCTTTGATTCCGATCTCATTCTCCATTTATTATTCTTACATTAGGTATCGGAGCAGCTGGATCTGGTTGTATGGACCGGGGAGTAGTACTGTATGAGCTGTCAATATGTTGAAAATATTTCGATTGTTGATTTATGCGGATAAATATAACGTGGATGACCAGAATTGAACGGTATGACCCTCAATAAGGACTGAGCTCGAGCGGTGCAATGTCAATGATCGTATACTAAGACGCCGTCTTAGGAGTTGGGGCCACTGTGGCGCTACTATGAACGTCTCTAGCGTCGTCTACACTATTTCTGTACTCTTTCCCATGCGGACCTCATAGTTCACTGTAAGACTTTCAGGACGGATCGACTCCAAGATAACATCTAATAGCGCGCGCATCCGGCCTTGTTTACTTTGAGCTAAAGCTTCTATGCAGGCCCTGACGCGCAGTATACTGTGTTATATCGGGGCATCCTCGCTGATTGACAATATAAAGATACAAGAAAATAGCAGGCCCTTCCCCGCCCTTCCCCAACCTTCGTGGCTTGTGTTTTCTACGCGCGGATAGACCAACCTTGAAACCCGACCCTCTACCTATGTGACACATCTCAGTCTCTAGACAATGCCGTACATCTCTCCTCTTCCAATGCAAAGCATTTTGACAAAATATGTGGAGCCTTATCACTGGAGTACGCAATGAAACGGGACTTCAAGTACTATTACTCTGAATGCCGTCTTGAATGTGTTTGCGACTCGCACCCATCCCAATTCGAAAGCGAGGACCAACGGCGGGTAGGGGGGTTGGTGGAAGCAGAGCTGGAAGAAAACGCTGCCTCATAGCTCGAAGAGTAATCTATGGATACCGAGGCCGAGGGAGGTATGATATCGGTGGGAGACGGTGCCGACGAGGGAGGAGTAATGGTACTGGAAATGAAAATGACCCCAAGTGTAAGCTTAAATGATCATTAGGACTGGATGAGAGAACATACAATGCCGGTAGATTTTCACCGTAGTAGCTATTATCTGGGTTAGGAAAGTCTGGCTTAATCGGCGGAGAAGGGAGCTGCGACAACACATATTCAGTGGAAGTATGCAAAACAGTGGGGAAGGTGCATACCAAAATACTATTCCCGTCGTTATATCGAGAGTGTTGAGCCTGGAGAACGTAGGGGGCCTTCTCCTCATCTGTCATGCGACGCCATTGTTCATTCAATATTCCGATAAGTTTCGTCTGATTGACGCGGCCAGTAGTATCTCTGCATGCATCCTCCAGGTACGGACGCCGCTGATACATGAACATATGCCACGAGTTATGTTTGGGACCTTCTTCGGTCTGGCGTGCTTGTTCACTGGCTATAGTTTCGAAAGGTCGTCGTTCTTCTGGCGTCATTGTATTCCATTCTTCGCTTAGACGAGGCGTCAACTTCTGTGGCCTAAGACTCGGGTGACCTGCAGGGAGCTGAGCCTCAAGTTGAGCTCTACGAGAGGCTGCAAAGACTCGGAAGGGAGTGGGTCCACGATGAGAAGAACAGTTCTGTTTCGATAGTGTGCTCACGTAAGTATGGTAAGATACGGGGTGAAAGAGGATTTTCTTGCCTTTGTGTTCATACTTATTTACCATATAATCGGCGTAAACTGAGAATACACAGGCGAGCTATCAGCTTAGAGGTAGATGGTCGTCGAGGGAGAGGGGTCATGTAGATGCTTGCCTGCGTAACAGTAGTCTTTTATATTACAGACAGTCAAACACGGCCATGTCTCACTCTCCATTTCACCGTGTCAACTGGTGGACCAATCTGAAACATTCAGTATGGATACAACAGCTCAACTAGGCAGATATGCTTCAATAAAGTCAATTGTCCAGATTCTGCTTGGCAACGGTTGTGACCATGAAGTGCCCAGTACCACACTGACCTCGGCAAAGGGATCGTACCTCACATATTTCAAAGTCAATGAAAGACATGTGGCACTCGTAACATCATGGCACATAGCAAGAGCTCCAAGGTGTATGAGATCGATGGTGCTCCGGCTACCAAATGTCTACCAGCGGCGCTGGCACGCAAACTCAGCAAGCGAAACCGCATGCAACGCCCACTCGAACGGAAAAAATCTCCTAGAACGAAGGTTGTCGATGGATGACGGCCTAGAAATACCAATACTCACTTTGACGGACATAATTCGATAAAACGGCGAATCAGTATCGAACCACGTTTGACATCTGGCGCTCAATATCCGGTCGTCTTCCCTCCAGATCTCAGAATATTGGAACTCAGAGTGATATTGTGGCCCAAGAATATCAAGGACCTTGGGGCTTGGGATCGCCTCGATAGCACAGGGAAAGCTCTTAGTTTATTTGGCACAGTAAACGAAAACAAGGCAGTGGAAAGGGAAGATGACGACTATGCATACTAAAAGGATGGTTGAGATGAAGAACGAGAATGTCTAGAATCCTACCTAGCATCATCGTCTCCGCTGTCACGGCCGCGTTCAGGATTGGCTCCTATTCCAGTTCGCAAGCGAGGAATATTTACTGAGAGGAGGGCGTTGTGAGCGTTGAGGATCCGGATTTTGGTGATATATTTCAGGACTATCCGTATGATATGGGTATTGCGAAGCAAAGGAGGGCGAGAAGGACTCAGTAGACACCGGTGTATCAGCGGAAGTAATTGAGTCTTCTGGAGAGTAGGGCGAAGAAGAAGAACCCATGCTGATGTCGCCGTACCCAAAAGGAGGTGGAGCGTTGAAGTAGCTTTGTGGGCCATGAGAGGGGTACTGGAGCTCTGAGGCGGCTTGAGCAGGCATGTGTGACGTTGAGGAGTACCTGAAGGGAAACATACATCATTATTTTGACTAGAACGCGGTAATCCGAATCGCAGGAATAAAACACTGGCCTTGATACATCAATTTGTTCTTGAAGCCTATCGTTCTGGATTACACCGCTGGGACCGTTAGTAATACTGACACGCTCCGAACGTCGAGCCTTCTCTGCCCATGATTGCTTCTCCACTGCAGGCATCTTATCCCAAGCCAGGGAAACTAGTCGGTTTGCAGTATTCGCATCCAAGCCCTCCCCTTCCATCTCGTCGCGCATATACGAGTATTTTGCCAATATATCCCGCTTGAAAGCGTAGAATGCAGCTTGCGCAGGGAAGTCCTGAATGCTCTGAGCGGACGGTTAACAATTTAGCGTGCAATACTAGCTTGTGCCCGCCAACTGCTAGCTTGCGTTAGCTTTTGGCTGGGCAAGCTGAATTGTCCAAGCTAGCTTGCACGCTAACTAACATAGTTAGGTGCCTCGCGTGTGTAGCTTGGACAACTTAGCGTGCACTAGCTTTTACACAGTCAATGCCCGCCCTAGTTAGACAGCATGTACCAGCGTACTAGTATGTAGTTGACGCCTCCGTGCTCGTGGTTGTAATGAACATGAGAGTCGATAGCATACATTCACTTGACCCAGGATAAACTGTCATCGATTTGGTGCTTTGTACAAATAAACAAGCCAACTTCTCCTCAACTCCTGTGGATCAATAAGAGGGGATACACCAATTGTTTCGCACCGAAAGCCGTGACATAGTTAGCAGCAGAGTTCGAGCCGGATATTGCCGCGCTGACTTCGAACCCAAACTTGTCAATGATGGTTGTGAGTGGCGCTCATCGTCTGTCGACGAACCCACGCACGCCAGCATCACACCAGCTGCACAGTAGCCTTGTCATTTCTCGTCTATACTGCACTTTGCTCGTTATCTTGGGCTAATCTCATCTTTCTTCAGGCATTCTTCCTTGCTCAAGCTAGCTTGAAGCTAGCTTGCACGCTGATGAGCACATATGCCCATACGGCACGCTAGCTTGTGTAAACTAGCTTGCAACTTGTGACTTGGATGTGCCATCGACATCTTCATGCTCTGTGGGATAAAAACATTCCTCTCCTTCATCTGTTGAGTCTTGTTTATTTATTGCTTGTGCCCGGCTACTCTGTGGCTCGCTTTCTCCGAGGAATTTCACACCACCCGTGGGCACCACGCTCGCTCAGTTTCTTTGCTAGACACTCAGATGCCAGTCCTCTTCTGGCCCCGATTGTACCACAGCTTACACGCGATATCTTGCTATTGATCTACGATTGAGATCCAAAGCTCGACGTTGACCCGACTATGCCTTCTAGTTGAACTCGTTGCATCGTTCGTGCTGCATTGCTTTCAGCTGGGGAATGATATCTAGTCCCATTTTCTGACAACACATTCAACGGTATACCTGATGTGTCAAAATACAGCTTGGATCATTCTGTTTCTTTGCTGCGTAACAGTCGCCGAATGAGCCTGATTCCATCTACACTGTAACTCACCCGATGTGGGACATATCCTACCCATGCCGTCGCATGGCCATATTTTTCCATGCATAATTAAAGCGCAAAACCGTCTCAATCTCCCTTGTAAGATAATGTGGGATAATGGAGAGCCATTCTAGGCCATGTTGGCCATCCTTTGTGTGGAGGTTGCTGTGTGGCGCGCCACACCAACGATGTACTGAATGAAAGTTGAAGTTCGCCGCTCACACACACCCTGGCTGCAAGTTTCCTTCGAAACTTTTCCGGTGATCACCACTGCCTATAATGTCTATGCAGACTTTTGCCGCTTGCCCTGGCCGTTCCAATTATTGGAGTAGACCTCACATGTTGATAAATCGTTCCGTCCTCAACATTTGCTTCCGTTGAATTGACAGGACCCCGAATTTCGATCATTTTATGACTCGCATTTTCTTCCTTCGTCCCTCGCTCCTCGTCTACGTCCTCCCTCTGCCTCTCTTCCTCCTTCACGGCATGTTCACTCGATTACTGAACCTGTTTGGTCTTGAATGGAAGAAGGACAATACGACACCGCCCTCTTCTAACAAGGGACACAGCCAAGAGAAACAGCACACCGTTCCACAAGCTTCGAACGGCACACCAGCTCAATTATTTGCTCAGAGCACCGGTCCGTACACTTTCTTCTTTTAACCTCAATGTGAGCTCACGGGATTGGCATTATGTATGTGTCAGATGCTGCTACAATCACATCCATCGTCAATCTCGCTTCAAACGCCACTGCCCTCGCACTTGCCTCCCTCTCGCCCGCGAACACTCACCAAGCGGACCTACCTTCGGGCACTGCACAATTAGCACTACAGCGCACCCAAAGTAGCACCACAAGACCAAGTGAAACAGACAATAAAACCAGAGACTTCCAAGCGGACGATTCAGAGCCAGGTATGTGATCCATGTCTCACTGCTCACAAACTCGAAGCTGGAACTCTTCGCGGTGATGTAGATTTTAGGCGCAATTACCCAAATAACACCGTTGTTCGTCGATATGTCAAGGGACAAGAACCGGCTGGGTGGAAGGAAGTCAAATGGGCAATGCATTCGTCGGGTAAGCAAAACTGGCGAGGTAAAAAGTGGCCGCGGTCTGGTTGCTTGGGGGCTATCGTTTGCAATGAGCCGGATTGTGGCTGGGTGACCAGGCCACTCACGACGAAGGAGCGTCGTGAAGAGCAGCTGAAAGAGATATGTGGGCGAGCAGGTTGTGGGAGTACATCCCATGTTCGCCATGTCTGTCATGCCGCCACCTACGTCTACGAGGAGTATGACGAAGCTACTGGGCAGACCTACTCCGTTTGGGAGCACGATGGCGAGCACAAGCACCCGATACCTCCAGGAGGACCAGTGACAGTGGCTGAGAAGGCGCAGATCGATGCTCAGGTTGTTCGTCGTCCTGGAGCGTCCGCTCATGCCCTACGAACGGGAGATCCGCTACCCGGCTCGGTTCCTCTGCCTGATATTAGCCCGAAACTGGCCGATCCTCGAGCTGCACGCTACCAAGTTCAGCAGAGTCAGGAGCGGGTGGGAATACACCACACGAGCTCATCCAAAGGCGGCTTCGCTGGACTAGAGACACTGCGAAAACTTCACAGTGAATTTAAGTCGACATTCGTCGTCGAGATGCAACTTCTGGATGAGCTTTCTATCGTTCTTCAGACACCGTGGATGCTCGAACGACTTCATCATAATGTTGATCTATGGATCACTGAGCGCGACGGCCCGTTATTCACATCTTTACCTATCCAATTCGGTGCCCAAACCGACGGCGATAACAAGTTCTTCAAAGACGGAACGCTCATTCTCACCTGCGTTTATGATACGACTATCGAGGGGTGGGTACCAGTCCTCTATACTTGGCTCGAGCGACAGAACACCAGTCATTTGCGACATCATTTTCGTTGGCTCTTCAAGTGCATCATCGAGCATGCAAAAGGCGACTTCGACCCCAGAATGCTGTTTAATGTATGTGTTACCTCTATTCGTGTTTGCCTGTCACCTTATACCATGGACTAGGTCATGGATTTCTCTCAAGCACAAGAATCTGCCTTCGAACATGAATTTGTCGACGCTCTCATGGCTTGGAAGCAGCCTACCTTCGATGGACTTGCGCCTACGACTCGCTCAACAGCCATGGAGGAAGAGCGCAAGCTCTTCCGCGAGGAAGCCAAGAAGTACAGACGGGGGTGCGACGTCCATTTTACGCGCTCCGCGAAACGCATTAGACGCAGCGGCGCGTTAGTCTCCCCGGAGAACATACCTCTCTTCGACGAGTTCTGCACCATCGTCATCGCACGCTCGACTACTCCATCCCAGTTTGACGACATCGTAGCTCGCGTTCGTGATCGACTTCCTGGAATTCGTGGCTGGCTAGAGTGGTGGCTCCGGCCTAATATTCGTTCCATGGCCTTCCCGTCGCAGTCGCATAGTGATCCCCAGCTCCTTGACGATACACCCAATACTTCTAACCCGGTGGAAACGCAACACTCGCTCCTTCACCACGCCGTCGGTACAGATCACGATCTCATCTCTGGCGTTCAGAACCTTCACCTTCACGTTCAGGAGATGGAAAAGCGTGTACACGCCATCGAAAGTAAGCCTCAAATATTACCTGTTTTCCTTTCGGATCGTCAGTACTGAAGGTTATATGTTTTATAGAAGGTCATATCAATCCTGGTCGAGCACCGAAGACGGCACGGAGATCGACGAAGGCATGGGAGGTAAACGACGGGCGTGCTCCAGATACGCTTGAGGCTCTTCAGGCCGCCACCTCGCAAGAACGAGCGGCTCCACTTGATACCAAACGTCGGACCTCACGACAAGATCATCCTGGGTCTGATGTGCCTTCACAGTCGAGAACACTACCCGCGCCGGAATCGCGTACTCAACCCACAACTCCATCCGACATATCGCATTCGCATCCTACTTCATCAGTGATAACCTTCCCTCGTCTCCTCCATGGGTATCAGTGGAGAGACAACTCTTGCTTTCTCGACGTAGGACTGGAGATCATGTTCCACGTTTACCTCCGTTGGTCACCTCAGCAAAGATCCAGGTTTATCAAAAACTTTCGTGATAACTCTTCCCCCTTAGTCGACATGATGTACCACTTTCAACAGCGTCTCCAGTGGGCGCGATCGCCGGAAGACTCGGAAGAACATAGACTAGCTGGTACACGGCTTCTTGGGCTCGCTCAGACCAAGTTAATCTGCTGGATTGCAGACCGTTGGTCTTTGTGTCCTCGGGGTAGATTTGGCGACTCTGTTATCTGGTTTCAGAACCTTCTAGAGGCGAGTTATCTCCATTATCTGCATGCTTCATCTTCTAATTCTATTCATTCGGTTTCCAGGATTCTACAGACGGACCACCTGGAGACATAGATATCATTCGTCGGGATTTCAGTATCGTACAAAACGTACGGCGTGAATGCGAGGGCGGACACGTCCAAACCGAAAAGATCTCAAATTCCAACATGATTCCACACGTTATATCCGTCTACGACATTCTTATCACTCGACTAGCTCTCTCAGTCAGCGCCGCAGACTCGATTAACCTCCAGGCCTACTTCCAGCATTGCATACCGCGGATCACTCCACGTGTTTCGCATTACGAGGCTTCCAATATGGCCCACAACATCACTGTCGATACTTGTCCTGAGCCTGGTTGCCCGGAGCGTATACGAAACACCCATGTCATCACAGGATGGCCTCTTTTTTTGCACATTGTGCCTGAGACGTCTCAGTCAACCGCGGAGACGTTTGGAGATGGACACTTAGCTGTTCAGCCCATGACCTCGTTTACCATTCGAACACTACCCGTATCCTTTGGAAGCCCTCTATCATTGGGATCAGACTCCGAAGTAGCCCCGGCTGAGGTGGTATATGATATCGTTGCTCGCATTATGTATCGCCAAAACAAGACCCACTTTCAGGCGGAAATTCTCTCCTCGGGTCGAGTATATCTGTACGACGACATGCGGCATTCTGGCATTTCTCAGGATATCGGAGACAAGTCGGTGATGGAACGAGCAGATCCTACGGCAGTACTAATGGTTTATCATCGCCGTTCGTCTTGCTCTGTGAGTCTCTTCCTACAACTTAAGATGTCGTCGCAGAATTGACCTCTCCATAATTATAGTTATCGTACCGACCCGTTGAAGAGCTGGTTCATCTAACCTCCAAGGGGCCCGCATATCTCGACGGTTACGGACTTATGCCAACGCAGAGTGCTGAACACCGACCATCCCCTCAGGCAAAACATCCACCGTCAGCTCCGACCAAACCTCCCCAACCTCCCTTCGTCGAAATTCCTGTCCCACATCCGCAAAACGATCTCTCATCCACCGAGGCAGAAGCCCACACAGCGACAGGCATTCCTCGTCCCTCGAACTCTCAGGAGTATCCTTCTACGAATGCACCAAAGTCGTCAGAAGTTGCTGGTCAGAGCGCCCAACTCTCATCAACTGAACGTCCTGCCTCCGTGGCTCAAAAAGACACGAAATCTACGAAAAGAAAATCCTCGAATGCTCGTCAACTTCCGTTGCCATTTCCGCTCACTGAAGGTGTTAAACGCTCTGTCCCACACTCGAAATCCAGAAATGGTACTCCGAATAGCGTGGACGAATTCTTCGCAGCGACCGTAAGCACCACATATCCTCGTGAACAACGCTCCCGATCGCAGAGTTCATCAATCCTCCCTTTCGACCAAATATCATGCATCGGTTGTTACGACGAGTCTGGAAAACCTGGAAACCACACTCTACCAGCTCTTCCAAATACTGCCAAAAACAATGACGACGACGCCATTCAATGCGGTAGATGTGACCGATGGTCACACGTATACTGCATTCGTACTCAGTGGGGCGTTCCGGAGGACTTGGAGGACTTTTGGATGTGTCAAGTCTGCAGGAAGCTCGCACCCGAAGAGGAGGTTTTATGGAATGATGAGACATAGTAAGTCATTGTCGCTGCACATCTTTTCTCTGTAGGCGCTCATATAATATCTAGCATCGGAAAGTACTTCCTCCTTCCGACAGAAAACTCAGGGAGCACATGTTACCTCGCGAAGGTCGTTTCGCGGGATGTTATCCACGCAGTTATGGAGTGGTTCGACTACAATGTCTACAGAGCTTCGCATGAGCCCGACGCTGAGGGTCAATTTCGTGTGCCTACTCAGAGAATTGTCGAGGCTTTGGACGAATCACATCCGCGAGCTTCCAGGGTAGGTTCTTCTTATACCATATGGATCAGAATAATAGACATCTGAACTCACGGTATATATTAGGCAGGATATATCGAATGGCCTAAGCAGTTATGCCAAGAAGCGCACGAACGATTCTCTTACGAGAATGCGACCATCAGCAGTGCTATTGACGATGCGTTCGGTGCTATCGTAGAGATCCTGATCCGCACTCGATCCCATCCAGTCATGGAGATGTACGACAAGTGGCGACGCTCACCTCAAGGTCGAAGGTCGGTAGTTCTCCGCGGCAATACCTGGGCTGACACTACATTCAACATACCAATTCTTCCTGGTGATTCCTCTCTCTTGGAACGACGAATATCACATCTCCACCGAGTCCTTCAAGAAAGACTACCAGATGAAGTTGAAAAAACGCACTTCGAGCTCGCATTCGAACCCGGATCAGTTCTCCTTCGACTTGTCATTCTTCGGGTGTATCTAGGACGTTCTTCGTTATCGGACCAGGAAATCTTCGACCTTGTTTGTGCTGAAAGTATCCATCCCGTCCCAACCGAGTGGCAGAAGGCAGCTCAGGCGCTATTCGGTGTTTCCATAAACACGGGATCAGAGACTGATTCGGATGCAGGCTATGGCCCGGGGACCGCGGCCATATCTGATCTGACTATGCGCCTAGAACACCATATCGCACGGCGCATAACTCCGAGCGACATTCTTGAAGGCTGTGTGGAGATTCGTACGACATCCGGAGAACCGTACGCCTGGACTGGGTCAGTTGAAAACCAGTTATCGGGAGGCCCTCCATTCTCCGCATTTCGGCCCCGGCCAAAGGCTGCGAAGACAGCGAAACGCGATCGAGATGATGGTGCAGAAAATAATGGAGAGAATTCACAAATTGCGGACTCACAAGTAGGTCCAATCTTCTTCCTCGATGAGTAAGAGCTAACTCTCTCCAGGGTCAAGACACGTCCGTCGCAAAACGACAGAAACTTACAGATGCTGGGGCTCGAACGTCTTTGGTACGAAAACTTATACAAAACCCTCTTTATTATGAGACTGACTCTCCACGATCAAAATACAGGCAGGAGATATTGGGGCAAGTCCTCAGGAGTCAATTGCTGTGAGAAGAGGAAAAGGACGACCAAGAGGCAAGAAAACCCGAGTTCCTGTCGTAGGATCGCGTTCGAGTCGCCGACTGCAGGAGAAGAGTGTATTGGCGTCGGGTATCTAGTGGTAGTGAATGTAAAGTTCCTATCGTGCATGTCGGCATCTATCTTTTATTGATAGGTATGTAGGGTGACGGGTATTTACATGGCTAAGGACGATGAAGAGCCATGTAAACAGGAGTGATCACAGACTATACAAAGACTAGAATAACGGGAAATTAGCTACAAGCTAGCTTAGCCCCGCAACGCACGCCAAGATCCATTAAGTCAGACGCAGCGTGGCCCGCAAGCTAAGCTAGCAATGCACGCTAAAACCATTAAGGCATATGTAGCGTGGCCCGCAAGCTAAGCTACAAGCTAGTCGTTTCGTTGTACAAGCTACTTTGTCAACTCTCGCTAGCTTGTGTTAGCTTGTGCATCAAATGTTAAGCTAGAGCCGCTTCAAACCTTAGTAGCGGTCATCGTTGATCGTAATGGTTTACAAAGGCTTAGCGGACATAGTGTATCGAGCTTCGCGGCGAAAAATCAGACACCGATGTCCGACATCGCTCAGTCATTCTGAACATCGACCGGCTGACAGAGAACAAGCACGAACTGAAAAGTGCTGTACCTCAAAAGCTATATCAAAACTCATGGTAGCTTGTTCAAGTATTTCATGCACAGAGACGTTCGAGAGTATCTACAAGATATAATCTACGAACCTCATAAATATTACCGGGTAGCAGATGAGAGAAGATGCCACTGGTAGCCAATACTACCGGCGACTATGAGTTGATCTCTAGATTAATAAAGACCACACGCGTCAAACGAATGCCCTCGATGTCGAAATGGTCACGCCAAATGATATCGGCACGTTGGCCCAGGCTATTTTGCTTTGTAAATATATGATGCCAGGTGCCTCAGAACCAAAATGATTCGCCTGACTTCAGTGCAGAAGGCATCAAAGGCGAATAGTGGATTTAAACCCGTTCAAAATCCTAGGACTCAAACGGCTGATTAGGATTTCGGATCGACAGAATTAAAGGACATACGGAGCCTTTCGTAATGTTCGCTAACGATCCCGTTGTTGCCCCCATGAAATTTTGATGCAACAATTTCACGAGGTAAAAATTAACTTTTGTCGAGTTACTTAGAATGTTAGTACACGCTATATGTATAGATCTTCACGGATATTACTCATGAAGGGTACGAGTTTTGGAAGTTCCTTGAGTACAACCAGGTCGACCTCAGACAGCATTAGAAGTCACGATGTATACTATAAGCCTGAGGAAAGTAATCGAAGCGGAAAGACTAAGTACAAGTCGTCTTTGCTGTCGCTGTGATTAATTAAGACAGTGATTTCATAGTAGAAGCCGCCGGTGACGAAAGCGTAGGAGGTCATGGGCAGCCCCACAACCTAACTGACGAGAAGAATCTAGCTAAAGAGCGGACGGCGGCGACAGAGCAGCCGGTGATGAAAGCGTAGGTGGCCGTGAGAAGCTCCACGACCTAACTGACGAGCAGAATCCAGATACATAGCAGACGACAGAGATAGAGAGGGTAGGCCCGACGCAAGCTAGCTGAGCCATTCCATGCACGCTAAGAACCATTAAGTCAAGCGCCATGTGGCGCGCACGCTAAGCTACAAGCTAGCGCCACACGCTAATTTGCGCTGGCTCCTCTGAGCCTCGGACTCAGTTTCGTAAAGTCGTTTTTGATCGTCCGGCATAGCTTCCCACTCCGCGAAGAGCATAGGACCTATCTGTTGCGCTGAAGGCCTCCGTCCACCGAGTGATGGGAAAATCTCTGCTGCAAGCTGCGGTTCGCGTTGTTTCTTCCAGATAGCGTACGCACTAGGTCCCTGTAATGCAAAATACAACCACACATTTTGAACACGGTAGCGAAAACTGGGGGAAAACGAAGCACATACCTTATTCTTGGACATATTTGCTAGCACAATAGATTCCAAGCGAAACGCGTGTGACGTTGGTGATATGGGCCTCGGAGTTGACAAGGAAAGCTCGAGATATGTGACACAAGATAAGTCCACGGTTGATAGAGAGGGACCTCAATGTAGACGACGGTGGATGAATGGAGGTGGGAATGGCGAGTCGGTGGAAGAAGCATGGCTTTATATCTTCTCGGCTACTTAGCTGTGTCGTTTCCATTATTATGTAAAAACCCACATACGACAGAAGCAACCAGACAATGGCAGGGCCTAATCCAGAGTGTCAACAAGGTTTTCCCGAATGACGTCAGCCGGTGTCGCGTCTTCTCAATTGTTGTTCGTCGGTATATTGTCAGCGATAAGGATTGTTGACATATAAGCCCGCAACGAGTGCCAAGGAAACGAAGTCTATGGGAGGGACCGGCTGATACCTCGGCGGTCTGCAGTCCGGCTTCCGTGGTTGTGGGGATAAAATCTGGCCAAGGTGCGAGGTTGAGCGAGATGACGGCGGGGTATGGTTGTCTTATTTTCTACGTACTGAGAGACGTATACACAAAGACAAGCGGCGAATAAGTTGTCCAGGAATGAGGAATTTCAGGACAAGTACTTGAGAAAGATCTTTTCTTTTCGTAGTTGTGCGTGGCGAGGAAGTCGACTCAAACTCTGAGAGCTGATCCCGATTTAAACTCCGATTCGTGTACGCCACTGGGCCACATCAGCGGGGTGAGGCCCAGGCCATCCGAAATTCCTAGAGTATCAATGACAAAGATCGAACAATTCACTGCAAGTGTCAGTTCAGACGTTCGCACTGCCTCCAATACGGAAGACAAATATTTGCATAAAAAAGAAGTTTATTCGATGGCCAATGTCTTCAAGCCGCCAAGTAATACAATTCCGCTCATCAACTACGGTAAAAAGAATTACCTGCAACGCGGTAGCTCACATACGTTCTCCCTACATAAAGCTCTACGGCAGTAAGCAAGCAAACTGAATTCTGAACGCCCAACTCCAGTCATCTTCGCGATCGGTTTCCGTCCCAGTTCGCAAGCGAAAAGTCGGTACTGCGATGAATTTGAGGATTAGGATCTTGATAGTGAGCCCCAGGACCAGCCATCTGGTTGTGATTCTGCGAAGTGAAGGAGGGAGAGACGTCCACGGTAGCTGAGGGGCTGGTTATGTATTCGGAATAGTATGTCGACGAAGAATCCAGGCTACTATTTCCGTAGTTGATGGGAGGCGAATTGTTCAGGTCGGTCTGAGGAATACGAGAGGAACCCTCGAGTCCCGAGTGGACATACGGGGGCCTTGTTGTCGCTGACGAGAACCTGAAAGGAACAGAATTCCTGTTTAGACGCGGTACCACTAATCACAGAACTAGAGCACTGACCTAGATAACTCACTGTGCTCTTGAGATCCGTTCGACTGGGTTTGCAGAATGTTACCTCCCCGTTCCAAACGTCCAACAGGCCCCTGCATCCAAGGTCGTTTCTCCGCTGGTCCCATCTTGCCCCACTCTATAGCGATCGAACTCTCGACGAAATCTTCTCTCAAACCCGCCCGTCTTACCATCTCGTCCCGCATAGACCGGTATTCGTCCCGCCTCGTCTTTCCGACGCCATGCTGTACCCAAGATCGCTGCTCCGCTGGACCGGTCAAGTTCCGCCACTCCAGAGCAATCGACTTGTCGACAGAATCATCATCCAAACCGTGCCGTCTTATCAAATCGTCGCGTATAGACTGGTATCCGCCCAGCCTTGCCTTCCTGAAATAGTGGAACGCAGCTCTCTCTGTGGATCTTTCAGCGAGCTGCGCGTCCAACTCGGTCCTATACTGTCCTTTTTGTGCGTCGGTCATGGCGGTCCACTCCCTCAAGAGCTCGACAGCCAGCTCCTGAGATGTCGGTGGAAATCGATCCCGTGCGAACAGTTCTGCTGCGAGCTGTGGTTCACGTTGTGCGTACCAGATGGCGCACGCGCTAGGCCCCTGCGATACGCGATAGGACAAAATATTTTGAACATAGGGAAGGTCATGCTAGGGAAGAACAAGTCACGTACCTGATTCTTCGACATTGTTTCTATCACAATAGATGACGAGATAAATGCGTTTTACGTTGGTAATAAGGGCCTTAAGTTGACAGGGAAAGCTCGAGAGACAAGACACAAGGTAAGTCAAGAGGGTCCACAGAGAGAGGGCTCGCAGACGAGGGCAAGTAGAGTGGATTCAAGCCTTTGCTGAGAGAGAGGACGAAAGGAAAGCAAAGCACGGGTGTGAAGGAGGAACTTGACGAACGAATTATCCTGCCATAAGCACCCGATGGATATGGTATATATACAAAAACGACAAAGCTTTGTTTATCGATGGAGCCGGCGGGCCCACCACCAAAACAGCCTACGCGGCCTTTCCATTCTTTGTGATCGGAGTGCCCACGATCGCTTAGCAACAACTGGCAGTACCCTCTATCCAACAAAGAACAATACGGGAACAAAGATAACGTACAAAAACGGGAGTACCGTTTCAGGCCTAGTTTGACACGAGCCAAGACCGCCGCCCCGCTCCAGAAAGCCACGAACGCGATTATCCGGTGTGATGGGGCCCATCATATTGATAAGTGTGACAATGTTGACGAGATGCCGGAGTCGAATGGCACGCTGGTATGGTACAAGCTCGGATGGCAGGGAGGAAAAGACTCAAGTCTCAGTTGCAGTATTAACGTCCCGATTCAGACTCCGTCTCAACCGTGCCACTGGGCCACACGGGCTCGAACCCGAACGTCGACGTCGGAAGCCCATATGGCAGGTTGAGCTGAGAAAGAGGGGCAGAGCGCAGAAGATGGAGTGAGCTGCCCCGACACTGTACATGAGTGCATATATCTGGAGTTGCCCGAGAACAGTGACACTCGACGTGCGTCGTCGATTCCATCCGCCACATGGAGTCTATACGGGTAGCGACAGGGCCCTTCAAGCTCGAGAGTGGCCAGCATACTCCAGCGTAAGAGAAACAGATGCGTATCCCATACGAGAGTCAGAGAAAAGCTTCGTTGCTTACACCACTGCGGCCTGGCTCACATGCATCAGCGGACACGCAACTCCAAAGATCGACTTTGAATACGAACGTTCAACACGCCGTGAGACTGGACGGATAGCCTGCCCAGTACTCTTCCGCCAAATCTCCCAACTCCTCCCGATCTCCCCATTGAGAAGAAGAGGACGAGTCCCGGATAAGTATCGTCCGCAGTATCGATTCTAGGCGGGCTCGTGAAGCTCGAGAGGTTCCAGTACTCACGAATAGTAGATGTTCCAATGCGTAGCCAAGATGAGAATGTGGACGCACAGTCGGAGGGAACAACTTTCGTGTCGTCGGTTACGCCACTGGGCCACATCCACAGACACGCGAGCGGCATGAACGCCAAAGAACAACATTGAACACGAATGTTCAACAACGCATAACAGACTGAAAACAGACGAACTTATAATTAGCCATACTATACATGTTCACGACCTAGACAACGAGAATGAAGAAATCAGTCGACATGCTCGCTCAACACTTCATACCGAACCCACCTATACTACTCCTCCCTCTCCCGCTCCCCACCTTCCTCCTCCCCCACAATCCCCCTCCAAACCCCCCAATTCCTCTCCACCTCCCCATAAACCACCCCCCAATCCCGACAGCCCTTCTCAAACCTCTCCCTCGGCGCTCCATCGTCTGCCGCGCTGCTCTCGAGCCCGGTGTTGGCGGAGCAGAGGATGGATTGGTGGAGGTATGCGAGGCAGTGGCGGGTGAGGCCGGAGTAGGACGTTGGGTAGCGGCCGTCTGCCTCTGCGTCGGAGGAAGCGGGAGAGGAGTGGGAAGAGGAGGTGGAAGGGGGAGAGGACCAGTCCATGGGTGTGTGGGGTGGTGATGTGAGGTTTAGGTAGGACGAGGTGGTGTATGGCGACGAATTCCGCATCGAGCGGGAGAGGACGTAACTCTCTCTTAGGATATCGAGACATTTCAATTGATGGAGCAGCGTCGGGGTGTATTCTTCGTACTCTACTTCCACTTCCACCTCTCCTCCATTTCCTTCCACGCCTTTCTGGTCGTCCAGGATGATGTGGGAGGACGCAGGCGGATCCGGCGACGGCAGATGAATAAGATGTCCCGTGGGCGGTATGAGCGCTTTCCACTCCGCGATACCGAGAGGCGTGTCGAGCGCGTAGTGGACTGAGGTTTGGATGTGCATGGCTACGGGGGGAATGGCGTCCCATGGGATGAAGAACGTGAGGTCGTCTGTGTGTGATGGCGTCGGTTAGCGTTCGGTGGTGGTCGTCATCATAGGGAGGAGGGATTGAGGATGGGGAATGGGAGGAGGGAGAAGGAGACGGAAAGGAGACGGACCGTGCGGGCTGGAATGACGACGATGAGAGAGAAAGGCATTGTAGTCCACGAAGACGAATGCGAGGAAGGTGAGGAGAAGTAAGCTAGCGAGGGAGAGAAGGACAATTCGAGAGCGGGAGAGCGGCGTCGGCATCGTTCGTTCGTCGTTCTCCACGGCGTCTGAGCTCTCGCTTTGGGTTCCAGGGAAGGAGGAGACATGCACGGAGACGGATTGAGAGATGCAGGATCAGCGCTCAGCAGCTCCAAGAGTCTCGACCCATCGAAAAGCAAAACGCAGAGATCCTCGGAGGAACGCCATTGACGTATCACGATCCCATCCTCCCGTCCCCGCGAAACATCACAGAAGAGTAGCGCGAGACAAGCCTGAGACGACAGAACTTCATCACAAGTCAGACGCGATTCACCGGCGCCGCACTTCCTCCACCGGTGACAGAAGACGGAAGAGGAAGACGTGATGCCCTCTTTTCACCCTCGTTTTTTCCCTTCACTTCATCTTGAGAATCTATATGCGTTTCCCCGGATGGGTTCATTGAGGTGTTGGAGTTCCCAGGCCTCGACAGAGCTGGAAAGAGAGGAAAGGAAGGACGCCCCGAAATGCCCCTCATCAAGTCCCTCGGCTCAGCAGGTCTTTTCGTCGTCGTTGGGCTCAGCGTCTCTCTCACCGCATTGCGTATAGGACAGACTGTAGTCCATCTCACGACGCACGATGTCGGTGCGTCTTCCCATTCCGTCCTCTCACCTCTCCACTTCACCTCTCCACCCGACGACCCCGCATAATCGCAACAGTACTCACCTTCCCCTCCTCGCACCACAGACCCCGAACCAACCTACAGCTGGATCGGAAACGACAGACCTTCGTCATGGGATCTCAATCAACGCTCGACACCTCCCGTCCTACTTACCCTCTCCGACTCAACGCATTACGCGCTAAATAACACGCCGCTCATCTCTTCCCTCTCCTCTTCCCCGTCCTCCAACTCCCCGTCCAACTCCAACTCCACCACCCCGGTGCCTCATGCCAACAACGACGACGACACACGCTCGCACCCGTCCCCCTACTCCTCCCTCCTCTCCAACGCCGAATGGTCCGCCGCCGCCCTCGCACCCGGCAAAACAGGGCACGTCCGTCTCGGTCCAGACCATCGCATCTTCGCACTCACGCTCTCGCACCAGAATCACTGTCTGAAGATGATACAGCGTGCGCTCCTTCCTTGGGTTGGTCCCACTCAACACGGTGCCGAACGTCCAACTCAAGGCGGCGGAGATGGAGGAAGGGTGATGAATGATGGGGAGGCGAAACCGCACCATGTGAGACATTGTTTTGATTATTTGAGGCAGACTTTACTTTGTTCTGCGGCGAGCACGGTCGAGAGGGGGGATTTTATGAAGAGTGCTGGACGTTACTTTGGAGATGATTCTCTAGCTAGGGAAGGGACAGACGGGGACGATGGGGGGAGGATGTGGAGGGGCGATACGTTGGTGTGTGAGGATTGGGAGAGCGTGTTTGGGGCGCTGGATGGGAATTTGGGGGAGTGGGAGGAGTGGAAGGCGATGTGGAATTGAAAGGTTCGTTCTCGTTCGGAAGGGTTAGATTTCTGTTTGGAGGAGTTGATTTGGCGATGGTTGGCTGGTCGGTTGATGGTCGTTGGGTTGTTGTATCGATTCTACAGTATTTCATGGGTTATTGAGCATTTTGTCTTCGCAGCAACGCTATTCGAGTTGTCGTGCACTAGAGTATGTACAGACATCCATCCCGAGAACGTCTCCAGAACACGCCGCGTAAGACAGGCGTAGACATCTCGAGCTTAGCACTGCATTCATCCAGATTCCAGACAAGATAACTTAGCACGACGCCACCAGACGACACCAACGGAGCTCCCAGCCAGAGAACACCACAAGCAAAGCACCTGTCATGATCTATGTAACAGTAGCAGACGAGCACAGGTCTACGAGTATGGACATCATAGAGTAGCTATAGACGAAACGGGTGGGAGCAGAACGGAGGGCGATCTCGTCGTTGTCGGCGTCGTCGTAAAGCGACGCGGGTAACCCTATAATAGACCTAACCCGATATTCAGTCTTCCGCCATTGTCGACGTCGAGGACATCGGGTCTGTTTATTTGCTACCCCCACTAAGTAGTGCTTTCTTCGGGATCTCCACGTTACTACGACTCCACGTCTCGCTGTCTCGCTGTCTCTGTGGTGCAACCTGTCACTCGATATTGGCATGATCCGCTCTGTAGACTGTCGCAGACGCGGACACGGACACGGACACGGACACGGACTCAGGCTGTCAAATTTCAAAGCAACGATGGGATGGGAAAGATTCGCACTGTCGCTCGAACGCAAGCTCGAGCTCAAGCACACAAGAAAACACAGACTACGAAGCCTCTCGTCACCGGTATGTACTTACTCTAGACTGACACACTTGTAGTTGTACTGGTATTTCGGACATTTCAGACCAGCCTGAGGACATGGTTTCATCACGGATGGACCATGGGTCGAAAGCGCCCAGGAACATCGCAAACTGAATCAGAAATCTCTCGATTCTGGAAGAGGAATGTGCACTTACCGCACCGGAAAGCTAGGAGCTTGACCTTGACCTTCCTCCGTATGTGTGTCACCCACGCCGAAATTAGAGCGTTGCGTTCTGTTGTGTGAGGTGATCCCCTTTCGGTTTGAACTTTGGACTCTTTTTGCTCTGGAGTCTGGACTGGATTGGGTGAGCGGATCCGTGGCGTCGCAGTCCGCTGATCATGGGCTTCTACATACATGTTCGCTGGCAATCGGCGCTTGCTGCTCTGCGACTCTTTTCGTCGGATCGGTCGTGATTGAGATTGAGATTCATTCCGCTCCTTTGCGCTCTGCTCGCCCTCGAGAACGATCCTCACGCTCATTCATCCTCCCCGTTTGCGTATCTTCCGCCCTCCTCCCTTCTGTCCTTGTACTTGTCTCTCCAGCTCCACTCCCACCATGTTTCGTCTCCTCTCTCGTCCTCCGGTGGACGATGAACATGAACCACTCGTCTCCCAGTCTCGTTCTCAGTCCGCCGACGATCTCGATATCGAGCAGGAAAAACCGGACCATGAACAAGTACAAGAGCTCTCACCTGTGCTTTCTGATACCGGGACCGCCGTCAACGACGAACACCACGAACACGCTCCTCCCAACCGATCACGACCATCAGCGACATCTCCCACTAATCACAGTACCCGATTCTGGGCATTCGTCTGCGTCGTCTGTGCCGCTATCAACCTCGTCCTCGCCGTCCTCTTCCCTACCGTCCACTTACATTCCCCCTCCTGGTCGAAAGGCGTGGCGGAGACTGAAAGATATGGACTGCAGCCGATGCGTCCGTTCAATATGAAAGACCTCTCCTCCCTGAAGCGTCCGTCGCATTTCATAGGATTCGAACAGATCGACCGACAAGCCATCGCCTCCCTCTCCTCTTCTGGCGCAGTGCAAGCAGAGAAGAAGCACCAGTTCGACAACTATCCGATCGTGGTGGCGCAGGTGGATAGTGCGCGGGGAAGAGAAGACGAGAGTATGGGTGTGTTTACGAGAAGGAGGATGGTTAGGGTGGGGGTTGTGGAGGGGACGGAGAAGTGGGTTTTTGTTAATAAGACTGTGAGTTGGGTTTGGTCGAGGTTTTTTTTTTTTTTTGCTCTGGTCGCTTGTGTCTGTTCTTGTGCATACTGCTGCAACAAATACCACGTCCGTTCGAGTGTTCGCCCCTTCTATGATCTCTCTTCTGCCACCCCACATCCCTTCGCCCGCATATCTCTTCCTTTCCCTTCGCTTTCCTGTTCTCAGACCACTTCTACTTTCTTCTCCGTCGACTTTGCGTCCTATACGTATCGAACATACCACTGATCTCTGTGGTCCATACACATAGGTATCCACCATCTTCCAATTCCGAGCATTCGACTACGGAATGGAACAATGCGACCTCCGAATCTCCATCCCCGCCCTCCCCCTCTCTTCTTCCTCCTATTCCTCCTCGTCATCATCAAATCCCGACTCATTCCCATTATCGATCTACCGCCTCGACGCCCCCTCCGAACTCGATCCGTACGCCCTCACGCAGCGTACCCGGCCTTCGAGGATCGCGAAATTGGCGGATTTGCAGCCTGGGGTTTGGTTGCCTGAGTCTTACGGGGAGTCTCATGGCGGAGGTGGAGAGGAAGACGAAGGGGGAGCAGGGAACGCGACGTTGCATATATCCGATATTTCAAACCATGGTGACTCTTCCTCTTCTTCTAACACAACCAACGGCACCCCCACCTTGCATACCTCGTCTCCCCCGCCCGGCCACGACCACAACTCTCCCCGAAGAACAAGACACACGACGTACCACCGCTCCTTCCACTGCGCCCGCGAAGAACTCTACACCTTCGAACTTGCGTGCTCGGACGTGGAAGTACAGAGAGGAGGAGAGGGGTGTGCGGTGGAGTGGTGGCAGGATGAGGAGGGGGTGGAGGCTGTTGGTGGGATGAGTGGCGCGGAGTGGGGAAGAGGAGGAGGGGGAGAGGGGCCGATGGTGTGGGTTGTTCAGAGGGAGAGTGAGTAAGTGTGGAAGCGGGTATGCCGGGTGGTTGATCATCTATGTAATTTAAGTCACTTATGGATTCACCTTCATCCTAGGCTTGACGTGAGTTTTTGTATCTCTTCTTTCGTTCTCCGGTTTTGAGAGTCGGACGGTTCGCAGTCATTCGTTCGTTCGTTTGTACTTATACTTATACTCGTACTTATTAGCACTTACACCTCCGAGTCGTAGTGCGGCTTTAGCTTTGACACATGCGTTTCATCAAGATCTCTGCGTATTCGTGCTCGTTGTTCCACGTACTTACAGTGAGAAATCGGAAAGTGATAGACTGACCATGGTGAGTTGGAAGGCAGTCGGTGCCACACTGGTGACGGGTGGCGGTGGCGTCGTCGCCTCGGGCCTCGTCATTACGGACTCCGCTCTGCTCTCCGGAAATCCACCACCTCGACCCTTTCGTTCTGGACACCCATACCCGGACCTGCCCTCGAACCTGTCACTGGTCACTGTTTGCTTGGTCTTGGTCTTGATATTTGTCTAACTTGATTGCTCGAAGGGTAACGAAAGCTTGAATTGGTCTGGGGACTTTGACTGTAGCCATTGTAGTTTCAGTCGACACCGTGACGAACAGCTCGACAGACCGCGAATGTTTCTCTGATGGGCTTGACTTAGCTCTTCTCGGGCTAGTACCTCAGACGGGAATGTGCCCGAGTGCAAAGGAGTGCCTTCCCGTTCGTTTACATCAGTTTGTTGTTCTGGGACTGATCCGAGTTCGTGTACAGAAGAAATGATGATTTCGTGGACGGTGAGGAGGGATATGGAAGGGAATTGTCCTGATGCTCGCCAGGAGTATCTTTTTGTTCTGCATCTGCCTGTAGAATCCCGACTGTACTGACTCAATTTAAATACCACAGGTTCAGCTCCGTCATCCCCTTCTTCGCAATCTTCTCTTCTTTTGAACTCAGGTCCCACGAGCAAGCCACTGAGGAGCAAGGCCACCGAGGCTAGTCTCTCTGGCTCATACGACGGTGATGCAGCTGCCCCGTTCAGGGCAAATATCAGAATCACTACGGTCTGTTATCCACGCGCCTATTTTAAACAGGTGAGCGGTGATGGCGTCTGTGTCCCAAATTGACAAGTCCAGATAACGGAGATGCAGCGTAAAATACGATGAGTACACTCGTGTATGAACTGCCATTGGCAGTGGAACACTCGAGACGTGAGGAACTGTAGACCGACCGAAAAGAAGATGACCATAGATCACAACGCAGGTTCGCGGTGTTTCAAGCTTGTGTATGTTGAAGCGCTACTCGTCCCGAAACACAATCTAACATGGCAATGTTGTCATCCTACATCAGCTCCAGCAGAACGATCACCCATTGGACGTAGGACCCGTGAGGGGGAGGTACCTCTATAAACACGGGTCCTACGTCCAATGGGTGATCGTTCTGCAGGGTTTTCAGGGGGTTCCTTATAAGGATATGAGGTGGGGGATTGTGTCTCCAACCTCGATTTTTGCGGTCAAAAACCGGGGGACAACAGACCCGGGAGCCGGCCGGCGGCCAAAAACGGATCATGTGACCTACTGTGCCGGACTAGGATCCTGGACAGATGGGCTTTCTCGTTCGTTTATTCAATATCCTGTCTATTAATTGCAACCAAATGGCACATCTGGGTAGTACGGCATATATTTAGTACCATTACAACTTTTTGGAGAGTCTGATGTGCTAAATCATCACCAACAAATATTTTGCGACGATGACTGGGGAAAGTGGCAAAACAGGAAAGCTGGACGCGCGCCGAAAGCGCCCGGCTATTGCCGAATGAGTGGCGAAAAAAAGGTCAACAGGCGCCACACCCCCTTGACCACTGATTTCGTACACATAACCGTTAGAAGACCAGCAACAATTTACAAAAAGTACCTATAGCGTTTTACCATGTATCATGCTATCGGCATAAATATTTGTGGAGAGCTGCACGACCTGTTGCACTCGAAATTCATTCGGGTATTTGAGAGGTGCAAAATCGGCCACTTCTATGAAATTGTGCTCTCTGGAAGCCAAACAGTCTGGTAAAAATAAGCAGGCCTCGGCAACAGAAGTATTTGATTAGGTCTCCAAGACTAGGGCATATATGTAGCGGTTCACATCATGTTTTGGCGATGTGAACTAAACCGATGACAGGTTCAACACTTCGCAAATTTGTCCCGTTGGAGCGTTGAAACTCAATTCACACTTCAGTGTGAACTCGACGGGAGAGTGGTCTCTTTCCACCTCTCCCCATTCGCTGTCGCGAACCAAAATGGCATCCACCGTTTGGCATGAGCCCCATGTACTGTAGTATCAAGAATATGCTTGTTGTCAAAGGTCATCCGGAAGTAGGACGGGGATACAAGCAGGAGCGGACCCGTCTCGAGAATCCAAACTCAGTGTGAACTGAGTATTATCTCCCGCACCACATCTGACATTTTGAGTTCAAACTTTTCGCTTCCAGAATGACGAACGAAACTGATGTGAACCGCTACATATATGCCCTACTGTAAGATTTTTGTATGAGCAAGACGACAGATGCTAGAGCTAGAGCCTCACAAAGTGGGAGCTTCTTGTGGCCCGTTAGCCAGAGGATCCCCTCAACAAAAGATGTTGCACGCAAAATTAAGCAAACATTGTCTGCCAGAGTGGCTTGGAATCACTTATGTCATGTCCGTATTCATGCTCCACATATACTTTTACGAACATATAGGCTGGCATTAAAGGCTGGTCGAGGCGTCCATGTCGGTCAAGCTCTCTACATGTGGCAAAATTGCCACACAAACCCCATCTCTGATGACATTTCACCATGTTCTACAAAATACTCACAAAAATCACACAAAGTGTTTTCGCATATTGCACGAGATGGAATAGACCTACAGTTTATGTAGAAAGCCAAAGGTATGAATAGGCCTCCTTAAAATTCCAGAAAAGTTTGTCCAGCTTCTATGTCCGTCCAGCTTCCTAGTCCGCCACAGTATTATTTTCCCAATCCGGTAATTTTTAAGGGGGATCGGGATCCAACCTACACCTCCGGCACCGAGTCCCGCTGGGGGATTATCGTACCAATGGATCCAACCTTCGGCCCCCCGGGGCTCCAAAACCGGGGGATTAGGATCCAACCTCCCCCTCTATAAACACGGGTCCTTTGGACATCGTCGGATTCGAGCACGTGGACCGACGGATGGGAGAGCGATGGGAGTAATGGTGGACGTACGTGCCAAAGGGGGGAGGCATAAAGGCCAAGGTAAGAGGCGAAAGATCTATGATATTTTGCCATCATGTTTTGAACATTTCAATCAATCGTAAATCAGATATTTAAGGCTAAGACTGTAGTCATCAGCAAGACCGCATGTCACTAGCGCGTCTATCACACTCTAAATCGATCTATGCGGTCTTACTGCTCTGCGCACTTAGACCGCACCCGAGTTTGTAGACTCGCTAGAGGCTGGGCTGGCGTTGCAGGCAGTCCTAGAGGTCTCGCTAGTGAATCGACTCGGAGCAGCTTCAAATTTGACTTGGTCCCACAAGCTTCCTCCCTCTTCATGGATAGCCGTACGACTCTTTGTGTTGGTACGTAGTGGTATTACTCGATCACGTACTTTGAGAGATATACCCAGTCGATCCCTAATATCCAATCTTACCAGTCCGCCATCTGCATCTTCACCGAACTGGAATGAGCAGCCGGGAAGAGCATACCGAGCAAATTGACAGCGCAATGGGACGTGATGATGGTGCTATTAAAGCGGGCGAATCGGGCGAATGCAAGAGCGTGGGCACTGGGCAGGCGCAAGAGCGGGCGTCGAGCAGGGCCGGTGGCTTCAAAGTTCAAACGCCTGCCCTAAACAAGCACGTGAGTCCACAACGTCTGTTGATTTGCGCTTGGCAGCTTTTGGCTTGAGCGCGCGCCGCGCACCATCCTGCACCATCCTCTCCTCTCGTTTGTGATACGCTCTGAAACCGTCGTATGTCTCCACTCGAGATTGTTGCATGCCGCGGAGGGATGAGGAGATGGATTAGGATGAATGGGAGAGGAATGGCCGTGGGTAGGGTTCATAGAGTCTGTGACGGTATGTGTATATCCTGTTCGTCGACATCGTGGGGTTTCCGGGCTGGGATTGAGGCTGTACGTGAAATGCGAGAGGTTTCGGGTTCGTCGAGAAGACCCGAACCCTTGTCGCCGTTCGTATCGACACCCTTATCCATGTAGTGTCCGTGCGTAGAGGCTGTGACAAGTGTGTCCGTGTCGTTGCATTCGATGGCGAGGGCAGAGACTCCCCCGTCAAGCGAACGATCGTCGGCATTGTCGCTTGACACTTCGTAATCTCCTTCGCCCAGTCGGTCGTAGTCACCATTTATCTTTAATTTTGCGATCCCCCTTTCCAGGACCTCGTCATTGAGTATCCAAATGTCTATTTGAAGCTTGCTCCGTTTGCTAATCGTATCGGCTCTCACTGGACTCATACGGGAGTCTGCCCCTCAATGATGAATGAGTGTGGTGTGTTGGGCCACAAGGTATGTACCGCCTGTCTCATCCCTGTCTTTCACACTGGTAATGCTCATGTATCATTATATTGTAGATCATCCTATCGAACGATGGGTAAACTGTGATTTACAAGTAAGTCCGCGCTACCCCTTTGACCCGTTCACAGTTCTGTGCTCAACGTACCCGCTACTGACTTCAATGACCTCTTTTGGCTGCTCAGAGTGATCATTTGGAACCACGAAGACATCTGATGGATAGCGAGTGTGAGGTATTGAGGAAGTTCTTGCGGAGCATGATAAAGGGAGGGTGTGCAGACGCGTGGATGTACGAAGTACAGCGGTGTAAGTCGGAGCTATCTATTTTGCATTTACTGTAGTAGTATATACTGGTCCTGGCCATGTTGCTCCGAAATATAGTGATTTATCTACCAATCCGAACCCTGTGTGAAGCTCTATAGAATTGCTCTGACCCGAAGAGCAGCTCTTCGAGACTCTATGGCCACTCTAGCCACAGAGCTGCCAGTCTGCTCAAATTTCTGTCCGGTGGTTCCTTAGAGGCCGGTGGTGTGGTCTAATTAGTCTAGAAAGTCTATTCCTAGACCGGATAGACGCTTGCGGTCTTCCTGATGGTTCGTAAATGAGTAATATTCCTTACCGTCTAGTGAACATGGACTGACGGATACGGGAGCCATGGGACTAATGGTGGACGTGCAAAGGAGGGGACGCGGAAAGGCCAAGGTAAGAGGCGGAAGAACTATGATATTTTGCCATCATGTTTGAACATTTCAATCAATCGCAAATTAGATATTTGAGGCTAAGACTGTAGTTCGTACATGAGTAATATTCCTTACCGATTCGTGAACGTGGACCGACGGATGGGAGAGCGATGGGGGTAATGGTGGACGTGCGAAGGGGGGGAGGCAGAAAGGCCAAGGTAAGACGCGGAAGAACTATGATATTTTGCCATCATGTTTTGAACATTTCAATCAATCGTAAATCAAATATTTAAGGCTAAAACTATAATTCGTACCGAGGTGCCTTCTATAGATGATTCTTATACGACGCAGATAACGTGCATCTGTGTCTGATCCTGCCGAAGGTTCCGAGCCCGGAGTCGAGGAGGAGCGTGGATTGTTGGAGTCATTCAGTTCACCATGCTCCTGCTCTGCTGGGTGTTCAGATACCTCGGAGACACGTGCCCTACTTGTCATGTACCACATTCCGCAATACGAGCTCCAAGATTATGCTGTCAGATTGTCGATCAAACTTGGGTGAAAGATAAGAGATCGGCACAGCTTACCAGTTCAAGCCTGTGGAAGCATCTCTGTAGTCGTCGCGATGGCACGAGGGGCACCTGTCTATTATCATAGTCCCTTGAAGTCTGTGCAGTAGTGCGTTCATGTTGATAGAGTCACCAGCAGACACTTTCCATCTCGTGGGTTCGATGGTGAGGTTGCTCGACGAGGACGAGATGTCGTAATCACCGCGCTCTACAAACTCGCGACCGCCACGCCTGCGGAAATAAAAGCGAATGAATTCATCGAATTCCTGTGGCCAGATCAATCAAGTTATATCCGACAAGAGAGTGTGATTAACCGGACATACCGGCCATGTACGGCACAACTGATGCGGAAGGCGGATGGTTTGTCCCAGCATGTCGTTCAGCACTATAGGTCTTTCGTTATCGTTCAATCCCCCTTCCCAAGCATATCCAAGTACTCTGGGAACTCCTTCTACACATCGGCGAATCTCCAGAAGAGACGTATTTGTCGTTTGGATGAAGGCTTGCGCTTGACCAATGGAGAGGCTGATATAATGTCAGTCCTATTCACAAAAGAGAATAGTGATGGAATGCGTCGGGTGCGTACAGTGACAATATCCCATTTGAGGCTATGCTCTGCTCATCCATCTTCCTGCGTATCTCCACGAGATCTTTCCTCTGAAAGGACCTCCACTGGACTTTCCTCCAAAAGTCCGTCACTTTGCTTTTCGACCCTCCTGCGCGAAGACTAGGTTGAAACTTGGAAAGCCTGTCATTGAGGTCACGAATGATGGCATCGTAGTTTTTGGTAGCCTGATAAAGTGCCCTCTGAACAGGTAAGGTGAGGATATCGACGCTGGCCGCGAAGGCAACTCCCCGAATGAGGTTGAGCACTTCTAAGGTCGTGTTGAGTGAGGCCACCAGCTCCTGGTACTCTTGAGGCGCGCCTGCTGCGTCACGAATGATTTGAACGACGTTGTATGTGAGCTGAATTAGTGAGAAAATGTCCCCAAGGGAGCCGAAGGTAAACGCAGCGGACATGAGAGATGACCAGAGGAGGGACAGAACCAGACAGTACGTGGGCGGTTTGCAGCACGCCAATTCTTATATGGTCAGCGGGAGGATATGGCGAGGCATACGCATTGCACTTGCATTGCCTAGTCTATTTCTGAATTGTGGCTGAGGACAGTCTGCATCGTATCGGAACAGCTTCGGCACAGCCGTGAGAGCTTGAAGGCTGCGAACTTGCATATATATTTTCCCGTCGAGGCACTTAGCGCTCGACGAGCACTGCGAAATTCATGTCAGTTCTGCGCAGACCGTCTCCGTTCAATCTGACTTCGGTAAACATCTTCTTTGACTGGATGGATTACTCCTAATCTGAGATGAATCAAAGCCTGGAGAAGAATGCCTACGCCAGTTGTTCCCCAACACTTTTCGTTCGTGCCCATAAATACTCTGCGCGTCTCGGACTGGCTACTTTGAACTCATTATGCTTCAATTATGTCTCTTAAAATGGATTCCTCGCATTTTCACTCGGCATGCATAAAGAATTCTCGACTACACTTTATGTAATTGCACTATTAATCATAAATCTAGAACCGTACATGGGAGTTTCGCGAGTATCAACGCAATCATTCCAGCCCCTTACCTAACAGTTCGAGGCTACAGCTTTGTACTCAAGCTGTATATTACACCGGCCAAGTTGATCCTTGTCTATGAGCTAAAGAGTGGCGACGATGAATAAGCTCCTGCCCAGTCTCTTACCTGTTTGGACGCTCACTGGGCCTTGTCGATCCAGCTCATCCGCGGTATTCTTCGGAATTCATTCCATAGACACTTCAACCACATACAAAAAAATTGTATGCTATCGGAGGCACTCCTACATCGTATCCTGCATCCTACAGTCGAGACAAGAGACACAACGGAGGTAACTAATCAGGTTTTCTAGTCATTGTAACTACGTAAATTGAAACGATATCAAACTGACCTTCACTATTACTCAGTGAGAACTGACCGTCGTAGGCCTCAAGATACCTCGCGATTCAGCCGCATGGCTCAAAGACAGAGCTAGATACCGTCCTCATTCACGTCAGCTCAGCCCGACAATCACAGTGTAGATGGGAAGGAAATGAAATCGAACTTACGCCAATGGAGCACAGATCCCCACAGCAATCACTGTCGACCGAGCAGCTCGAAAGGAGAGGCAGACACTCTTGACGTGTGGCCTCAGATTCGGTCGCCAACGCAGTTGAGATGAGTGGTAAGAGCACAGCGAGGGCGAAGAAGGCGGATTTGAAGGAGAACAGCATGGTTGGTTGTATTTGACTGAGTTGAATGGCTCGATGAGGGGATGAGGATGAGGATAAAAACGACGGTGCTGGGTATTTTATATTTCAAGATAGGGGTGACGTTGGGGTGAGATGGCCGTCTCATTCGGAGGGTGGATCCAGGCAGTCCGGGAAGTACCTCTTCGCTTTGTGACAGATCTGTCAGGCCAAGAACGTTAGCCTCCCTAGTCTTCAATGACTGTCTGTCACTATTCCCTGTAAAAGTTTCAACGCCGTTGTTCGCTTAATCAAATTCCTACAAAATAGAGCTATTGATACAACTCTCGTAGATAATGGTCTCCGATCCACAGACAGGAGCTTGGTTAAATGACAGTGACAGAGTGGCATATGCTGCTCCCATTTGACTCAGACAAAACCTCTTTTATATGAGGGTCAACATGACCATTCGATGTATTAGCACGATTCATCGAGCGCAAGGCGTTGACAGAGACTTGACTGCTGAAAATCAAAACGTACAGCGGGGTACACGAGTCATGATGTACCGCTGACGCGAGTAATGACAGTATCCCTTAATAGAGAAGTGATGGGAGGAAGGAAGGAAGGAAGTCATATTCAGAGCATGTAACGGGCTCATGAAAACGACTACTTATGCAACGTGGCGGTCATGATGGAAGGTACTTGGGGAGGATCGGGTGCAAGTGAAATGCCAGCCGGAATGAATTAGTAAAACACTGTAGATTCTAGCGTCACCGTCATAGTTGCCTACTGTTTCCTGCTATGTGCTTCTCAAAACTCAAACTAATTGTTGTACAACGTGAGTGGAGTGATACTACGATCCGATGTGGACCGGGGACTGGTGTGACCATTGCAGAGCAATTGTGACCTTAGCGCGGACAAGTAATGTGGAGATGAAGATGCCGCGAATGTATACACTCACTAGTACGATGATCCACTGCGGATGGAGACCATACCGCGTGCGAATATCAACAATTGGGACAGAATTCAACTACCAGGTATCGCAAATGCTATTTTAGTGGGGATGACGGACTCGTTCCACGCTACGGTTTAATCCTTCCTATAACCTTCGTAGAAGCACAATGTTTGACGTGAGCCATGGCCACCGACTGGCGACGATGAGTATCATTTCGTCTCCGACTTTCATCTGTTCAAACTTGGTTCAAACCCTGACTGGTCCTTATCAAGCCAGCTCATCTTCGTTTCTCTTCGGACACCACAGTATTGATTTCGAAGACATTTCAACCACATACACCGAATGCACACATCCGAGGCACTCCCACTTCGTGTCCTACATCCTACAATCGGAACAACAAACAAAAACGGAGGTAATCGGGGTTTTCTGTTTTCTTATGCGTATGCGCACGCCAAACTCTGCCGACGAAACCTATAAACATATAATTCAGTATGAACTGCATTTCCGAAATATAACAACATCAAACTAACCTTCACTATCACTCATGGTAGAGGCCTCACGAAACCTCGAGACTCAGAGGGTGGCCTAAGCGCAGAGCTGAACACCGTCCTCCTTCACGTCAGCTCAACCCAATCATGACGACGTAGAGGTAGGTGTAGAAGAAAGACCACTCACGCCAGCGACGCAGAGATCCGCGCAGCACTCGCTGTCGACCGCGCAGCTCTGAGCGACAGGCTTACATTCGCGCTTTGCCTCAGAGGTCGACGTGGCGGAGACGAGGGGCAAGAAGACGGCGAGAGCGAAGAAGACAGACTTAATGGAGAACTGCATGGTTGTTTGAACTTAGCTGAGTAGAATTGTTGGATGAGTGGGTGAAGATGGAGATGAAGACGAAAGTGCTGGGGTTTTATACTCTACGGCGATGTCGGTTCTGCATGGGATACTACGGATAAATTGCTAGTAATCGTGAGGCTCAAATGTGTCACTTGAGGAATTACACCACAGTTCGCATCTTGTGGAGCCAGCATCGAAGGAAATAATGTCGGCAGAAAAGAGGATCGTTTTGTGAGCTCCTCGAGCTTGAGTGTCTATGTTCGTCCGGAGGACGCACCACAGTGCTCACGGTGCCCCAGTCGAGGGTGCCGCTTCGGTGCGTCACAGGTGCGTCTGACACCGTTGACCTTCGATAAATAGATGTAATCATGCTCTTCAAAACCTTCAGCCGCGTTCTTCACCCAGTAAGAGTGGTACGGAGATAAAGCCAGCGGTACTGCTGCTGCAATTAATGTGTTGTGGAGGCCGGCGTACCTTAATTCAACAAGAGTGACGGTGGTCATATGTTTGCCCCGTACATCGGCAATGGATGCCAAGATATACATACATTGTAGCACAACGCATCGAGGCCAACTCGAGAAAGCGACCTCGTTAGTGGGAATCCAAACCTAACACGGGTTAAACAGTTCATGATCCACAGCTGATGCGTGTAATGAACAGTACCCCTAGGTGGACCATCAAGGGGCGAAGTGGTCATGAGAAGAATCACGGAGTTGATGAAGTTGCAGCGCACATAAAGACACAGTGACACAATGAAACGAGTCGCCTGAGACTCAAAGGTGTATAAATTTGTCGTGTCAAAGGGGGAGTCTCCACAAAAGATCACCGCTGCAAAAACCGTAGAAACGTAGGCACTCCTCAGCAGGGGTGTGTGCCTTAGCACCCATGCTCATTGTGGCGAAGCGGGGTAATGCGATGACCCGGTGGAGATGTGGGCAAAGTGGAGGTAGACCAGACGAGAAATGTGGAAATGAAAATGCCACGGATAAATGAGTGGACGACTATGCGAATGGCTAAAAACGTCGGAAAACGCTGAAGGGTTTCCCATATTCGAAAACTTATTTCAGCTACTTACGACCTACAGCCTCTATTGAGGCTGTGGTCATTGCGCATCCTGCAGCAACACAAAAGATTTCCCGAGGGGATAAATCCTTCGCAATGTATCCCAAGGTTGACGATTACCACATGAGATACACGTTGAATCCACGTGTTATATGTGCACACCGAGTCCCCTAGAAATGAACTGATGATTGAGCGAGTGACCTCCGGTTTAAGGTTCTTTTGAGCGAATGGTATTTTAGTGTGTCAATCTGTTCAGCTATAACGCTGTGGAAACCCGTAACGGAATTCTGCACTGAAGTGGGACATCATGAGACTCAGTCTCCACTTCTCACATGGAGCTATGCACCGTTGTCTTCAAGAAAAGAAGAAAGATGTGTGTGTATCGATGGAAGAGATCGAGGGCTACCAGAAAAAGGTAGCCTGCGGCTGTAGGACGGCGATCTAGTGAGACATGTGCATTGGACAGGAAGCTCACGCGCGTCTCGGGCATGTTGAAATCTCCCACTCGGAGAAATATCTCCTGTATGGATGCACAATGGGTAACAAGCAACGGAAAGATGCTCCCACATTCATGCCCGTGCGGGAGAAGATTCGGAGAAAGGGTATACAACTTAAATCGACGATACAGGTGACTCAAGTGCATGAGGTCAAACAAGACACTAAAGGGAAAATTGGACCATCGTCACGATTACAGGATGCTACCGCACGTACAGAGGGAAAGATCAGACTTGAAGAAAAGGTGTTCCAGGTCCCCCGGTGTATTGCATAGACACTACCACTTCATATTCGGAATGCGGGTCCAGATTATGGTGTATAAGGCCAGTAATGAAAAGGCAACTAGGGACGATGCGCAAGATATGTTCAAAAGTCAACAAAAAAATCTACACCTCAGGGCGAAATGGTGCAGTGGAAGACAGCACGGGCAGATTCGGATCACAGATTTCAGAACTTTAAGGTCTCACAACACGCCACTCCGTAATACTCCGGCAACAACCAACGCCACATCTTCTGCACAGCTCGCGTAACAGTAGCTATAGTCGGTCAGGACGTCTCCAAACTTAGACGAGGATACAAAGTCCCGGATTTATAGATTGTCCAGCTGTGCAATAGAGCTTTACGTTCCTTCACAGACACACGTTTAGTCCACCAAAACTTTACACAATGAAAAACGAATAATATTATTCGCGGCCGATGGATACAGGGTATTCTCTAACATCACAGCAAATGACATATCGGGTATTCTAATTCCGAAACAGTGATACGCATTATGGTGTCAAATGAGGTTTAAACGACACCATAGTCTGAGTGACATACCTATGCTAGGACATCATCCGGGGGTGAGTGCCAGTGCTGGCGCGCTTGAAGGCGTGCAATTTACAAACACAGCTGAGGACAAGTTAATTGTGTCAGCAAAAGATCTGTAGCAACGACGTAGGCTCATGAGCTCACTCCGACGAGGCAGAGGTCAGCACAACACTCGCTATCAACAGCACAAGACTGAAGAAGAGGCTTGCATTCGTCAGCATCTGAGCGCTTTTCTTTCGGCGGAATAGCGACGGCGAAGGGCAAGAAGACGGCGAGAGCCAAAGTGGTCTTGATGGAAAAGTGCATGGTAGAGTGGATTGTTCTGTAGACAGGGTGGTGAGAGATGGAAAACAAGCAAATGTGAGGGTCCTTATATTGCTACGGGGTCTCTAACTTTCCCAAGTTCATAGTAATCGTGCTGAGAATCGAATCGCTGCGTGCATGCCTTGCAAGAATTCGAGAACGCTGCTGATGAGAAACAACGAGTAGCCCGAAGTCGTGGAAATGTTTTGTGAATACCAGAGGCCGACAGCGGAGGTACAAACGCAGTGTGCGACGTGATAAAACAGTTGAGCAAACACGCGTTAGCTCCAAGTACGATACAATTGGGGTGCAGCCGTTATTTATCTGTGACCAGCTAACGTAGTAGGTCAGCCAAAGCAAAAACGTGCACGAGGTAATCACATAAGTACTCCCGCACCAATAAATTGGGGAGTCGATAGACCATCCACAACTCCCCGCGAAGTAGTTCTCCATCGTTTTCCAAATGCAGAAAAGGTGCAATCTCAGAAAGCCATGCTAAGAAGAGTCGCGCACACCACGAAAGCATGGACACGCTGCAGACACGATGCACAGCATCCCAGCCGTGCAATCCATTTTCCTGAGCACCCTTCAAACGAACCAAATGCATATCCCTTCAACAAGCCAAGTCTAGAGCTATTGAGTACTGTTGATTTATGAGATGAGCCAAAGGTTCAAAAAGGAATACGAGAAGGAATCATAGTGGGTTTAAACGAGCTAACATGCTAGTAACCAAGACTCGTCAGAGGGATCTTCATTGGGAGCAACAGGTCCGCGAACACTGGATTCATCTCACGCCCAGGCATTTATAACACGGGCAGAAGATAGTGTGTCTCCGAAGTTTTCGTTGGCATGGACCACGCTTTCGGAGATTAGAGGCGTGGCGAGAAGGCTTCCATAAGGCAACCAAGAACGATTCCCAAGTAGCACAGGATATTTCAGAAATAGAAAGGAGGCGATGCTGCAGTCATCGTCGTCAAGTATTGAGACGCGGCTAGGTCATCAACCCGTTATGATTATACCATCGAATGTGTATGGCTCGCAGTTTTATCCAACCCTGAGTCAAATGTCAGAGACAATCAGATCATGTGCACCGGTAAAGATGCGAGAAGAATACACACACATGCCTGAATCAACAAAAACCTCAATTGACAACCTTCCACTATATAGCTGGATCACTACTCACCAGAAGCGACAGAAGCCCATACCGAAAGACAAAGATTATACGGATAGTCAGTACCATCCGGAACTGAGCGGATGCCGAGAGCAGCTACTTCAAAACGCGCCGAGAATCACAAGCAGAGTTTTCAAGGCCCACAGTCCGAAGGTTCTCGTTCAAAAGACGCACTCAATGAGATCGTTTGGTTAACATACGGTTGATGTAGAGTTTACCGAAGTCAGTTTACCGACGAAGAAGTATATTTCCAATAGGTTTACTCGTATAAATTCCCCAACATGCACCCACAAACCCGAAGTAGTTATCCCCACGTAATAGCAACACGACAGCTTGGAGAGGACGTGCATTAGTAGAGTCCCTAGTGCGATGGAAAGTATGGAAGCGTTGCACTCACCACGGCTGGAGAAGAGAACTCGTATCTCCAGGGTATATAAGGAGTGGAAGTCTCTTAGGCACACAGCTGCATCAAGAGGATCAGTCAACCGGGATTGACCAGAATATGACTGAAAACAGGGTGAATGTACGTACACCAGCGACGCAAAGGTCAGCACAGCACTCGCTGTCGACGGAGCAAGATTGAAGGAGGGGCTTGCACTCAGCCGTACCCCAGCGCTTCTCTGTGAGGGCAGCAGCGGAGGCCAAGGGCAAGAAGACGGCAAGAGCGATGAAAGCGGTTTTGACGGAGAACTGCATTGTGAATGAATGAATGTGGGATAGAGTCTCAAAGGGGGGAGTGCTTCTGGGTTTGGGGTCGAGTGGATGGGGAGCTTGAAGGGGAGAGGAGCCACTTTTATACTGCAGGTTGAATGAAGCCTAGACCAACAAAGTAATGGGCGGCGCCCGTTCTCGTAGATGGAACATGGTCATGGAATATTTGGTTCTCCCTCGAACTGGACGGACCGTGCGACATTCGGGATAAAAAGATGACTGAAAATTTTCAATACTACGAACAACGATGGGACCAGAAGGCGAAGTTCTCCAGAGTTAGGGAGGGCTAACAGTTTCATTGGTCAGGGCGTTTCGTACCCCGCCTTCGATTCGGATGGGCAATAAAGCTATTCTTGACATTGAACTGCTCTGGCAACGCTCCCTGGTCAATGCAGAAAGAACAAGGGGGACACAGACAGTCGGGTATCTAGACTTCTATGATGGCGTCAATGGATGAAACTTCCGAAAGGAACTGAAGTCATTTCCGTAACTTTCGTAGGGCAATATACCACACACCGGCAGAAACTCCCCGCACAGCAACGTTAGAATTATCCTGGGCGGGTAAAATTACGCATGCGTGTCATCGAGGAGTTATCCTCCCCCGTATGTACACGTGGATGCTGCCTTTGTGGACGGAGGTCAATGTGAAGCAGCCGAGGTGTCAGTTGATGGATAAAAGTCTATGATCATTACACAGTAGAGGACTGTCGCCGGAGAACCGTTCCTGAGACCGATACTTCTTGTGCGCCCAGCCCTATGACAAGACAGACACATTCACACATCAGTATGGCATACTGTAATTGAGAAGACATCGGGCAATCAGAGAACTCCAGAGGCTGCGGGTGAGATCAAAAAGAGAACCTGCCTGCGCTCAGCAAAGTTTTGTGGCCACACCAAGCGCTTACGAACGGCATATTATAAAGACGACCCACCAGATTAGGGCCCGAAGACGTACTGGCGTTAAGAAAAATCCGAGCTAACCAGTCAGAATTCCATGGCGGTGTAACCGATTCAAGGTCTGTGTTTACCTGCACAAAGGAAATTCCGTTCTCCTGGGTATCTTTTGAAAACGATAGAGAAATACTTGTACCGGATACCTCGTACTTCTACTTGTGCCACACAGTAAACGGCCTGAGAACGGCAGTTCAGCATAGTCATGAGATGTAATAGAACATCGCGACACAAAGTTGAATACCCTGAAAACAAGGCCGGCGGGGAGAGTGCGGTGAAGAATCAGATCTATAAGCCAAGTTCAGTGTGTGAGGCATCAGCGCTATTGTCGTCTAGACCCATGCGGAATCGATCCGAGCTCGGCAGGAAAGAGATGGGAAGTCCACGGAATTCCAAACTAGCTAGAACCGGGGGAACAGTGATACAAAAATCCTGCATCAAGGTGACAGGCCGACCAGGCGAAGAATATGTAGTCAGCATCACTTATCATCATCGTCTGTACCGTCGCGCGTTGAGACCGTGCTACGTCGAGACATTCTAGTTCCATGATTATGATACTACACCCAGAGAGGACACCAGAAGTTTGCAGTGAATCCAAGGACAATCCGAGATGGATGTTATCGATGAGAGCGGCGAGCGCGAACAAGGGAAACGTGGCATCGTCTATACAAGTCCCACGCTGGCGGGTATTCCCGGCACGTAGCATCGCTGGTGTTTCCACTTCTGCGACACTTGATACTTACCTTCTGCAACAAGAGTCCATGCTCGGATACTACAACTGTTTATCCTACATTAACCCCTGAATGAACCGCGTCGCTTGGACACTTACGATGAGCTACAGGTACAATTGTCGATAAATTGCCCGCAGGCTTTCTCGCTACTTCGACTTACACCTCTACATATTGCGTTTCACCGGCAATGCTCCCGAGCCTATCTATCCAGGCATTTTCTAGTCCGTGACTGTTGTGGTGGCATACGTTGCTTCATATCTTCGACCGTTCAGGCGCCTCGCTTGCCGGAGGTATCGACTCCAAAAGTCGTACACTCGCATGTATCCTCACCGCGGCATCAGCATTTTCTCTGGAACGAATGACCTCTCCCTATTCAACGATCGTGGCACTTGCATCCAGGGGAGAGCTGAAGCTGTTGTAATTCCGGCAGAACAGTCGTATGAGGTTATGTACCAGAGCGTCATCGTCGGTATGCTCGTGTCATGGTGACTCTGTCGCCGATACTGAAATACTGAAATACCGTTTCTCTAGCGCGTGCAGGGAGTCATTCTGCCGATTGGAAAGTATTATTCTTCGTATCATATACTTCACTCACTCTTTTCCTGCGACTTTCATCCTGTGACAACCGGGAACGTACATCAGCCTACTTATGGTGGCGTATCTCACGGGCATTGCGTTTGGATACTTCCCTCCAGAAGGGTCTTCCCCATGCTCTCGTAAGGACTTTTGTCCGGTGCGTCAGGCTCCTTGGATTTGAAACAGTAGGGGTGACTTGAACTTCATGCAGAATGAGGATTGTCCCTGTCACCAGGCGTCGTCGAGGAGGAGCTATCACAGGAGAAGGGCGACAATGACGCTCGGATCAGCCATCAGCACAGTTGAACATCGTCGGCTTCTTTGCGATGAGTCTTTACTAGCTACTTGATGCGAGTCTGACGATATATTCAGTCTATGCGATGACGAGGCAAAGGCATATAGGGGCTCGTTACCCTCTGTGCTTATATGGCCATCGCCCGACGACAGCGAAGCAGTTCTTATATATGGCAAGTCCATCACACATCGTTACTCCCTCTGGTGAACGGTACGCGAATTTTAGCTTATGTTGAGAATCTCTGAGTAGCAAAAGGAGTTGATATCGACTATGACGAGAAAGTGGAGGGGCCGAAGCAGAAGCGTGTAACAAAGGACCGTTCGGTTTTTGAGCGCTACTCTACACATAACGGGATACACATTATATGTCTGTCAGTCTCTTTTACTGGCCACTCAGACCAGTTTACTGCCAGCATATAACCGTACGAGACTGCTTCCTTTCCGTCGCGGAGAGCGAGAAATTGAACGACTTCAAAGGTCGTCCGCTACATCTGTGATCTGTACTTTTTTGAACTCGAATCGCCCACACTGGATAGTTTCTTAGTAAAAACATAGTGATATGGTTATTATACTACATGCATACCCCGCTACGTACAACAAGAGGCAGCCTGAGGCTTTTCTGCTTGAGCAGGAGACAAGGAAGAAAGATAATGTGGCCCATACATAGACGTTCTATTTTGAAATTAGCGCCACATGCCCACGTGTCGATTGTTGAGCTTGTCGTCCTAGACGTCGTGCTCAAGACTGCTCCTCTCTCACCGTCAACGTCCAGGTCCAACCCACATTCTCCTCTACGGCCACAGCAGCCATGTCAACGCCTGCTGAACTCGCTTCACAACGTCTTTTCGCGCCCCATATCGTCACCAACACGCACACCATCTCCACCATCAAATTCATCTCCTCCACCCTCGCCGGCGCCGTCGCAGGCATCTTGGGCCTCGAAAACGCTTATGGATTCGCTCTTTTCGCATTCTCAACACTGCTCACGTCTCTGTGCATGTTGGCGTTGAACTTTGGAGGGAAGCCGAGCAAGTACTTGCCGGGTGGGTGGTTGGAGATGGTGAATCCGGGGCAGGAGAATACGATGAGTTTCGTGTTGGTGTGGACGTTATTTTATGGTGCGTTTTCTTCATTTAATCGCTCCTTTGGAGCTTTTTTGAGTTGTTTCTGACGATGCCATCCATGTCTCTGTTTGTTTCGATGCATATGTCGGTGTACTTTGCAACGTGCAGGTATTGTACACGGTACGTTCTTTGCTCATGCTTATGGGGACGATCGTGTTGCTCTGGAAACTAAATCTCCCCCACACCCTTCTGGCTTACTGCTATTTCAGTATACGACTAGCCTGGATACTCGCTCTCTTCTATGTTGCCTACCTGTGCTGGCTAGGACTGCGTTAAGACCCTTGGACTTGGCCCGTAGAATCATGGGGACACGTAACGCATTGCTTTTGAAGCCTATCCTTTAGAACCCTCAGTTGCGCTTCTCGCTGCCTAAGATTATGCAGCGCTAGACGAATTCACCATCATCTTGTGGTCGTCATCGAGCGCTGGTCATTCACACTGTAGCCCATGAGGGGAAAATACCTTTCTACCGCACGTCGAGTATTCTCGTTGGATCATGGATCCTTTCCACATACTTGGGAGAACCCAAAACCCCATGGTCTTATCTGCGAGGACGGTCACAGGATTTGTGGCGCCGTTTTGACGTGAACGCCACACAATAAAAGTGGAGACTAGTCACTGGGGGCTGCAAATCGCGCTTTGTACGCATTCCTCCTGGTTATATAGCGACTCTATGGAGGTACCTTTGTTCTTGGCACCGAAATGACCGGGGTAGACAGCGACTGGAATCCCTCACAGTATTTTTTCCCGACGTGGTTCATGACGAAGTTCGCGATGCGTCGTCCTTGCCGTCCAGCTCGGATCTTCTTCGTCTCCTTGTGGGATATACGAATCGTGGTATCCTGACCCTGACGAAGAACGTACGTAGGAGAAAACCCATAATACCTACAGCGGTGCCGGGGATCGCATTGACCATTACGCCCTCAGCTTTAACTGCGGGCTCCACGCATCTATCTTCATCTCTCCGGGTGCGAACCCCCTAAGTCCGACTTTAATGGGCTCAACAGCCTCAAATGCTGGTGGTGTTAATCCCCATTCATCCGGCCTGCGTAGCATCCTTTCAACTGTTAAAGCTAGACTTGTGTATTTAGTGCGACTTTAGTTTCCTCTCTCGGGCTGTCTGTCAGTCCTCCGCATGTGATGCGGAAGGTATGCGGCGTCGTCAGCACTCAGGTCGACATGTGATGGTCACCACCACTCGCAGCTCTCACTCCACGCTTCAAAGAGGTTAGATTCGCTGTTAACATGCGATGATTTGATTGTCGTCGTCATTTTGTCATTTCGATACGGTCTACCATGGTCGTTTTACCGTTCACGATCGTGATGGTGGCACTGGTCTTACCTCGAGAGCCATATATAGCTGGTACGAACTCAAAATCCTCGTTCAGGCTCGACGATCCCAATCCTGTCGGGGTCGGTGCTATCGAGGATGTAGATGGACAGTGCACCCATAGCACGAGGACTCGTGAATACGTACGTATACTGCGGTCAAACTTGAGGACCCCGCCCTCGTCGAATCGATAACGCATGTGGTGTATTTCGACGGAGAATAGACCACGAATACGTACACGCAGGTCATGTCGCGCTTGTCAGATGGGGTGATGATGCAAACGCTGCTTAGGTGCGCTGAATATTCTGTCAGCTGGCGTCTTGTGTTCAAGGAGGCCTTGCTCTGCTCATACAACCCACGCTTTCTAGACATATTCCGGAAGTATGAAAAATCTTCTCAAACTGCTTACTTACTCTCTTGCGTTCATGCCATTACTCGTCACGTTTTCAGGAAATTGTTGCAGGTCCGTTCCAGGACGTTCCATTGTTCTCGGCAAGTTCTCGACTTCCTGCCTCTCAAAAGAGCCAACCACAATTCCATTTCTGTATATGTCACAGATGCTTCCGTTGCCCAACTCTGCCCCACATACCCTGATATATCTTTGCCCGGAGTCCCCGGGCGCTCGAGCTGATCACATCGCTTGCACTTCAGCTTTCAGATTGGCGTCCATTCTGTTTGGGAGATCTCCTTGCTGCAAGGGCCCGGAACGTAGATGTGATATATTGGATATCCTTCGGCGACGAGTTCGTACCTTCTTCCAGTCGCGCCGACGCCTATTTTTTTCCTGGATGCGCATAAGACGGCGTAGAGGGGCGCAGGGTATAATTCACCTGTTCAGTGACCAGTTGAACTGATTTTTCGTGGTCATCGATGACGCACAGTCGTCCATGGTGCGCGATGTGTGTATCGGTTCGTCTCCAAAGAAAGAGCGATCACATTTCCCAAACAAGAATTTGAGGGCTTCGTGACGTGATAGGAACTTTGTGGCGCAACTTTGGTCGCTCCGGTGTTGAACACTTTACTTGAGTGGAAGCGTAGTCCCCTAAACGAGCCCGATGAAGACGAAGTCGAGAAGCTGATCCCTGAGGAATTACGATCATGTTCGTACTGAATTGCTTCTTTGAGCGTCCTAAGTAAGCTGTCCGACAGTTGTTCCGTTCAATTATTTCACGGTCTTTGTGGCTGGATTCCGGATCTAGAAACCGAGGGACACTCTTCGATCGAGTTAAATACGATTCTTCATTGAGGACGCCTAACTGATCGTAACTTGTGTCCAACGCTCGCTCAGCTACGATCTGCAATAATGCTTGCACTATAATTCATCACCTGTCAAGCGTTTGGTTTTCGGGACCGCGGGACTGTCCAAGCACACTCTTCGCGGACTCGCAGTATTCTTGGAGATATTCATTTGTTAACGCGTTGAGATGGACGGACTTAGTGCGTGGGTCGACAGTGGTCTAAAGAGTAATTCCCCTCAGCTTGCCCTCAGCCCAACGAAGATCTTTGTATTCATACTTGGGGGAACACCACTGTCGAATTCAAAGGCTTCACGAACTGTCAATCTATGTTACTACCGTCATTCGGGGACATCCGTGCTCTGCCGCTTACGGACCTCATTTCTCGACCTCCAGACGGGACTCTTCGTGAGCCCTTGACAGATACTCCGCTCGAGTTGACAGAACGCTTACTTGTGATCCTCTTTTTTGCACGAAATAGGTGCCTCAAACCTCGAAGATTGGGCAGATGCGGCGCGCTCCGATCATTACAACTTTCTCCCATGTCAATTGTGTCCAACTAGGTCGACACGGATGCACACGAGCCCCGAAGTTGTAGGGCCCATCATCGAAGCTCGAACCAGCTTCTTCCGAATTTCGCGCCACATCAAGTTCAACTTCAAGCCACGAACTTCCGGACCGCCACATCTGTCTCCAACTATATAAACCTCCAGCACTCTCCACCTTTCCACCCTTATCCTCACAGGAGACCACTCAGCGCACACCCCCCTCTTCATACCTCACTCATATCAATCCACTCGCTCTTCATATCAAAGATGCAGTTCTCAATCAAGACCGCTTTCCTTGCTCTCGCCGTCTTCCTTCCCCTCGCCTCTGCTGCCGTTCTCGATGAGAAACGCTGGGGTGCAGGCACTGGCGGCGGTGGAGGCGGAGGTGGCGGTGGCGGAGGTGGCGAATGCAAACCGCTTCTTCAGAGCTGCGCCGTCAACAGTGAATGCTGTGGTGACCTTTGTGTCGCTGGGGTACGTTCATAATTTACTCCGTATTAACCTTGTATGACATTACTAATGGTTTTGTTTCAATTGCCGATCTTAGCTCTGTCTCTAAAGACATCGTGCACCGTTACGTTCATCAACCGATGTACCAGCTGGCTCGAAATTAAGGGCTTTTTGTACGTATCCTTCACTTCTCAGCTATACTCTCCCTCTTCCTCCTGCTATCGTTGTTTCTCGTTGGGCCAGTACACTAACATGTAACTCCTCCGATATCAGGCTACCGTTACAATGCTATGGTGTTCCAAAGACTGTCGTTGATGGTGACCTCGGTCTGAATGTTGTGAACTATGTACTGTCGTTTATGTTGTCCCAATGTCTATAATACACGCACTCCTTTATATTCGATCGCCTTTCATTAGTACTCGAGTCTGTGAAGTGCTCTGCGTCGCGATACGACAGTTTGCCGTGGACTGGAATGATGCCACTGTTCGACATTTGCTAAGAGCGTGCCCATGGTGACATGTGCATGATAATCATCACTGCATTGTTGAATTAAGTCGCGTCTCCCCGACGTTGCATGTTTTTGGCCATGATTCGCATCGGACGTTCTATAAGTCGCCACGTCTTCATCTCGTCTGTGGCGGTAAGTTCATTTCAAGCGGAGACTCCCAAAAGAACTTCCCCGATCAATATTCCACTCCGAGTGTCTCCGAGTCTTGGCCTGCGCTGTTGCTTTCTGATAGAGCTTGAGTCTGTTGCTTACGGAACCCATGCTCTTGAACCTCTTCTTCTCTCCTGATGTGGACTGTAGCTGGTATATGTGGCTCTGTTACGGCGGGCCAAGGACGAACTCTCATATCCGCGGGCAACGTTGAAGTTTTCCCTCGGCTTTCGTTCATGATCTAGGTTCTCACCCCAGTGGCTCTGGGGAAACCCAGCTTACCGACGTGGGACGCTGTACGTGTCAGAAGCACCTTCCACTTTGAGTGCACGGAGATGTCAGGCATCTGCCAGGGATTATTTTGATCCCTCCTATGTGGTCGCGTCTTTCCATTCTCCATCCTCGTCCCTGTGTCTGCACAACCCATCTACGCCCTATTGTTAGCATATTTGTTGACAGTCTTGCACGGGGCGTCAATATCTGCACAGTTCTCGCAAGTATATCAGCGAACCTTTTTTTATGGTCTAATACTGTCAAACCTTCCTAACACCGCATTTTAGTCTGCACAATCAAGCTCATAGTGATTTCAGTTGTAGGCTTGGTGCTCAATTGCATAACTCGAATATGGTCCATCAGCATCAGTAGGACTGAATGAGGCACTTCCCATTCAACAGAGGTCCCATTTGATGGCGGGCTACAGTTGTACCTGGAGGGCTCGCATAAGTATGGTATCGAAAAGAGAGGTCGAATTACTATACTGGTCCACAAGGACGTGCCCATGGGTCTTCATAGAGTGACTGCTTGCTACCATATTAGTAAACAACTCGCTCTGGAGCTGTTACAGTGGTCTCAGGATCTTATCCGCAGACATCGAGTGACGTCTTGTGCTTTGGTCAGATGGTCAAAGTAATAGTTCTTCTCGTAGGCGGGTATCGCTTAAGACTCCTCCCGTACTCCTAACGCTCACTCCTCGGTCGAGATTCGTACTGGGCTCCGTACTGGGCTCCATAGCTTGTGTGCAATAGCTTAGCGTATCCCCATAAATCTACGACATTCCACTGCAGAGGATGCGCATTTATATCTTCATAAAACTTTTGGTCTTGTCAAATAGCCATCGTGCGCCCAGCTATCGCCTAACGTGTGGAGTTTGTCACTTGTCATACAGCACAGGCTAACCGAAAATAACATTGGTGGAGTAGTCTATATCTTCATTTGTTGTTCTCTGCCAGGTACCAATGGTCAGACCATGGTGTAGACGTACGTCTATTCAACCCGTTGTCGAAGGGAAAGAGAAATTCCAACGAGACGGGCGGCAAGAACGATGTGCATCGTCACAAATACACAGTAGCGTATATTCCCGTATAGATGGGCGACATTTCTAGACATGATATTTGTTTTTCACTCTGAACTAATTTTCACATTACTCATTGCGCTTATATATTGACCCAAGCAGTCAATTCCTGAACATAGAGTATTTCTCGCATATAAGCTTCTTGCTCTCATTGATCCCAGTATTTAGGAATCCCAGTGCCGTATCGATCTTCACTTCAACCCTGTCGCGAGGAGATATGGTGGCCCGGAGATTCAGTTACAGAGCACGGTTGAGAACGTAAGTGCTGTCGGCCCACTGATTTAGGAGGCCCACTGCTTCATTATCACTCTCGGTCAGGTAGGATTAGCCGCATCATGATCGCATTCGGTTCCTCGTTTTCCAATGTTGTAGTTGCGTTTTCCAGGTTCTCCCACTTTATTTTGATTCGCTCCTGCCGTTAACTCTCGTGTACAATATCCGTACAGTATATAAACCTACCCTTCCCTCCTCATCTACTCATCTCACTCACCCACTCACATACACACACAAGCGCATCCCACTTTCACAACCAGACACCTCATCAACCGAATATGCAGTTCAATCTCAAGACTGCCTTTCTTGCCCTCGCCGTCTTCCTCCCTCTCGCATCTGCGGTGGCACTTGCAGAGAAGAGAGAGGATGAGGGGGGTGGGCGTCCACCGCAATGCAAGCCCTTACTTCAGAGTTGTGCGGTAGACTCAGAGTGTTGTGGAGACCTTTGTTTGGCCGGAGTACGTTATTGTTCACGTCCTTCTCCTCTTTAATCATGCGATACCACGACTCTTCAGGCCTTCATCTCCAGCTTCGCTCATTGAATGCCGTAATGTCACTATCCGGACTATGCTCATTTGTTATTCTATATCTTCCTCTAGCTCTGCATCTGAGCACATCATCAAGTGATTTCCAAACCGAACGTACTGGTGTTCCCCTGAGATTGTTTTGTGTAAGCTGCCATTATGTTCTATCCCGTAGGTGCTCAATCTGACCATAGTGAATTAGTTCCTTGTATTCGACTGCACACCATAGTATTCACCTACGAGCAAAGCGAGATATGGTTGGATGTCATATTTGCTGTCTTGTCATTGTTGTAGATCGATTTATTTTTGATGTTTGGTCGAGATCTTTTCTCCCTCGCTCAAATAAATTGCTCTCCAATCGTCTTTCCCACATTGTACGCATGACGTTCATAAAACACGTATTACATTTCAATTGGCTCGCGTATTTCAAGCATCGTGCTGGGACTATTGTCGTACACGATATAAGAGCACGGAATGGTGTTCAAGGCGCTGGGAAGTACCCTTTCGCTGTTGGATTCGCACCAGAACCGGAACAAGATAAGTCGTAGTAATTCAGTAAAGCAACGATTAAAGAGATGCAGTAGCTCGGATAGCGATAGCAATAACCCTGTAATTGGACAAAGGAGGATGGAAATCCATACTAAGTACTCGTCATTGCATTGGTTAAGATTTCGGAGGCCGTGTTCACGCAGGTCCTGTCTGTGAGAACCATACGCTAGCGTAGTGAACGCGTATGCTTCACACAGCCATCTCTGAAATCATATTACAGACCAAACCGAAGGCCAGTTCGTACATCGGTACTACTTGCAACCGACATCGGAAATGATCATCTCGAGTGCCCTCCACTTGGAGACTGTCGCGGGATTTGGACACGAGAATTATGGTGGGGAGTGCTGAAGATCAGCTCAAAAAACCACCTCCCAACACACGACGTAATAGTCTCGTTGGATTTATTCAGACATCGACAGCTTCGTCCATAAAAGCCACAAGGAAACGCCACACTGACTTACGGTGCTAGTGTGGCGTCGTTTCAAGAGGAGAAACAAATGTGAGCATTTTTTACCGGTCATCCGGCAAACATTAGTTAGCCGTTCCGAATTCTCTTCGCTGGTATTTCTTAACCTTCAGTCCACCAAGTGATAGTACCAAGTCCAGCAGCTTTTGGCGTGGAACAGAAGTCTAGCTGAAGTCTATCTCTATTTCAAATTTATAGGCCTAAGTTTCTCCCTAAACTGGATCTCCCACTCTCGTCATCTTTCGGAGAGGGCACACACTGGTACATCACCGACGTTCATCGATACAGTACGACTTTAGCAAATGTCCGTGTTCCTTCGCCGTCGTGGTACACCGGTGGCGATAGATTCAGATGTAATTGCTTGTGAAGATGTATAGGACGTGTTGATGGTCGCGGACTCATACTGATCCAGACGGAAGGAGGTCGAGTACCTCGGTTCTTTCTCATGGTACTCATCGTCTTCAGTGCTCCGTGATGCTCAGAATCCGGTGCACAGGCACTCTATACCATGCTTGCGCTGAGATGTGCTGGCTCTTTGGTTCGTACCACACACTCAGAGACTCAAGTTGCACCTCTATTTTTGGCTGATCTCTCCTATTGGCAAGGATCGCACTTCATACGAGAGTTGTACGTACTAAACTTCAGATATAGCCAAACGACTGCTGAAACTGACTTCGTTGTTTGATTTCACACGACCGCTTCCACATCAGTGATAGTCTCGCTCAGCACAATCAACACGACGAATGCTCGAGCTCCTCGCATCAAAATGCGTGAGAGTTCTCATTGGCATACTCCACTACTTCTTACTCTCTGGCCGATTGGCATCTTTCTTGTCGATTTTCACTGATATGGATAGGATCCTACTCAGATTTCAGCATCTCGATCTGAAATATCTTGAGCGTCTCCCTGTCATAAGTATGAGGTGAGCGTTGTAACGTCCTCGTCATTGTTTTTTGACTGGCTATTGTCATCTTTACGGCCTTATCCCCGCTTGGACGACTACATGCATTAGCCATCTACCAGAGGCTTATATGATCCGAGAGTTCCGGGAATACTAGTCCATCACCACAATCTGATGCAAGGGGCGGCATTTGACAGCGTTTATGGTCTTCATGGAGCAGTACATATATCAGAGGTATGCTCTTTGTATCCTTTCATGATCATTCGGCCCGTTGTTCTGTTGGAATTCTTTGGCATAGCCGCTACATCATGATGACCGCGGTAATTATCATTTCGGCATACGTTTCTGCGTCGTATATAGAGGCGTCTATATAAACAACAGACCCACAATTTAGCCCTTGATGTCCTCCAGTGGAGTAAGCGCGCTCGAGACGCTGGACCAGTTACAAATTTTGGCCGTACGTATACTTCATCTCTACCTCATGTCGAGGCTCACTCTTTTGTGATCAGTACGTCGATGGTAGGTTGTCTATGTAAGAGAGCGCTCCTCTTCATTCATTAAAACCCTTCTTAGTCTCCGCAGCGGTGCTGGTGGTAGGTTTCTGGTCGACTTTGATCAATTGCAGACTCGAAGCCTCTTTTTCTGAGAAAAGGAAACACTTCAGATGTATGACTACCTCCTGACGTTTTCAGGAGAGGTACTATTGGTTTGGTCTTCAAAGTGGAGCGCCATGAAAGTGCTTTTCTTTGTCAATCGTTACACTGCTGTTGCTTACGCCGTCTTCGTTTTCATCGGTGAGATCTCGCCCGTGTCTTTGTTAATCTCGAGCGATGAACCTTCAGCATGGATAGAGCACGGAGTGGCAAGTCCAGCATCACATACATGCGATATGGTCAGCCGCGGTATCGCAGGTGCGTATCAATGAGCGCTGAAATGAATATTAGTTCTGACTTACCCTCACAGCCGTTTCTAACTCAGGCATACTCGCTGCAGAGCGTAATGTTCCTTGTACTGTATCGTGACTTCTCACAACATAGATCTGACATACCATCTATTGACTGGTAGTGATCATTCTTTCCCGAACGTGGGCGCTGTGGCAGCGGGATAGGAGGGTAGCCGTGGGGCTCTCACTAATCCTCGCTACAGCATTTGTACTGATTGTACTCTACGAGAATAAGTTCGTTCAGTCGCTGAAGTGTGCGTGAGCTCGTTATTATCGACTTTTTACCTGGTTGTGTCTGACAAACGTCTTCGCGTCTCAGGGGCTACATCTACAAGTAGTCCATCATCTGCGTTCCATGGGTGTATTGTGGCAAGCGGCGAAGACACGACCTATGTCTTGTATGCTTGTATAATTGTGATTGAGACAGGTATGACTTATATCACCCATAGCATACTGCATTTCTCATTCGTATTGAGTAGTTGTTATTGCGCTCACAATGGCCAAAACTCCGTGGAAGCGTATGATACGTTCTGTCTCAGCGGGATATGTTCAGTGCGCTCATCATAATCATTTTAGTTGGATTCTTCGAGAATCAGCTGTCGAAGGTGCTATACCGGGATGGTATGTATTCTCGGTGTACTATATGCTTATGCACGATAGCTCACCGAATCTGTATCTAAAATTCACAGGTTTACTATACTATCTGTATTTCCTCGGTACGTCTTCCCAATCCAATGCTGGTGCGCACGTTATCTTACTGCACCCATGATAGCACTATCCCTGGTCAACATTATCACCGTGTTGACTGCGCCGGTAAAGTTTTCATCAAACTCGATTGCACTTTGCTGACTCCCAAGTCTTCAGCCGGCAATATGCCATGTTGTGTCGACGTAAGAAAATACTTAAGGGTAACTGGCGGGCGACTAAACTATTCTTCTGTATTGGCCCTTCGGCTCTAGGCTTCAAGGCATGCTCCACACCATGCTTGCCACTCGAGTGGTCATACATCTTCGAGATGCAGCATCTTCCGATTCCGCCAAAACTCTCTATACTTCGGAAGAGATCGGAGGCGGTCTCCAGTTTGCCCCTCATCATCTCCTGAGCACTGGAATGGAGACATCGCTCGATGGCCAAGATAACGTTAGTTTGGGAGTCTTTGGGCTGAGTCCAGCTGCGCAGAGGACGGTGCTTTCCCAAGAAGACACCGGGATCGAGATGGTGAGCATGAATGCTCATGCTTAGTAGAGTGTATGAGAAGTAGAGGTGCATTTTACCAGCTTTGACCGAAGGCATTCTGCACGTAGTGCAACCACTTGGTTTGTGTAATTTTGGTGGCGCTATGTGGCGTACTTATCATCTCATCGAAGAGTCGGCTGCCTAAGTTATATCCACAGCTTCGCATACCCAACAAAACTAACTTTCGTCTCCATGCACGTTACCCGACGTCTTCCTTCATTTATGTATACGAGAGCCCAAGCATAGTAAGTTCTTATTAAGTTTATCTTAGAGGGCCATATTGGGGCCATATTCAGCTGGCAAAGATGGTAGACATCGTCGGCTATCAACATTTGCCTCGGGAAGTCTAATCCACTCCAGTTCAGACAGCCTTTCAGGTCTTGTCCGTCCACCGCATCAGTATGCAGATCGATCATCCGTACCATTATTCTCTCCGACGTTGATTTTGCATACTGCACATAGCAGCAGATGAATATCCCAAGCTTGAAGCGTGTTTATGGGATCGTTATAATGTAACCAAAGCAATGCACATATTCAGGTAGTGCTCGACGATGTGCTTCGCAATCTCCGCTTGTTCGGGTAGCTCACAAAGGGCTGTCTGTATTGGGTTGTCTCGTGGCTGGTCGGCGGCTAACACAGCATTGGTACCGATAGACTGGCTTTGGTGTCGGAAGGGCTCGTGCTTTGAAAGTCCGATTAGCCGAGGCGCTCTTCTGCTCTTATCAAGCTTTCGTTCTCTCCCTCTGCCTCGTTTTCATCCACCTCATCTCTGTTTCCCTCACTTCTTCATATTCACTTTCGATATCTATCTGATCTAGGTTTGATTCTTGCTCTTTCTTGAGAGAGAACTATCTGTGCGGACTCTCTATGGTTTCCTCACCTTCGCCCACCCCACAATCGTTGGCACCCTCATCCGGGCCAGACCCCTCCCTACCGACACGGAGTTTACATCGCGTTCTTTCAGCAGGATGCCTAGGTAACCGCGTTGATGGAGAAGCTGTTATTGAGAGGGACGGTGCGAAGGGATATAGGGTTTTTCCGGAAAATTTGTGCGTCAATCCTCTCTCTATTTTTCCTTTCTTTGTGTTCCTACGTATTGAAATCCTTCATCATAGGAGCGGTATCGAGGCAGCGTCTGGTGCCTCACCATCAATAAACGACGACAACACACCTACAATCCACACATCTCCATCTGATTCCCGTCTCCATTCACTCGTTCTGGGTTCCGATCGCACTAAAGATCGCGAACGACTTTCGTCAACTACACCAAGGACCATATACTCGTCCGGGTGCGTTTTTCAGATCTTGTGCATCATTTCCTTTGTCCCTTTTGCGGCACTGACACGCTTCAACGTCGGCGACGATACTCTTCTCTTTCTCTCAATTGCATGCGATACAGTATTTTTTCATCGACGAGCCAGTACCGTAACAGTGCGCTGACTGTGCACCCGGATGCCCCTTTTACTATGGGTCCGCCTCCGCCTACACCTCCACGTCGTGTCCGTCTCCCTTCGCGTCCAATGTTTCATTCGCACGAGCCCGGATCTAGTAGATATAACGAGGCGAAGAAGGGCGCCTTCGACGACGAAGATGACGAAGCCTCACTATCGTGCGTCGACGTTTCATTCTATCTAACGTGACTTGAACTCTCTCTCATAAGAACCCTCTCCTTCGTTAATGATCAGTTACCCTCGTTCATCATTTGTGGGGGGCGGCATGCGGGGCTCGAGCCCTCCTCCACGAGCATATCGCCGTACCTGCGAAATTCAGTCGGCACCACAACAACCCGACCCCAGCATTGCAAGCGCTATCGTATCGAGCCAAGGGCAAGAGGACATTGCTATATGCAATTACAGCGCACGTCACAGGACGTCGCCCACCGTAGATCACCCACACACTTTTCAACATTTTATTCCCGGAACTTCTTCCGGTTCTCAACGCTCCTCGAAGAAGAGGCCTCGTAGCTCCCCGTCTGGCCAAGACAAGAATACTTCCGAACGTGTGCCACCGGTATGTCTTTGAAATCTCTGTCTTCGTACAAGTGTTGACATCTCCAATGGTATTATAGTTGAGAGGCTGGCATGACGAAGCAAAACCAACTGATAAACGGATTAGTTCCAAGGTTTCCCGTTCTTCGGACAGGTCGATGCCACCCCCACCTCTCCCAATGCGCTTTACGAATCCATCGCTCGCTTCACCTGCTCCTCCGATCTCTGATCGCCCACGTACTCGCGCAAAGCCTCCCCGTTCCTCCTCTTTGTCCAACGGGACTCAAGCTGGCGTAGGCAAAGGTCGGAATAGTGCTTCGAGCAACCACGCAAAGAATGACTCTCGCAGTAGTAAGGAAACGACAAAGGAAGACCAATCTTCCGCGGAAACTGAACTACCGTTATGTAAAGTTCATGGGACATCGTTCCGCATCGACGAAAACGATCTAGCATCCATGAAGAGCCTGGAGGCCCTTAGGAAGAAGGAGGAAGAGTTTTTCGAGTGGCATCGTGGACTGGCAGAGCGAATTCGTGAGTCTATGATCCAGGACAGCACACCACCAACCTTCGATAGCTCCGAAAGGGATGCGGACAGTTCTACGGGTTACACCTTCGCCACATTTTCGGCAACCGGGACATCGGCTTTCTCTGCTGGCAGTATGGCCTCAAACTCCAACAATATTGATGAAAGCTCTATGGAGTACCTCAACCCGGATTACATCGACGACACTGCGTCTATGACACAGACCTGGTCTGACGGTACCCTGTTTTACTGACCTTTCTTCTGTCCATCTATCGGCGTCCCCTAATCGACCGGCCGTATCTCTCGAGGAGGCTCGCGAGCAAGCTGGTGCGAGGATTCTTTGTGGGGAGCCATGCCATCTATTACGCGGCGCGGCCGCCAGGAATAACTAATGCGCATACCATGATATTCGTACACGTTCCATTTACCATGAACCCTTTTCTTTCTGCGCTATCTGATGAAATTGATCGTTGCTCCATTCTACCTCTTGCGAGAGACTCGGGCTTGAAAGTTGTTGAAACTCGGATGTGCTCCGAAATGACTGTACCAAGATACTTATACTGTACCTTTCGAAGCAAAATTTCAGTCCCAAGTGCAAGACCAAACACCCTGAGAGTTCCAATGGGCACTGCGGCTCTAGCCTAGACGAAGACATAGAAGTAAGTTGAAAGTTCGCCACTGTGGCACCTGTGAGAATCAACGGCAATGACCGGCTGAAACCAACGAGGGGAACGCGTCGCATCGACGTTTTCGAACACGACCGCGACCTGCTCATTTTGGCCTATTTCTTTTCAATCTGCCCGAACACTAAGCTATATATCTCTTGAATTACACTCGGACCCCAGCAAATGAATATTGAGTCTCCGTGAAACTTGGTCTTGACTTAAGCTATCTACGTATACGTCTTGAACTCAGAGCGCGTTCTGCTAGTGGTCACATCTTGTGCACGATCATGGCATCCGAGGTCTCAGCTGAGGAGCTCAAACAAAAGGGTAACGAACTCTTCGGACAACAGCGCTACGAGGAAGCCATTGCGAAGTACACGGAGGCTATAGCAGTGAACGCCACCGCAATTCCAGACGGCGAAGCAGCCTCTGCGGCGAGCAAGCGGTTCGAAGCTGTTTTATACGCGAATAGGTCGGCGTGTGAGGCCAACTTGGAAAGGTATGTCCTAAAATTCAACACGTGCACCCTCAGTACACTTACTGTATCCGTATAATGGTAGATGGGACCGGGCGGAGGTAGACGGGAGGAAGGTGAGTACACGAGTATATTTTGACTCATCCAGCCAGTGACTGGGCTATCATGTACAGGCCATCAGTATCGACCCTTCCTACACCAAAGCATGGAGTAAATTGGCCGTAGTCTACGAAGTTCGTCCGTTCTCCTACCTTAACCCCTCTTTGTCGTTCGTCCGTACGATCTGACTCTGTACCAGGCTCAGTGCAACTTCTTCGAAAGCATGAGATGCTATAGCCAATGTGCAGCTCTCTGCTCCGGACCTAACCTAAAAGCTCAACGATCTGTGGTTGAGGCATCGTTCGACATAGCGAAGGAAAAGTGGCGGATGGCTCGAGCGTGGCGCCCAACCGACGGGGAGGATTTGGAAAGTGGGATGCCTTGGAAGAGAGTCCTTCCCATGGTCCCGAATCTGAAGAACAAGTTGGTGCGGGGGATCCTTGAGAATACTAGCGTATGTGTCGTTTCAGTGTAATTTTTCAGGGCTTTTCTCTGAGCTCACTCACGGTTTGCCCCATCCTCAGGCGTGGATGCTTGTAGGAGAAGTAAGTCCGGTTTATCGTCTAAACAGCGTCAGTAATACTGACCTGACGATATTATCTAATCCTCAAGAACTGGGAGTATGGAATACGCGCCATGAATCCGTTTGATGTCACGCAAGTTCACGGAGGATTCTTGGTGAATCATCAACGTGACAGGGTCTGTGTCCTCCTATCCATCCATTGTCTCTGTCGCTGAATCTGTATGAATCCAAAGGCCCTTCAACATTTCACTGGTGCTATCATGATCGACGACCGTATCTTCCGAGTTGAGAATGAGAACTGGCTCGATGAGCTTCGCCGGAACAGTGCGTCACGATGCTACGATTTCTCTTGATCCCCTAGCGCTGATATATTCCGTGTCGTGTTCGTATATGATGAAGTGGACCACGAATTATCGTCCAGAAACGCTCCAACGTCTTCAGATCTTCCTTCAGTCCAAGCACACATCGAAAACCTATTTACGACTGGCGGCTTCACACTGAGCCGACCAGCATTAGCAGTATACGTTCAGTACGCCAACTCCCCTCCTCACATTCCTTGACTTCTTCGTTTCAACCTGGCGTCAATAGGTCTCTCGTGATGAAAGCCTTCCTCAAACAAATGATCGAAGGCGATCCCGTCGAATCTGTCAGGCTCTTGGACCACGCTCTCGAAGTTCTGGACTGGGCCCGTGAGAAATGGGCCACGGTCGCGAGAGAACATCGAGGTGCTGTTCTCGAGCTCAGTTGGAGACGTGGCGCGTGTTGCATGCGGCTTCGGCATTTAGTCCAGGTCGGTCTCCTCATCAATCGTCAATGGCATTACTCGCGACGATGACGATCTCCGGTTTGCTCGCAGGCAGTCGATGAAAGTCGCGGTGCAGGTGGATTCACTCTCGAGAGGCTGAAGCAAGATGCCGATGCGCTGTTGGAAGACATGAAATCTGCAGCAGATCCAAGGCCAAGGCCCCGGATTCAATGCTGCATTCTTCGTTCTCCTACGTGCATTCGCCCTCCAGTAAGCTTATCCACCTCTTAGGAGCGCTTTTTGTACTCGCTGAACCTTTTTTTTTTCAAGAGCAAAAGCACATTGCGCGGTCAGGGAGGCAATTGCTTGTGAGAAGCAGTGCAAATATCGAAGTAGGGGGTTGTTGTACGAAGCAGCTGGACTGTATGAGGAAATCACGTCATGTATCCCGTGGACGATGAAAAACACCTTTGTACGTCACACCCTCCATGCCTACATACTCACTGAAAAAAACTCAAAATTCCGTTTGCAGGGTGGAAGACCGCCCTCCTCCTCGCCAACGCCCCGCTCTCAGAGACCCTTCCTCTCATCAACGACATCCGTCACTCCATGGCCGCGCCAAAAATCGTATGGGAAGAATGCTGGATGTACAAGTCGGTAGAAGCGAAGTTGAGGATGTACGAAGGGTTTGAAGCGGAGATGAAGCGGGGGATGGACGAGCGGAGGATGAGTGTGGATGCGGCGAGGAGACCGGGGTGGGTGAGGTTGGGCGGTTTGGTTCAGTTCCATTGGTGTTGAGTGACGGTGGTCTGGATACGCTTGCTTCTTGAACGAAAGGACGGCATTTCCTGTCGTTGACCATCTGCCTTGTGTGATATACTACTACTTCGGCTTATTTGATTTGTTTTTGGAATATTTTGGACTCCTTTTCCTACCTCCGCCGCAGCCCACCATGTAGAATTAAACCTAGGCCAAAGTTATTGATCGCGACACAATGGGTAGATTGAAGAGTAGAGATGGAGGTTATTACAGCAGCCATTCGACCTGCGTACATTTTGTTCTCGTTCGTCTAAAACCACAAATAAGATCTACATGTATCATTTTATTTCGCTTCATCCTCTTCCCTCTTCCCTTTCCCATCAAACCACCACCACCACCACCACCTCTAAACCTGAACCACCCCCTTCGCAATCGCCAACTCCGCATTAATAATACTACTCGTCGCCGCCCCAATATTCACATTATTCCCCAACACGACAAACTTAATATCCAACACCTTACACTCCCTCACCCTTCCCACACACACACCCGCGCCCCCTTCAAACATCCTATCCAATCTCGGCTGCGGGCGATCCTCCTCCTCATGCACGTGAATCGTATGCGTCGGCGCGCTCGGACATGCGAGCGAGAGCGCCTCGGGCGTATACGCCGCGAGGGCTTCGCGGACTTGTTGTGGCGAGGGCGGAGGCCGGCGCGCGAAGCGGACGGAGACGGTGGCGGTGTGACCTTCGATGACGGGGACGCGATTACACGATGCGCTTATCCTCAGTGGGGTCTTCGAATGCATATCGAACGTCTTCAATCCTCCCTCATCTTCCGTGACGCCCCCCAGAATCTTTAATGCCTCCCATTCCATCTTATCCTCCTCGCCACTAATATACGGTACCACATTATCGAAGATATCCAAGCTCGGAACGCCGGGGTACCCCGCGCCCGAAATCGCCTGCATAGTCGTAATAATAGACGATTCGAGCGGTCCGAAAGCGCGTTCGAGTGCCGCGAGGGGGATGACGCAGGCGGTGGTGGAGCAGTTCGCGTTGGTGATGATGAACCCTTTGCGGAGGGGTGGGGATTGGAGGGATCTTTGTTGGGGGATGAGGGAGAGGTGGGAGGGGTTGACGAGGGGGACGATTAGGGGGACGTGGGGGTCGCGGCGGTAGTTTTTTGCGTTGGAGAAGATGGCGAGGTCGGCGGTGCGGAAGGCGGCCTCTGGAGGGTGAAGGAGGTGGGTCAGTATATGCTTCGAGGATGACAGGGCAGAAAGGGAGTAGAGTAGATAACGAATGGAGAAGGATAAACGATGACGGTATAGTACGGCCAGGACGATAGATAGAAAGATTCGTGAGCTCCCTTCCTACGGCTAGCGTTCATGCGAACGCGAGACGTATCCCGCAGACACCGAAGAGAACGAATCATGTGGTCTACTGCATCACTCGGCCAGGAGGCTCGTCCGAAAGCGCATGAAAGCTTTCCAACCTCGAAAATGCTAGACACCAGGTAATACATATGGAAAAGAATGAGTAAGATTCATCGTCCAAGTGCCCCCATCCAACCAGCAAGCGAATACTTCAGCATCACCGCCCTCAAACAAGGAAAGAGGCAAAGATACCCCCAGGCAAGACTAGTCCTGATGTCGTCGCTACGTTTACGCCGCGACCGCTACATATTATTGCCTTCTTGAAGGTCGTCCGCCTTCGCCACGATCTGAGATATGCAACGCACGGTATCCCCTAAACGAACGAACGAATGCGCTAGGACAAATGTCCAAACAAACAACGTAGCATAGCACACATGGTGTCTCCCCGGGGGGGGAAAAACGTGAAAAAGCAGGCTGAGACCAAGACCTGGGACCTGAGGCCCAAACAAAGCAAAACTCGAAAGCGAAATCCAATCCTCCACATCCCGTCACACGTCGAGGAAGAACCGTCTCGGTGTCTAAACCATACAGACAGACTGATGGACGAATGTACGGATGTACAGCAGAGAATATCGCGCGGACGCGGGATATGAAACGTGCGTGAACTTTTTTATGCTGAGGTCCAAGAAGCGACGAAGGTCTTTGAGATTTGAGGGAAAGCAGGAAGAAGAATGAAAAGAGGATAACCCTCAAAAACCATGAACACGCCCACACCGTCGTTCGCTCGCTCGCTCGCGCAAGACTTCCAACCGGGAGGCTGTTTCTCGCTATCTCGTCGGGGACCGGTCAATGACCAGTATTAGTAATGACGAGTGAGCGGGAGGCATGTTCCCGGTTGGTTGATTTCGCTGCTCGGTGATCTAGGACTGGGGAGGATAAGATGAAGAGAGAAAAAGGAAGGAAGACGGGTAGGGATGGGAGTTGATTTATCTACCGGGTTCTGATAGGGTGTTCGACGCATAGCGCGGTACAGCGCAACAGCAAACCAGGAAGAACAACCTCATCGCAGAAATCATAAGGAAAAAGCGAGATCGTCAGAGTAGACGACGCGGGACGACGGGACGAATATGAGCGTCGTGCAGCGTATGCTGCGCGTTTCCCACAGAATGGGAAGGTATGTGTACGTGTGTACGTGTGCGTGCGTGCATAGACGTTCCCGATACAACCACCAATGACCTCTCGAAAGTGAATGCGTTTCGGGAAGTTATGACGTTGAAGAAGCGAGAAAGATAACGAAAAAAAGGAGAAACACTCTGATCTAGAGAGTGTGTGCGGTGTGCATAGGCATAGGCATACGCATACAGCTGTCAACTGCGTTTGTGTGTAGGTAGAGGGGATATTGATCGTCCTCGAATGAGGATTGTATCAAGTTCATGTCCCTATCTGCCGAGGTGCGATATAGAAAGATGGATAAAGACAGGTTCTAGGACAAGCCAGCGGTAGGGAGACCCGCGTCCAACGAACATCTCGGTATCGGTTTGCAGGACCCGAACCCGAGTTCTGGACGTCGGAGAAAGAGAGAGAGAGAGGAAAGGAGGTCCATGGTTGGAGGATCCTGGAGACTCCGAAAACGGCACGGGATGTTCGTAATCTCACAGCAGTTGACTCCCCAAAGGAAAACCAAAACAAATCCCGTCCAAACGAGAAAAGGAGAATAAAAAAAAACAGGGAGAAAAAAGGACAAGCCAAGAAAAAATGCACACACCAATCTCGCCCGCCACATCCGCATCCAGCCCCGAAAACACCACCGCACACTCCCTAAACTTCTCCGGCACACACCTCTCCACGACCAAATCCCTCACACTACTCGGGATCGGATCCGTCTGCTTCCAGGCGACGGCCTTGCGATACGGTTTTCCAGCAGAGCGTTCTGAGGCGCCGAGGGCGGAGACGACGAAGTAGGGGTGGGAGGCGAGGAGGGCGATGAAGCGTTGGCCTACGGTGCCGGTTGCGCCGAGGACGCCGACGGGGATTTTTTGGCCTTCGAGGACCATCGTTGCTTTCTTTGGAGCGTGGAGAGGAAAGTACGTGATGGGTTGAAGGAGAAAGAGAGTAGATATAGGAGGAGGAGATGACTCCGAATTGTCGACGACTTCGGCCGCAATGAATTTTACAGCAGCCGTGGGAAGGTTGGGTGTGATTCTGGAGGTGCCACTGTGGCCGGCCTAGCCCGGTGCTCCGTAAACGGCCAGACGGCTCTCGACGGTCGGATGTCAAGACGTCGTGAAGGTTGAACCGTTTCCTACCGTTCCTCCCAGTGTGGATGATTCTTTGCGGGCAGGGACGGAGCACGAATGGAGAGTTGAGAGTTCCATCTAGCTCTACAGAATACGTCGGTCATGGCTCGGGAATCGTTCGAGCGCGAGAGGTCTGAGGGAGGCATCGGCATCGACGTCAGAACGGAGGGTCCGAATAGGAACCCAACTCTGGCAATGGTGGGGACGGCGGCGACCGTAACGGGATGTCCTCTTCTCGTTGTGTTTCCTCTTGGGATCGATTCGCTGCGCGATTCGCAAGATGACGGTCGTCCTTGGTCGTACGCTGTCATCGGACGCTCGCTTTATAGTATCCGTAGACACGCGTTGAACAGGTCTTCCATCGCGTTCTCGTCATCGTCGAGAGGTTCATAAGAGATCGGACGTCCCTGCGCTGCTCACAAATGCCTCATCTCGCACCACCGTCGACGTCGAACGTAATAGGCTACAGCTGGGCTCCAGACGGCTCGCTCACCTACCAAGAAGCTCCTCGGCCCTCTCCTCCACACTCGTCCTCGTCCCCGGCAGCGATCGGCTACTCCTATTCCGCCGAAGGAGCAGTCCGCTTGATCCCCGCTCCTCCTCCAGCCCAATCTTCGCCACCCCTGCCTCGTTATACGCATCCACAAGCCCATATCTCGCCCTCCTCCCCAACGCACATCCGTCAACAGACCTATCCTCCCCCTCCTCTACCACACGTTCATACATCACGCAATCGCTCGACGTCATATCCGTATACGAAGACATACCCCACTTCTACGAGCGTGAATACAAGTCCATCCGTGGGGGGTTGGACTGCTCCGTCCACTCCTGTTCCGTCTTCCGGCACTGGCTCTGCTACGCATACCCACTCGCATTCGCCCTCAAAGTCGCCCTCAAAGTCTAGGTCGCGCTCTAAATCACACTCGCATTCACAATCCAATTCGAACACGAACCCGATCTCTCGCCCAGCTCTACATCCATCGTCGCATTCATACACACACTCGCACGCGCATTCTCCATCCATATCTGTATCTCGGCCTCGCTCCCACTCGAACGCACCACCGGCCCATGCCCATTCCCACTCCCCACCGTATCCTCATCCCCATCCTCCTCCCGGACACCACACTGATTCTCCCACCCAAACGAAATCGCGGAGCACAAGTCGCAGCACGAGCACGAGCACGAACCCGAACGGGAGCAGGAGTAAGATCGAGCTGAGTAGCGTTTATCGATACGCGGGTGCGGACGTCGGGAGTGGGTTTCCTGGTGCTGGTAGAGGTTCGAATACGATCGAAGGCTTGCCCGTTGTTGGTAGTGTTGTGTATGGACAACTATCCGGGCATGGGTACGGTGATCGACAGCGATACGAACCGGCCCAAGGACCTACACATGGATACGAGCACGAGCATGGACATGGAGCTATCCCCGGCGGAGGAGACGTGTCGCACGATGGGGTTGGAGGTGGAGGTGGGGGGTGGACGGGATGGGATGGGCATCCGACGCGGTGAGGTGGGGTCGTTGGGCTCGGATGTGGGTGTTGGTGGAATATGTCTTGGATATAAGTATGCTCGGCCGCGATCAGGTGACGGCGTAGACGGTGACGGCGTTGAAGCGCAGAGAGGGTTAGCGTAGGTGCAGGTGTCGGAAGATATCAAGTGACGGACACGCATAGAAGTTGGGCACTTGATTTTGGACGTTCGTTTGGTCTTGAATACCGCATCGGTGTATTAGAGTAGGGCCCATCACGATGATTGTTGAGAAAGTGGTTTCTTGGTTGTGTACATGTACATACAGACTGCGAGTGACCGATGCATCATATAAGTTGATTGTACATGCGCACGTAGATGGCCTCGTACGAGCGATCGCGCAAAGGTTACTTGTAAGTTGGCATACGAAGTTGGGGCAATACATCCAACGAACGACACAACAGCAATAATACTACGAATAAAGATAAACGAGAACAAATGTCCGGCATAGAGACCTAAGTAGAACTTACCTTCGAGCCACGCAGGCCATCAAAAAGTCCATAGAAACACCTTATCAGCCTAAGCACGGACCAGCACAACCACTTCACCTCACTTCACTCCATCCTGCTCCCTCCGACCCTTCCTACCCGCGCATCCCGCACTCTCTTCGTCGAAGTCAGATTCAAACTCGTCGTCCTCTTTAGGCGGCTCACGATCCCGGCCTGCGGTGAGCCAAACCAAGATCAGCTTGAACCTTCGAAATACAGCCCGAGTAATTGCGAAAGGTTGCGAAAGAGACATACCACGTTCTCTCGGACCCTCAAACTGACTTTGCGTCCCATTTTCGCTCCGACTCCAAGTCCAGATCCAGCTCCAGCCAGCGTCTTTTCCTCGGATCCACCAGCACCAGCACCGCCAGCAGCATTCACGTCCACCTCACCGACGTCCGAATCATCCCAGAACGAATAACTCTCCTCACGACCTACGACAGCTCCCACCTCCCTCCCCGCACCCACATCCACATCCAAGAACGTCTCTCCCCGCACCTGCACCTTCTCTTTCCCATCCCCATCCCCATACCCATATCCCCCATCCCGGCCACTTCCGCCAGCACCCTCAGAGAGCTCGACCCCCAAACCCCGACCCGAGCGTCGTATCGAAGGACACGGAGTCGTGGAAGGAGATTCACGCGCGAACGGGTCCGGATCGTCGAAATTGTGGATGTCGGGGACGCGGACGCGGAAGGATTTGATGCGTCTGTGGGTTGAGGTGTTGATGTCCATGGACGTGGCGGGCTCGAGCGCGGTGCGGATGATAGACGTCGAGGGCGTGAGAGAGCTGTCTGGGCTGTTTATCGAGGTCGGGGAGACTGTGTCTTCGGAAGCAGACGTGGTAGGAGAACTGGAAGAGGATGAAATGTCGCAGGAGGACGAAGGACGAAGAGCGGGCGAACGACGTCGGATCCGATCTGTGCGTTTGAGGCAGGGCGTAGCAGGAAGAGTGGCGAGTGGGGAGAGACGACGTGGTTTTGGGTTTGGGAAGGAGGGGGTGGAGTGCGGGCGGGGGGTGGATAAGTGGGCTGTGATCTTGGGTCGGGGCGATGGGATGGCTAGGTGAGGAAGGTTATGTGTGGTGTCAAGTGGTTGTGCGTTCGAGTTGGTTCTCTCTGCAAGGACTGGAGGATGGGACCATGACGCGAAGCGAGTCAGAAAGATACCCTCGTAGGAAGGGTAGGATAAGTGGAGATGTACCTTCATCGCAAGCACTGACAATGAGACCGACGTCCTCAGACGACTCAGAGACAATGACCAGACTCTTCTCCTGATCCATCCCCTCCAGCTGCGCACTAGCAACCTCTCCAGTAAAGTCTTCATCCATGTCTCCTTCCTCTTCGTAGTATCCACCAGGCATAGACCCGCACCCTAAAAACTCCATCCCTTGGTCGGTCTGCACATCCCGCCTCATTCTAGCCGACTGGTGAGCGCACGGCGAAGAGATACCCAGTTGACCAGTCAAGAAGCGGCTGAGGAAGGATAATAGCCAGAGATAGATAACAGACAAGATACAGGTGTTCATGAGTTCGGTTGAGGATAAAAACATGGCTGGCGATGGGTCAGAGTTCGAGGTTATCAAGGCAGGCTAGGACGAAGATATCGGGGATGACGGGAAGCATGGCGACGATCCGTATTATATCGCGACGGCGAGTCCTGCGGCACAGAGAGCGCTCCTATGAAAAATGTGAGACATGCTGCGAGAAAATGTGAGGATGGCTCGGAGAGTGCGGTGGAGTGAGACATCCGAGCGGTTCAGCCGTACGCAGCATTGGTATGGTTTCTAGACACCGAGATACGGTCTGGGAGGTCGTATCTGATCATTGAGGGCGGGATGAAGAAAGTACAGGTATACGTTGCGCTGGTTCATCAAGTGCACGATACTTATATCGTAAGGGGAAGCATCCACCCAAATCCGCACTCGTCGCTTCGCTAACGGCACTCGACGTCGTCTGATGGTGCACCTCGATGGGTTATGCGAGGTGATTGGCCAAAGCCTCTTGGTGATGGGAGATGACCCGCTGAATACATAGGACCGTGGTGCCCGGAGGGTAAGAGAACGACATGACTACGATGCACGGTGTCGCTCTCAAATGCTATGGGAGAGAAGACATACAGTGGTGATAATATCGACACCGAGCTCTCAGCTTTTCCCCTTATATCTGCGTACAGCGAACCAATCGTCTTCGCCAATATCATCGAAAGAACGCTCAATCTGTTAAGAAAACAAATCCAGCAACGACCTAAGATGAAGCTACGTACCCAGCTAGCGAGAATCCCGGAGATCGTGTTGGCTGACTCCTCGTCGATCTCTCTTTTATTCCTCTTCAACTCAATAGGTTCGGAGAAGTAGTAATAACCTTCGCCAGGGCGTTCAAGGTCCGATTTGGTGATGACGATGACGAAGATCCAAATTTGCCCGTTCGTCAGTACACCGCGAAGATATTTCTGGCTATACAGACAATCGGCGAGGGCGAAAATGACGGATGATTGGACGGGATGAAGAGAACACGTACTTCAAAGACTTCACACAAGCCATCATCTTAACCACTGCCTGGGGTAGATGGTCCATTAAGCGGGACGAAAGAACTTTGGCCTCTACAACGAGGAATACGGGTCCAGAGTCCTTGAGAAGCGACATACGTCGCGGAAGACGATAGTTCTCTATCCAGTCGTTAGTAGATATAACTGAGGGAGAATAGGACAAATAAGGGCGCACGGATTTCGTCTTTTCCAACGAGGAGGGCCACGTAGTCGAGGGTATCATCGAGCGTGTGTCGAAGTGACTCAGTCGCAGACATACCCAACGTCCTTCACTTCGCAAAATGGGTCGACATCGGGACAGCATCGGGCCAGCTGGACGATGAATCTGAGCATAAAGACTAGTACACTGCTCTGCTCGTAATTTCTCGAACCAACTTGTCCGTCGCAAAACTACGACGCCACATCCACACCTCTTTTTCTTCGACTCGCGCCACCGCCACATCTACCCTCGATCTATCCCTTCCCGAAATTCACTCTGGTACCGTCAAACGATACGGCCAACATTTCCCCTCCGATGAATCGTTGAATACCAAACTCCCCTCTAATCCTACAAGCCACTCGTCTTCCTCGACCAGTCTCGTCAAGTCCTCTTTCCATCATTCGCTTCTACACCTTCCGCTCTGCCTTGTCCCCCATTGGCCCAAGTTCGCCCTACTACTTCAGCGATGGTCTCGACCCCGCACCCTCCATTATCTGTATAATCTTCGCCTGCTTCGAACTAGTCAACGTTCTTTCCATATCTCACGGATGTTCCACCGTCGTCCAGATCGTGATGGGGACCGCGGAAGGCTTCTATTTGGGGCACTGGGGTGATGGTGGGTGTTTGGCGGTTATGCGGGGTCAAGGGAAAAAAGGAAATGGGCTGGGGTGGAGGGTATGGTCGGTTTTGGTGATGCAGTATTTGTGCGAGAGTGCGGGGTTGTCGTGTTATGGTGCGTGTATTTCTTATTTACCTTTCGATTCAGTCTATCATAGTATCAGCGAAGACTAACTTCCGTCTTGCCTTCTTCCATGCATTACAGACCCTCTTTCCTCACATTCCCCCTTTCTGCGCACCATCCCCCACCTCATGCCCCCGTCCTCGGGCAGCCATCTAACCTCGTGTCATTCAATCCTCTTCATACCGGCAGCCATAGTGCAACTCCTCTTCTCCACACATGCCTCCCTCTCCATTCCCTACTCGCAACACTGAACGCTCTCGCGCGAATGCTGCAATCATTCCCTCAAGCGATCGCTCCCGTCGTGGCTTCGTCTCAGCGTTCATTATGGTGCAATCCAGGTATCGCGATGATGGCGATCGTGGTCGATGCGGTGGTGGAGATGGTGTTGAACGAGAATATGGAAGTGTGTTGGTGGGCGAGATTGTGGGTCGTGTTGGGCGATGGAGCACCAAGGAGTGCAGTGTTGGGCAGGTAGATACCGAAGGATGGACCGCCATCTGTGTCGTTCGAGAAGGATGAGGAGGAGGAGGAATAAGAGTAAGTATGTGGAAGAAAGCGGGCGGAGGACTGTTCAGGAATCGCTCGACTATGGACTGAGATGGCCGTCCTCAGGCATCGTTTCCCGGACTCTACGATTCTCTGCTCATGCGATGTCACTCGATCGCATCCACCTTGAGGATCTCTAAGGCCGATATATAATACCGTCACCTTCCTGAGATATTGCGCCCTCTGCGGTGTACTTACCTCGACCAAGCAAACTTCCTTGAGTCCGTCCCAGACTGCGCCACAACTTACATCTGTGTGGCGCCAGTGTACAAAAAGTTTCTGGCATTTTTTTTTAGCGCAAACATCATCGATTGATTACTAATGCTCGCATTATTCTCTGGCCAGTGCTCGTGAACTGGTGACTCACACAAGTCTGCATTCTTCTGGCTTCAGGCGATCTGGCAGCTGCTTTTGACTTTGCAGGGTTTTGTGCATCTAATGGATTCCGAATTGTCGCAAACGGTACTGTAACAAAAGTCCTACTACCCTTTACAATCCTTGGCAGCGCTCTGTCTCTTCTTGGGGCTCGTTCATGCTTCACAAGCTTGATAACAGAGATGGTGGTCTCCATCTCTTACGTACCTTTCTTCTACGTCCCCTGCTGCCGTGATTCCATATCGTTGCCGTATTATTGTTCCTTGGGGGGGCTCAAACTCGGGCTTACTGCTCTTTTTGTCTTTCGTTCCATTGTCTCCGGGGCGCGTTGGCCTTGCACGCCTTGGGCCTTATAAAAGAGGTGATAGCTTTACCTCTTTGGAATCTTCTTCATCTATCTCATCCCACGACTGCTCCCCGCTGCCTTGCTAAATGTTCGTTCGTCTTCGTCAACGTGAGGTAAACGATTCCTTGCTAACATATACTGCATTTGCAGGTCTGAACGACCCACGAAGGACGATCAATCGTACGTCTCCAAATGTGACCTTATGCTATTCACTTTTCACTCACAATATGCACCAGTAACCCCTCGGAGGTGCCTCAACGTGCTGCTCCTCTCGCAGAACACCCTGCGACTTCGAGGCATACTACGTTTCCCATTTGTATCCAATTGTTAAGTATACTCATGCATGCGCTTGGACAATTGCAATAGCGACACTCGTCGTATGATAATAAACACTGCGCTAGCCAAACACGAAGCGAAGATTCTCGAGGACAAGAAAAAAGCGGGTAAGCAAGGCTTCATCCAGCTGAGTTCCGTAAGACCGCAGATGATGACCGCCTAGGAAACCAAGTAATGGCGAAATACAAAATCATAGCAGCAGAGATGAGTTTGAAAGATGCGAAAAGCACCAATGTACGTTTTCTGTGTTGTGTGGACAGGGAAAAGCAATTGACGCTCAACGCTGGACTGCTCCCAGACGACGACACCCTCCTCTGTCGCCACATACCCGCCATTCTACCGTCAGCCCTGGGAGTATGACAGCTCACTGCCGTACGAGTATACTTATGGGTGAGTATATTCCAGTGAACGATATGAAGCGTCAAATGACCTAGTGTAAGTACGCTGCCATGCAGGCTCTCCCAGTCCCAAACTTCTCAGCCCCTTCCCAAGATCAATGATCCCACGAAGGTACGTCGTAAATTTTGCATGAGGGAAAAAGTCGTAAGTAGAACGTCTGACTATCTCCCAGCCCCGTCCCCAAGGCGTTGATCCAAAGGACCCGTTAGCCAGCATATACGCTTACGCCACACCTCCCAAGAACCCTTCTGACTCGAAGGCGGCCGGCTCTACTGCTCGCAAGGATCCTCTTGAAAGCTTGTACGTTTATGCACGTCCTCCGAAGAGCTCCAGTGAGTCCAAAGACAACAGGTACGCGTTCGCTCGCTGCACGGTAATATATGATCAATTTCTCAACTTTCCTGTACACTTCGCTTCATCGCATCAGTACGGCCTAAGATATTCTCTCCTCTACTTTCATCAACATTGCTTGGGTGTTCGCTCCGTACTGTATGATAACGACATAAATGCAGCCGCCAGTTTAGCCGCAGCCTCTCATTCGGACGTGCTGGCCTGCGATACCTGTTTTGGCAGAGCGGAGATGTCTACTAGTCGGGACACATACTTCTCTAGTGAAAATAATCTATGTGTCTCACATTTATATATGCCCAGCGCGCATATCAAGCATCCACTCTATAAGATGAGGAAAGAAAAAATCACGAGCGTATTATGCTCGTAGGAAATGGGTGGATGATTCGGCAGAGAGTTACTACTCAAGATGCCAAGTACCTACGAGTACTGGATTTCTGCATGGGGTGCACTGCGTACGACGCAGACTGGTCGTAATCACTTGCGCGAGGCTCCACATCTCTCGGCATCCCTTTTAGTCGAGCGAGTCATGCAATGACACTGCATGTCATGCATACCCATCCAATGCAGATCCCATAGCTGAAATATATTGTCGCTGATTCGGTCATCTCTTCGCCAGAATAGCTTTGACGCATTTTCATGATTCATGCAGCAATGCTTCACGATGATTTGGCTGGGTGCCAGCGACGCGGCATGAAGCGGACCTTTCTGGGTTTGAAACCGCGTTTCGAACCGTGACTGTTTGTCGCGTCGTCCTTCGTCTGCCTCTCCCACTGTGGCCTCCTCAGATTGGTGATATTCCGTGCTGTACACACTTCGTGATCTATACACCTCTTTCAACAGTGCAAACTACCAAGTATCGAAACGTTCACGATGTCCTCCAGCGCTTCCGTTGCCGACGAGCACGCCGTGGATAGTCATGAAGGCCTCGCGTATCCTTCCATGCCAGCTCCAAATTATGGTCCGATCTTTCCACCGCATTACCCGCAACCTTACGGCCTTCCAGCTGTGGGTCTTGGAGACTACAACTGGGTCGCACCCATTCCTCCTCCAGGGCACATTCCAGATCCTCAACAATCGGCATCCTACTACAGCGCTCCCTACGGTGTCCTATCTCCACATGGACCCGGATACGTTTGGTACTATTCCACGTCCACTCAGATAACGGCCGAACCTTTTCAAGAGAGCCCTTCCCTGAGAGGAGATCACGAGCTGTCTAATCGGGTACAGAGACTTGAAGTGAGCACAACAGATTCAAGTTTGTCATTTAGCTTACGATAGGTCAGGACCAGCACAGGGCCGAGGGATACATACCAGGATGTTGCGATGGCAAAAGATTCATACATTCCCACAAGGAATCAACGCACCATAGAATGAACCTGTCTCCAGAAGAGCAAAATAAATTAACATGGTATTATTGCTCCCAATTTGGGAAAGGATGCAATCATTAGTACGTTCTTTTGATATCCGTTATATCATGATTCATTAAGTGAGCCCACTTGACAATCATGCAGTCACGGAAGAAAAAATGCGATCGAGCAACACTCCTGCGTGAAGAAAGGTAAAGCGACAACACTTGAACGAGTCGGTCTTCCTGTCATGGTCACACTCGATGGCCACCAGGTCACTTGGGGGATTCCGACTGAGCACGGCGATCCCCAGCCTCTCACTCGTACTCCTCCTCCGCCGCCGCCCGATCAGAAATCTCGTCACACAACTACTGCTTCTTACGATCTCGTACACTCTTCGCAACCCGCAGAACCCGTTCTCTCGTCTCCGACCGCAAACTCTCACTCGATGATGCCTTCATCGACTCCACCGGCATCCACTGTGGGTACTGTTGGATCCTCGACGCCGAATCTTGCAGAACAAGACACGCCCCTCGTTCTCGATGCTCTCTTACCGAAATTGTTCGTAATTGACCTGGTTCTTCGCCTTAACATGGATAAAGACACCCTGTTCATCGCAACGATCTCCCCCGAATTGGCACATATTATGGAACTCGTTCGCGCAGAACTTGGACGAAACACCACTGTGCCATCGAACATACATTCGTTACCCGATCCCAGGGCCTAAGACACGACTTTCGGAGAGTCGTAGGACTGGCAGATACTCGAACATGGGTGCAAGGAGGTCTCCTGCCCGCTGTGACGATAAAGGCCGTATCGATATGGAGCTTATTTTCCCGCTTATTTATGTTATGTCTCTCTGTTATTGCTCTGCACATAGCCTCGAGTTGTGTCTGTTTGTGAAATTGCTGTAATCTATGTCATTATGTCGGATCATACTCCCGGGTTATAAACAGACACCTTGGTACAGATAAGTCATTATCGATAAAGTGGGAGAGAGCAGTCTCGCGTGGTAAGGTAGTGGAAGTAACGCTACCAGGAAGAAGTGTAACCTCAGCAGCCCTATATCGACACATTTACCACTTTCAAACATTGGTCTCATGCCCAGATCCCTCAGCCTCCTCCTTCTCTTCGTATGCTATTTGTCTTGCTACTTGAAGATCCTGAGCACGCGCCAAAGTCAGCCGGAAGCTCATCAGAGGATCTATGAGTTGTACTTGCCTTGCACGGGGCGAACTTGCTCCTCTGGCGTATCCTCGCTCCATACTTATGAAAGAAGAACGGAATTGGACACAGTAGAAGCGAGAAGCAACCGATGAGGGTAGAGCCCCAGTTCAGCCCCAGCTGTATTAGGCACGAATGTCGTAGAAAGTGGTTTAGTAAAGGCACGATGGAAGATGCGATACAGATTGAAAGAACACTAACGCTGGTGTACATCTGATTCGTGAAGAGCGGGAAAGCGGCGGCGAAGAGGCACCGCACGATTACGTTGGCAGCGAATGCAGACGCAGCGTAATGGGCATACGTGTCCACCAGGTAATTCTGGAAATGTATCAGGTGTGGAAGCATCCCATTTGATGATAGAGGACCCACCATGAACGACATGAAGATCAACGTCACGCCGGTTCCGATGAACGGCGTACTGAGCGCTGGAACATACCACGGAACAGGACCCGCATACTGTGATGTCCATCCCATGAAAAACGTTCCCACTACTAGACATGGGCCCGCGATCATGGCGCCGTAGAGTCGCATCTCTGGTGGAGGAAACCCACGCCAATATATGATGGCTTCTGGGTAGGGACGCATGGTGACTACATTAACGACACCCGCGAAGAGGACACCGATCATTATGCCGATAAAGATGAGACCGCTTTGAGAGACAGTAAAGTCGTAGTGCTTGATAAAAATGATTGGGAAGGTTTCAAATACTGGAATATCACGTCACCGTGTGTTAGACGCAACGATGCATTTATGGATGGACGGAATCAAACGTACAGGAGTAGAGTATCCCGTATACGACGGAGATGTAGATTGTGATGAGTACCAGTATTGGCTCGTTGAGGAGGAGCTGGAACGGCCGATACAAGGTCTTGTAGACGATTGTGGAAAACGGTTCGTGGTGACGCTCCGACTCCGCGAAAATGTCCTTGTTTCCAATTGGGTCCTCTTTGCGCAGTCGTTGGGCCTACAAGACATGATGACGTCGATAACGGGAATAAAGAAGGCGAAACATGCACAAACAGTGCAGACGTACCTTGCGAAGGAGAAGAACGGGAGCGTACGTTTCTGGCATGCAGAAGATAGCAAACGCAGTCACCACGCCAGCAAAGATCATCATCACCCAGAATAACCATCTCCACCCAAGGCCACTATCGATGATACTGGATAGCAAAGCATTGAGTGTATCGTTCAAACGGTGAACATGGTCTAAAACTTACAAACCACCGACGAGCGGTCCAATCGCCGGCCCAAGAAAAATCATCCCGATGAACACAGTCCCAGCCTCTCCCCTGCGGATCGGATTGCCCCATAGATCTGCCATCAAGCCTCCTCCTAACGTCAATGGTGCCGATCCACAGAAGCTCGTGAAGAAACGTGTGATCAATAGTGTTTGAATATTCGGTGCAAGGGCTTGGCCGAGGTGGAAGATGGTGTACAGAGATAGTGAGATCGTGTACATGAGTCGACGGCCTAGTACCTCGGAACCTGGGCCCCAGAGAATTGGCCCAAGGGCAAGGCCACTGAAATGAACCCACAAGTGTAAGGCTCGGGTTGAAGAAGGTAATCGAGTGCATCTCTGGACGTACACAAGAAATAGAGACGTGGTTAAGTCCGTCACTTCCTCCGAGACGCTGAACTCTTCTGAGATTGCTGTCGTTCCAGGCGAGGAAGCAGACGACGCGAAAGTTCTGTGGCGACTGATATGAATGATGTTTACCACTGAGAGGAGAGAGCGAGAACGTACACGTTGAGGGTCATAACGGCGCAAAGGAGCGTCGCCCACCATCTGTAGGCCATCGACCAGTTATGAGGGTTGTCGGGATCATCAGGCCCATCCCAAGTAACAAGATTCGATTCATCGCGCAAAGTTCGCGACGGTGATGAGCTGGGGTGATGGTGGTTGGACGGAACGCCCGCCCCTTCCTTCTTTTCCGACAGCTCTTCTCGAGAGGTCTCAGCAATGACGGTATCCCGCGAGCCATAGTCCTGCCCGAGAGTCATCGTAGCTACCGGTGGGGAAGTTTGAAGATGTTGCATAATACAGCGCGGCTACCGTCGAGGCCTTTAAGAAGGTATACTTCACCACTTAGCTCCAGGTACTTGAGGAGCGAGCAGTGGTAAGAAAGACGCGAAAGTGTTCAACGAGGCGGAAGTGAGCCCTCAACACTCGCTGGGCGTGTTTCACGGTGGCCGAAGCATGCCCGAAGCATGCCCGAGACCGAGGGAACAGGGTGTTCAAGAATTATAGGCCGAGCCCTTAACAATGACAAAGATAACGCGGGCTTAAACTCGGTCTGCGCACCTGATGCGCGCAATTGGACACAGGTGGTTGAGGTTACGGATAGTGTGAGGTACTACCGGCCTTTCAACGGAGGAACGAGAACAGGGTACTTGAAAATATATTGTCGGGGCGGAAAAACATGAAGGAGCATTGAAGAAATTGTCTCATGCAGCGCAATATGTCGCAATGAACATGAGAGAGCAAGACAGGACCAGAAAGCACAGTAAGCAAGCGTCGTCGAAAAGTCGGGTCCTTCGACGCTGAAGCTTGAAGTCTGAGAAGGCGCCGACACGGTGGCCGGTGTCATTGTCCACATCGGGAAAGCCGAGGACGTGGACTCGTGAGAAAACCTTGCGGACTAAAGGAACTGCCTATGGTGCAAACGGTAGTGTTGCCACGGCTCAGCTCGGCTCAGCTTGGCTCGACTTGCAACGGCTTTTCCCACGCAGCGACTCGGCTCGGCTTGGCTGACGGTCTGAGCCGCGACTCAATTCAGCTCGTTGCCTAAGTGGGCTATGCATTCATACATGCATACTAGCCCTCATAGAACTTTTTTAAGCGATGGCGTATAACTGTATGGGTCAATACTGTCCTGCCGCTGTGTTTTTTGAAGGGATTATCGAGTCGGATCCCACAAACAAAGAGTCGTTTGCTGCTCATAATGATGTGGCGTAAATGTGGCGCGGTGGGGTCGCGCGTCGGAAAAAGCCGCCACAGATACACAGGTATCCATATTTGGAGTGGTCTGCAACTGTTTGCTGTCAAACATGAAGGCGAAAGCCTCAAACACTCTACAAACTACGGCTTTGGAGGTTCTTCGATACATAGATCCTACTTACAAGGCAAATATTTGCATATGATGTTGTTCTGCAAGTGCGTAACGGCTTGAGCCGCTAGCCGCACAAAACCGTTGTAAGCCGTTGGCGCGGCTCGGCTCGGCTTGCAGACGGCTCGGCTCGAGCGACTAGCGGTTTCTGAGCCGAGCCGTGGCAACACTAGCAAACGGATTAGTCATCACCTAATTTGGACAGCGGCAAAAACTCTGGCGAGCCATCGAAAACCCAGAAAATCGAAAGAAAAACATTGACGATGTCCTTTATTTCCTTATTAGGAAGGTGGCAAAATCGTGGGAGACTACCATTTTTATCTCCCTCAATCGACAATCGGTTTAGAGGAACTGTTCCCCTCATCAAAAGGAGCATTTCCACTAAACCGATAGTCGAAATATTCATTTTCGCACGCACAAAACGGATTCTTCCGGCTTGTTCAAAGTTGGTGGCGACTAGCCCGATTGCACCATACGTCATCTTTTCCAAAGTTGTCGCCATCATGTGTCCGCGTTATTGTAGGAGTTGGCTCTTTCTTCGACGCGAAAGGGAGATGCAGAAACGACATGAGACTTACGCCTCACCTCTAACCAGCGTCTCCTTCGGTGTTACGTTGCCTGAATCTTAGGTGCACCATGCCACATATTAGCTTGAAACATATCTCGGCATTGACAGCGTCCGAGTCCTCACCTATCGCTCCCTCGCGTAATTATACATCTTCCCTACAGCTCCCACTCCTCTTTGCTCGCCCATTCCATCCCACTCAACACCCTCGGCCCCGACTCGCCCTCTTCCAATCCGTTACTCTTGATTGCTTTCCCTTCAGGATCGGCAGCGGGAGTCTTCCACTTCCATAGCTGCTTGTATTCGTTTTCGGAACCAGTGAGGACATCGAGGACGTGAAGACCGAGGATCGGGAGGAACCTGCGTGGGGATTGTGCGTCAGTACGTCAGAACTAACGCGAGGCAGGAAATGTATATGGAGCGCGATGCTCGATGGGAAACGAGGACTCACTTAAACATATGTCCACTCCCACCGCTCACAACAGCCAACGACGTCCCATACCCCGGGACATAATCCACCAAGAAATTATTATCTAGCGAATCGCAATACCAACATATCCTCGTCTCTGTGATCCTGGCCACAGAGGCGAGATCGGGAAGTAGGGTGTGGATGAAGGATTTGATGGGGTGCAGGGCAGGGTGAGGGAGTGTGAGGGGGGGGAGCGGAGGGGTGGACGAAGAGGGTGAGGAGTAGGCTGTGTGAGGGGTTGAGATGCGGAGGCTTGAAGTGGGGTCGAGAGGGTGTGACGCGAAATTAGTGCACTGTAGCAGACAAACACAATAATGTCAATTACTCCGACGTTCAAACGAGACTATCGAGTAAAACCAGCTAAAATCATACCTTCAGACCCCTCCATCCGATCTTGATTGCACCGTTCTCCATCCTCGGGAATCCATAACATCCGCCCAACGGCCCACTCCCATCGTTCATTCTCCTACTGACGACTGGAAAGTTCTCGGGTGCGTATTTTTCCCATAGATCTGGACGTTCGGATTGAGGCGGGAGTTGGAGGGTAACAACCGATCCGCCGGTAGCTTCGAGATTGTCTTTGACTTGGGGAAGGAGAGTCGGCGTCCATCCGCCGCCTTTATCGCTGGACATGAGTCGTGTCCGAACGCGCTGGAGGAGAACAACAGAGACAAGCACTCACAAGCGACGATGACAAGATCCGCGCTATGCACCTTTCCATCCGTCGTCTCAACGCCTACCGCCCTCTTCTCGTCACACTGTCCTTCCTCTATCACCTTCTTCACTCTCCCCTCCTCCCCGAGCACGAACTCGACCCCTTCCCGCTCCGCCAGCCACCTCATCCATGCACAAGCCTTGTCTGCTCTAACAAACCCCGCCGTCGCATCGAACACCCCATCCCCACCCTTCTCAGTCCAAAGGTCCGTCCACAAATCCAACTGTTTCGCCCATCCTTCGCTCTTCGCTCGCTGGACGTCTTCAGGATTTGAAAGGACGTAGTTCTGAGCGCGAAGGGAGGCGGATTCGGAGGCGATGTGGGACAAGCTGGAGAGCTCTTTTTCGGAGAGTGGAGAGGTCGGATGGAGAGGGAGGCGGAGGAAGCCGGAGGGGTAGAAGAGTCTGGTCGATGGTGATATGCCGGGCGGGAGGGATGAGGGAGGGGTGGAGGCTATGTCGATGTTCCATTGGGACCAGATGGCGCGGGCGCGGTAGGCGAGGCGTTGGTATTCTACTTCTTCACCGTCTAGTAGTACAGACACAAGAGTGAGATAGACGGGAAATGGTATAAGATCGGACGGTGGACGAAAACAAGACGCACAAGCTGCACGAAAGATCTTGTTAACATCAGCACTTGCAGCGTCGCACCCGTTCGAAGGCGAGTAGAAACTCTTCTCATACGGCTGGTAATCGAGCACTTTGACCTTCACGCCTTTTCGATATTTCAGCCACGATGGGATTGATGTAGAAGAGGCATGAAGCACCTGCTTTGGCTAGATAATAGCTCGTGCTGAGCCCAGCGACACCGGCGCCAACGATGAGTACCTTCTTCTTCTTCAGCTCTTCCATGTCGACTATAGTACACGTAAAGCTATCGTAGAAAGTTGATCAAGGCGAGCCCGATGCTTGTAGATGCTTCGTCCGTAAGGATTCGAAGACTAGCGTTATCGAGAATGGAATGACGGCTGGCCGGAGGATGCGAGTGAGATCAACTTTGGATCAAATCAACTTCATGATCTCCCTGGTGCCAAATAGCTATATAAGGGTCGCCATTATAATGCATTATTTGAGTTGCCTGGACAGTGGGACCGTGACCTACCGTGACCATGTCGTTCGGATTCTGATTATGAGCGTTTCGAGCACAACAAAGCCAGTTGCCACACCGGGCCACACAGGGCGCTTACACTAATAGTTGCCGAGTCAGCTTCCCACGCAATGGCATTCCGTCTTCAACCAATCGTAAACCTTCTTGAACGCACCCTTGTCAAGAAACCCTCACTCCCGTGTTGTTGGCTAGTTTCTTTTTGAAGGCAACTATCCACCTTCCGTAATATTTCTTGTCTCATCGTACGCTCCGATGAGCTTCAGTCCACCAGTGTCTATGAGGAAGCTCCTTCGTCTCTTGTGGATCTCTCTTCACTGCGACTTCCCCAGCGGCTCAAAGTTACTCGGAATCACTCCCGAAGATGTACACTTTTTGTCCGACTTTGACGCTGGAAAAGGTGTCCTTTCCTGTCGGGAGATGACGAGGGAACTCTCTGAATATCGAACATCTTCTAGCTTTGTTTTTTTCTGTGGACACGGTGTCGAGGGACCTCCAGGAAACTGGACACTTCCCTAACTTGTGCCCTCCCATAAAGCTTGCTGCTTGACACCTCCCTGGAAGATCCAGTGCGTTTTTCGTAATCTTTCTGTGGAGAAAATTGCTGCTATTGGCGAAGTCCTTCGAAGTGCATTTCCTCTGTAAATAAGTACCTCGAAGACTTCAGGAGATATTGGTTCCAACCCTGAACTTGACACTCGAGTATCGGTCGGCTTCCCCGCAGTCATTCCTCTATTTTTTTGCATGCCCACCAATGTCCCCTCATGTTGATACCGATGTGGCCCATGCATTAGCGATAACTTCCTGTAGGCTTCCTTGTCAAGTTGCATGAACAAGCAGTTGTTCTGCAGGTTGCCCTTCACTTGTTGCATCTGACAATCGGTCCAAAGACTTTGGCCCTATACCGCCTACCGGACTATGACGGCTCTCTCGACGTTCCCCGAATCCACGTCTTAGATCGGTCGATATCATCTAGAGGCGATCGCAGTGTTGCCCATAGTGACAAGAAAAATGACTGTAGTAAACTTGGATCTATTTTCGTGCCCGCCATTCTCGTTTTACTAGCCTAATTTGCCTCGTCACCCTTGCCCGCAGCTTCTGGTTCCACTTATTGGACTTGGGGTGGTAAGTAGGTCCCGTTCTCTTACTTCGATTTAAGCCGAGTGGGTAATGAGAGTATTTTTGCTTTTCGGGTTAGTTGTGAAAGAGCTCGGAGAGACGTACGTCTCTGAAGATGAATTGATAGCACAGAGTGCCAATGTCCTATCGCTCCACTGTCCATCAACGCCCGAGACAATGGGATGGCTCAACGCGGAGGGTATAGCGAAGATGAAGCATGGTCCTATCACTGTAAATGTGAGCCCAATCATTAGAGAGCGTGAAATCGCCCAAAATCGAAACTCAAAAGCCGAGACTGGAACGGTTGAGACTCCAAACTCAGTGGTGAGCGCTCGTGCCCGTGGAGCGAAACTCAATCGAGTTTCGCTCCAATCTCCGAGTTTAGATTCTCGGGGATTTCACGCTCTCTATTTACTATATATCTAATGATTATCGTGAAGGTGTGCACAGACCTCTCGCGGCGCCGTATTCGACGAACCAGCCGTAGTAGTCAGTATCCATTCTTCTGCCCATGATTTTCCGCACATTACAACCGTCGTTCATACGCGAATATAGCTAACCAAACCCTCTGCAATGACGGTGCGCTGAATAAATCTCCGCCCTCTAATCCGGACAAATCCGCCGCGCAGTCCTAGACGTGTTCATCAACGAGCCTAAGCCAAACGAATGGTCCCTCGACTCACCGTGAGTGACGATACAACCGCATTCGGGCGCATTCACAACATTATTCCCGTTTGTTCTCACCTCCCACCTCCTCAGCTCGCCCCGATCCGTGTCGACGAACTCGTTCGTTGGTGATGAAAGCGCCGGAGGAAATGCTTACGTGGATCTGCGATACATGGAACGCGTACGGTCTACAGAGGCATATCCGAAGTCTTCGATAACGTGAAGCGATTCTTACTCACAGGCAAACTGCGCTACCCTGTCAATGCCCAGGTGAAAAAAGGGCCAACTTGACTTCGTTGGCCTCACCCTATGTAACTCTTCGCCCTCGGAATAGATGTCGGGCAGGGAGGGAGGGGCATACTGAGATTGGTGCCGCTGGGAGGAATAGCGGCAGAGGGTGTCAGAGTTCTGTGTGAGGTCGAGAATGGAGAGTTTGGGTCCGTTTAGGGCCTTGGGGATTTTTGTGAGACCTAGATTTCTAGCCTCACGCTCCCACGAGTTTAATTCAGGATCTTTCACAAAATTGAGCCATGGTGTAGATAGGAATGATAGTTTGGCTATGATGAGCCGGAAGAGAAACCAGCTACAGGCAGAACTACAAAGACAGGACACCGCTGCGTACAATCTCGTGATGCGACACAGTGACAGGCTATCGTGATACATCAGAACTCTTGGAAATCCCTGAGAGGCCCTGAGAAGCCCTGAGCGGCCCTGACGATCCGTTCCGTGAAAGTCCGTGAGGTCTCGAGAGCTCGTCAGTGTTGAAAGGTATTCTTAGGTGGGAGATCACTCGAGAAGGGGGGATCAAAGTCGTGGGAATAGCATTCGACGCGTCGCCCAGTATTTACGGTAAGTAGATAGAGTCCGAGCACGGCGCTACGGTCCGTGCTGCGGAGCCGCGACGGAACCGCGAGTTCAACACTCCCCTTCAAGTGCGAATCCCTAGCAGTTGGGAGAAGCGCTTGTTTTTGTCAGAGGAAAGTGCTTTAGTGAGTAAGTCAGCAAGTTGTTCATTAGTTGGTACATGTTGGACAGTAATGTACTTTTGAGCAATACGATCAATGATGAAGTTCTTTCGTATTTCAAAGTGTTTAGTACGTTGAGTATGTTGTTCTTCTGGAGTCCTCAGAATAGCTAAAGTAGAAGCGCTATCTGTATGGATAGTTATAGGCTCCAGTTGTGTGTTGAGGATTTCAGATATAAAACCCTTTAAGTAGACGGCTTCAGTTGAAGCATGTGCCAAAGCATAGAGTTCTGCTTCAGTCACAGACAAAGTAACAAGTGTACCACGCTTACTTGACCAGGAGATAAGCGAGTCGTTAAATTTAAATGCATAGCCCATGATTGGTTTATTGCCGTACGTAGACATGCCATCAGAGTCAGCATATCCAACAGTTGAAGTAGAGTTGGGGCTTCCTAGAGTAAGCCAGTGATCACAAGTTCCTTTTAGGTAGAGGTAGCAGTGTTTTGCTGCAGCATAGTGTTCCTCTCCAGGATCGTTTAAGTATCTTGCAAGTTGACCAGTGCAGTATGCAACATCTGGTCTAGTACAGTCAGCGACATATCTCAGTCCGCCAACCAGTGACATAAAGTGTTTGATAGCAGCGACGTCTCGCTGAGGTTCGCTCCCAGGTCTAGGGCTAAAGTTTTGCCCAGGTAGCATTGGTGTACGGCGTGAGTGATATTGGTCAAAGTTATATCTTTTGAGAATGTTCTCAATATAGTGCTTCTGTCGCAGTTTAATAGTTCTGGTATTTCGATCACGCTGGATCTCCATGCCAAGTATCCAGTGAATTTCTCCACCGTTAGTAAGTTGAACATGATTGCTTAGTGCATTCACGAATGCTTGAGTAGTAGCATCGTTCATAGTACAGAGAGTGATATCATCGACATGGCACGATAAGACGAGTATGAGTTTGTTGCCATGATACCGATAGAACACAGCATTGTCAAAGCTTGATTTAGTTAAGTTGAGTCCTTTGACAAGTATTTCACATAGTTTCTCATACCAACGTCGACCAGCTTGTTTAAGTCCATATAAGGTCTTTTTCAGTTTAAGTACATGACCATTAGGCAAGTTGGGTAGTAAGTCACCAGGTGGTGGACGAAGGTATAAGTTCTCATCGCTAGTAGTATTACCGTATAAGTAGGCAGACTTGATGTCCAGTTGAGTAATCTCAAAGTCAAGTGAAGCGGCCAAAGTGAGCACAAAGCGAGTAGAGCTCATAAGTGCAACCGGAGCAAATAAGTCATTAGCATAGTAGTCTATGCCTTCACGTTGGCTGAAGCCTTGTACCACAAAGCGTGATTTAAGCTTAGTTTGTTTTCCAAGTTCGTATTTAGTTTTATAGACGAATCTAGAGCCGATGATATTAACATCAGTGGGAGGTTTGCAGTATTCCCAAGCTCCAAGACTTTCAAGTGAGTCTAGTTCAGCTTTCATCGAAGCGAACCATTCATCTTTTAGTGGATGGTTGAGTACATCCTTGAAGGTTATAGGATCGCCAACGCTATCAGCATAGTAGACATTGAATTCAGTCAAGTAGAAAGCAATGTTGACGTCGACTTCGTCATAGTCTAGGCCTCTAGACTTCCTTGAGGGTACAGGTACTCTCGCAGAACGCCGTAAAGCCGAAGTTTGAGTAATTGTATCAGGATCAATATCCATTGGTTCAGGTTCAGTATCCTGAGTAATAGTCGAAGGAATAGTAGGTGAAGTATCTGAAAGTTGTTCAGAAGTTGTGTTTTGGTTTTTCAGCTCCCCTTCAACTTGCGATGTGAAGTCAAGGAATTGCAAGTTGCGTTCTACGCCTACTCGATTACCGAAGTAGACATAGTGAGCTTTTGAGTGTTCAGCAAAGCCTAGCCAAACGGCACGTTTGCCTTTAGCTTTCAGTTTGCTCTTCCTTGCTTCGTCGTATACGATGCAAGGAGTGCCAAAAGTATGCAAGTTATCCAAGTTGGCATGTTCACCATATCGTTCAAAGTATGGAGTATGATGATTAATAGCAGATTTAGGAGTACGATTGAGTATGTATACAGCATATTTTGCTGCATGCCACCACAAGTTATTGGGAAGTTTAGCAGTGTGTAAGTTAACACGCACAGAATTCATGATGTGCTGATGAACATTTTCAGCAACACCGTTTTGTTCAGGAGTATCATGTACAGTGTATCTCGGGATAGTACCCTGAGACTTCAAGTACTGTACGAATGCATGTGAAGTAAATACACCATCATTGTCAGACTGTAGTATCTTGACTTTGATGCCGTATTGAGTAAATAGTTCAGTAGAGAATGTCACCCATTGAGTATAGGCTTCATCCTTGCTCTTAAGTGGAGCGAGTGTTAACCAACGTTTTGAGTCGTCGACGATGGTCAACCAGTATTTGTATCCATCAAGAGATACGGTTGGTAGTGGTCCGAAGATATCAATATGAAAGTGATCGCCAAAAGCAGTAGCTAGAGGCGAAGTACGTTTCTTCGGAATGGAGATGCGATGTATGTTGTTAAGCATACAGTCCTCGCAAGTCGTCTCAGTAAAGTTATCAATAGTTGTTGTGATTATTGAAGGCGAAGTTTTCATAAGTTGTTTGATGTTTGTATAACTCATATGACCAAGTTGTTTATGAAGTTCACTTATACTCAGACTTGCAACGTCCTCATTAAGTTTGAGAGAAGAAATAGAGTATAATTTCGCATTTTGTGATATAGTACCCAGTACGTTTCCAGCCCCGTCACTAATAGTACATTGACGACGATGAAAGAGAAAAGCATAATCTTCTAGTTGAGAAATGCTGATCAACGTAAAGGGCAGTTTAGCGTTGTAGTAGACATTTTTGAGTATGATTGTAGAGTACTCACTTCCGTTCTTTGGGATATCAATGCGCATGTCACCCGCCAGTCGCAGTTCTATTGTTTCTGAGTTTGCGACTGTTAAGTTTAGTAGCGGGGTCGTATGCACGTTGAAAAGTAAGTTGAGATATGGAGTGCAGTGAATAGTTGCACCAGTATCGAGTATATGAGATTGATCTTGGTCAGAGATCGCAGTAAAGACCGGAAGTGAGTAGTGAGGACGTACAGTTTCTTGCATCTCGACATCAGAGGAGGAGATGGACTGAACCCAGTCAGATTGCGAGCTTGATGGCCCAGCCGAAGCCCAAGTAGTGGTAGGGTTGTGGCCAAGACCAGTAACGACGGCGGCGGAGGCAGATCCATCACTCTTGCGAGTAATGCCCTTCTTCCTCATCGCCTCCTTCGAGTTCTCAGTCCAAGGCTGAGGACAAGTGGGTGTAGTATGCCCCAGCTGGCCACAGTTGTAGCATGTTTTCTGCTCAGGAGGAATAGGGGCAGTAGTAGTTGAAGGAGTAGTAGTACGCTTGTAGGGCGCAGCAGTAGCAGCGCGAGCCGAGTTCGACTTCGCCGTACGATCAACACCCTTGCCCTTGTCAACAGTAGTCGTCAACTCAGGCTTTTTAGCGCTAGTGAAGTTCGAACGCGAGTGCGTTGCGCGATAGTTCTGGAACTCCTTCTGAAGATCAATGACGAGTGCGTCTGGTTTGTAGACAGGAGTCTGCCCAGCGGGAGTAGCCGACCTAACACTAGATTCGTATGTAGTACGAACATGATGATAGGCGGGCGGTATGATGCCCATGATAGCAGAATAGAAGACATCATCAGAGACGTTCATCTTCTTCAGTTTGATGCGCGCATATAAGTCTGTCGCGTCATCGAGTAGTTTGTCAAGCTCATAGATGGGCCGACGCAAGTGGAATAGTTGGTAAAGTTCGTTCGCATCCGTGACAGTAGTCTTTGGATCGAAACGTTCGTTAAGTTTCGTCATGAGCTCGAAAGCATCAGTGACGTCGAGATAGTGGACGAGGATCGTATCATCCATCTTCCCAGTAATAGCGTTCAAACACGCGCTCTGGACCTCGTTAGGAGGTGCAGCACCCGTATTGGCTTTGTAGAAGTCTTTAACAACCTCAAGACCTTTATTGACGCGGTATTTCCACATCGTCCAGTCTTTTGGCCCAGTAAGGTTCGAGATATTATCGAAGTTTTTGTTTACATCGGATATAGTCATCCGGAAAGTAGTAGTAGTAGTAGGAGGGAGAGTAGAAGTGGGAAGAGGAGTAGAAGTGGGAGGGGGAGTAGGAGCATGAGAGCCGGGTTGAGACATAGCTGCGACGATAGCTTCGACAGCGACGATAGACTGAGTCGGAGTAGTGGATCGAGAGGGCTCGGGAGATGGAGCAGATGACGGCTCGATAGGCTCAGGAGTAGCGGAGCGAGAGGGCTCGGAAGTAGAAGGCTGCTGAGGAGCAGCAGAGGCTGATGAGACAGGAGGAGTAGGAGTTTGGGTAGATGAGGGTGTCTGACTAGCTTGTCGACGACGAGTTTCTGGTAGTGGAAGCTCTGGTGGTGGTGATCCTTTAGATCTGAGTGCACGCTCTGACATATAACAGTGCCAGAGAAAGCAGGAAGACTTTAGACGAGTGTAGATGAGCAAAGATCAGTGCAAAGTTGAGCTATGCAGGGCCCATAACCTGTTGAAAGGTATTCTTAGGTGGGAGATCACTCGAGAAGGGGGGATCAAAGTCGTGGGAATAGCATTCGACGCGTCGCCCAGTATTTACGGTAAGTAGATAGAGTCCGAGCACGGCGCTACGGTCCGTGCTGCGGAGCCGCGACGGAACCGCGAGTTCAACAGTCAGGGCCTGTCAGGGCTGTCAGGGCGTCTCAGTGCGGTCAGTGCGATTCTGGTCGCTGTGTGGCACCCGAAAAGTAGCAAAAATTCATATATATATTCGTATGTCTATATGTACTCTGATAATAGACAGTAACCGGCAGCTTTCTCGTTCAATCCAAATTTCATTAATCCTACATAACCCTTATCCTACATGTACTCGGAAACTTGGTTCCTTGACAGTGATCAATTGTGCGAGGGAGACGAAAGTGGATGCACTGCGTAGGGAGTAATGTAGATGGAAAGTTGACGTTAGCTACGGAAAGAGCAAAGAGTTGTTTCGTACGCACGGTGTAATCAAGAGCATCCAGTCCTCTCTGATCATGTCCCAGTGCATGCAATAGGCTCTTAGCCGATAGAACTGCCAGAGGCATAAGAGAATGACGTGAAAACCAAGCACATGGAGAAGGAGGGTAGATGAGGAGGGACCGTAAAGAGCGTTCCGGTGAGGTGTTTGAGATGGGAGCAGAGATAGAGATGGTGATTTGACTCACAAGAAGTGCATCGTAGTTCACCGAACACGCCCCAAGCCCGAGCACGTTGACGAGATGCGCACCTAGGTCATAAATGGCTGACGCTG